CATTGTTAGTGATTTTTTAAAGTGCAACTTGACTGTATTCTTTAGTATCATTGCAATATCTTCGTCAATGAACTCGATAATTGTGTCACTTTTGCAGATAACAGTAACTGGTAAGCATACAAAACTTTTCTCGACAGCCCCAAAATTGCCGACAGCTTCAAAATAGGGCGTGTCACTCCCCTAAAACCCCTAAGTTTGCATGCTTCTAATTACAGTTAAGAAAAATTGTAATTTCTGGCTAAGAAATCAATGGCGTTTGACATGCATGCAAACTTTTCAGTTGCTTTTCCAGAAGAGGCTAAAAAGAAAATGAAAAATGACGTAGATTTTCAAACAACAGTCACCTTCAAATATTTGGCAAGTACTTGCACCCTTAGACTGCTTTCCTCTAATCAAAGCTGTGTATAAGCAACCCCCAAAAAAGGAAACCTCCTAACAACGTCAGTTAAGCTGGCCCCACATGTATACTTGATGTTTCCTTGGGTGCCATTTAAAATGAACTCATTTTGCAACTCTTGATAATGTGATACCAATTTCCAGACCCCTCACTTGTTTCATAAGTAAAATATTTAATAATAGCCCAAATTATATCATAGGTGGACCTGTAGCCTACAACAACTGCCTCAAAATATTTGCCACAATGGAGGTAAGAGGGTTTGAGAACTATTACTTGGTATTGCTGCCCCTATTCAAAACTTCAGAAATGGTGTCGAAGGTTCGGTTTTCTAGTGTAGACTTTGCCCCAGTAATGCTACGGCATTCCAGCACATGCTTCGTTGCTTTCACACTTTAAATATAGGCCACGTTTTAAATCAAAGGTGGTTAAACTAAACAGCCGTTTTTTTAAAGTTTCAGCCCACTGATATTTCATAAAGAGCTTCTTTCTGGGCCAAAATAGCTCTTCAAAACATACGATCACCTTCAAGCTTACCACATTTGGCTAGACAAGGAAGAGGTCAAAGGATTTCGGGAGTGGAAGCCAACGATCAGGATTGTGTGGCTTTGATTCTTACTCAGATCTGGGTACAGATGAATGAACTTCTAATTGTAGTCATGCCGGTAACATGAATGGGTTGATCAAGGAGAAGTTTGATTCAGGTGTACTACTACAACACTTTAAATCCAAACTAGAAGAAGTTAAAGCGGGTGCCAGTGGATCAATATTATTATTATAATGACCATAATTTATCTATGCCATTTGGAATTTTTTCCTGTCATAGGTTTATAAAAACCCACTAATCGCGAATGTATTGTGTCATAGCAGAAAAAGCAACAATCGCCTTTAAGCTTCTTAAGCAAACCATTCTGCTTTATGCAAAAGAAATTCTGAATCTTGTGTACGTTTTTACATTTACATAAAGAAAAGGATGATTGGAAGTGCACATTGTTTACTTTCTGGCGTGTAGAAATACAATTGGGCAACAGAGCCCGTTTTCTTAGGACACTGCCTGTACTGCAAACCAAAACAGTCTAGCTGTATCATCAATATAAAGATAAATAAAGTAGTAGAACCCGGGGGTAAGTTAAAGGGTATGGTTACACGTTTTTCTGATGTCATTTTTGCGTATGTTTGAGGCAAAATTCAAAGGTTTAAGGAGGATAGTTGCCACAGCCAGGAAAAGGAACAGGACTTAAGTCGGGTTTGTTATAAGATCTGGTTGTAGTGGTGCATGTTAAGTTGCAGAGGAAGGCCACACCGCAAAAGAATCCCACCATCGATATAAGTAGAACATAGTAAAACATTAACAGCTTCTCTTTTGAAAAGGACCGAAAAATCTGTATGGAGCCATATCAGTAAAACCATTGGTTGGGCCTTAGCATGTGACCTTCAAGTCAGATAATTAGCAAAACTGTCTTTCAGATGAATTAAAAAACAATTCTGTCAGCAATCTCCTACTCTTTTCACGTACTAAAACAGCTTTTTAGTAAATACTAGACTACCCTAAGATTTAATGTTTCAATAACGGGAAAAAGTGTTTTAGTAAAAGAGTTGTTGATGCTTTCAACTTAGTTGCATTGGGCTCTTGGTCTTTTGTTAGTAAGAGGGCACTGGGGACGACTGTTTTCATGAATGCAATAAATTGAAATTTTAGAAAAGACAACTTAGAATCAAGAGGTTTAAACGCGTAAAATTCTCAAAGAACCGCGCCCTCAAACTACCTGAAAGCCGTACTGTACCAACACAAAAGGAATACAAAATGATCTATCCTTACTGCAATGGACGTAGCAGATGGGCTCAAAATCGATAGATTTTGCCTAATAGGAGGGGGGCTGGAGCCCCCTCAGTTGGGGAGCAGTGGCATCGTTTTACATTCCAAACGCCATTGATTTAGGGGGATGAATGGTCATCAAAAGAGTAATTTATCGACGAAGACATAGATGGAGAAGAATTTAGGTGCTATTTCACCTACTGATAGGTAATTTTACCGACAAACTGAGGATTTTGTAGATAAACTGAAGATTTATTGACGAATTTATAAGGTATTGGGGGTGTTACACCCCATACACTTCCCGCTAGCTATGCCCCTGGCGGGGAGAATGGAGTCGTTAACATTGGCTGTTGTTTAAACTGAAACAAAATCTCTTTTAACTTGAAATTGAAGCTAGTAAAATTGCCTTCGGAACATTCATTTCCAGAGTAGACAACGGGGAAAATGTTTGAATCATTTAACTGTGCACTTGAAAATGCGCAGCTGATATTACCAATTATACGTATAGTCATAAAACGTATGAATGAAATGGTCAGTTTAATTTGCAACACGCAGTTACTGGAAAGACTCTCTGTAGTTCACTGACCATAAAGTGTCTCAGTGGTCTTCATGATATTACGTTTCAACCAAATTGCGTTTATTTCTGGTTACCATTGAACTTTCGCCTCATGGATACATAGCAAATAGTCAATGAATATCCCCCACTGGTCTGAACCTGGTCTAGTTATGTTCATTTGGCCCATGGAAAGGTGACTTGCGCACGCCGCAAGTTATTCCGTCTGTCTTGTGGCTAAAATGTTGGCTTACTAGTTAATGGTCTATCTTGGCAATTCATTTTACAATACTTGGGTTGCTGCTATAAAATCCAGGGGACTCACTCAAATTTCTTTCATACAGGGAGGTCCAATCGCAGTTGGGAAAATTCACCTAAAAGCATTAAAAACATAGACTCCCTGTACATAAAAAGTTTCAGTGCCCCCTGAGGTGTGAGAAGTATGAATTTAGAAACATTGATTCAATTTTTTTTCTAATTGACGTTGTGGCTAAATTTTGTAGAGGGTTAGACTTGGATACTGTGCTACGAGTAATATTTGAGTGTAGCTAATTAAGGTTTGGTAATAGCAGATCCGTTTGAGTGAAACCAAGTAGTGTCCGTTTGCATGACAGAAATAACCGAGTTTCTATTCCATAACCTGAAACGAACAAATGGCACGAACATAAGTCGAAATGCATCTTACAAAACATATAAACTTAGGCCAGAATGATGCTAGGGTAGCTCATTTCCCCCTTCCCATTTTTAAGATCCAGCCTAATTTTTCATAAGCTAATTTTGTTACTATGGAACTAGCTGACATGAAGAAGATCCGCAGGGCCTCGTTTCATGTCATGAAAAGTTTAATACATCAAGATGACATAATCAATGCAAATAGTAGTGCGTTGGCAATTGTTAGCAAGAATCTTAGTTTATTTGGAATGTTAGACAGACGCTATTTGGAATCCATGAATCAAAATCACGAATAATGTCACATTATCATAAAACTTTGTTTGTAGTTTAGATGAAAGGCAAAGAATCTGCATTTCTATAGTTTTCTCATTCATGCTACCCATAATGTTCAATTTTATTCAATAATTGATTGCTAATTCTGAAGCAAAGAAATCTATGGCAAAAATTTCAACACTTCTGAAAAACGCTATCGAATTGTGGTTGGTTATCGACGAGAATTCTCCAAGAAATATTTAAAGGATTTGCGGGCTTTTTGCTTGAAGATTTCACTGAGCAGCGGCAAGGATGTGCTGGCCCTTTAATTCAATCAGTGTGAAACCTTCTTTTAAATCTCTTGTGTGGTTGATGAATGGGAGGAGCAACATCAAAGCCCTAATGCACAAGAGCCTTGATGAAATCTGCTTAGATAATTTCAGTTGCTGTCTTTTGGAGTGCCCCACAAAAAGGGTCCTCCCTGACAACAGGCTCTTTCTTCATCAAGTCATCCAACAGTACCATAAGGTAACAGGCAGACAGGCAGAGAAACCCATATTCTTTAATATGTATTACAGCACATCCTAGATTAATATCTAATTAATCTTTGGACTTTTTGACTTGGCATCTATTTGAGAAAGCGTTTACCTACGCCCAAATCTTGGGTTGTTATAATCTTTTTGTGAGTGCATTCATTAACATATGCGATCTTCAAAGAAGATTCAAATGTTTTTCCTCATTTAACAGCTGAAGAATACCCCTTTTGAAAAAATTTATTTTGACAACATTATGAGAATTAACGGGATTGATAAAGCAACGCTTTATGGTGGTATAATTAATTATGGTTTTACGGCACCACGGAGCGTTGAGAATAGTAGAGGGTCTGAAAAGTAGGGGGGGGGCTGGAACCGAATAAAAAGAGGCTTTACAAATGGCTCTTCTTTTAATATCGTACATTTCTGGCAAAAACGGGGGGCTAAAGCCCCCAGCCTCCTGCTCCGCGGTGCCTGTTCAATTTTTCATTCTTCCACACAATATACTTTAGATACACTTTACACTTGAGGTTTATGCCTCTTGTTTAAGAAGGTATTTCTGCTCTAGTGCCAAAGTATAGGTATAGAAAATCTAGTGCCAAGTAGATAGAAGTAGTTTCAATTTGCAAGGTAATTGCTGCTTTTGAAAAACTTGGCTTAGATAACGGCACAGGAGATCAGAAGCACAATAACACAGTAAGTACATCACATTCTAAAGTAATGTGAAATTCTCTGCGGCGAATGACGAAGTCCTATAACAGTGCCTGCTATCTTTTTCAGGGCATAAGGTGAAGGTATTGAGAGCAACAAATCATATTATTTGGTAGGTGAGTTTCTTACTGTAAATGTTTGCAATATTTCTAAATTTGTGCAAGGACTGCGGAGCAAAATGTGGATTGAGGGGGCTTAAACATTTTTAGGGTGGGTTAAACATGCTAAAAAAGAGCGGGTGATTTCTTGCATAGGCTTAAATACATTTTGGAAATTATTTAGACCCCGTAGTTGAGCCCCGCGGTCCCTGAATTTTTGACTCCCAAATACTCTTTCGAGGAGCAATTCTCACTTGGCCTGGTAGCCTACCCTGAACCACAACTCAAATTCCAGTATTCAGAAAACAACACCACATAACAAGCCACCACCTCAAATTTCTCTACCCAGTGTTATCTTTTTCAGTCGAATAGAAAGATTTGGTCATTATTTTATGCTTTGACTTATAACATTGATTTATGCTTTTGTTTATTTCCGTGATGTATATAAAGGGATTTAATCAAGGTTGGAGGAGAAATTAATTGATAGGATTGTGATTGTTGGATTGCTTGAATGTAGATGGTTTTCTTTTTCGATTGGAACATGAACGCGTGTACGGAATTAAAATTGGAAATGTTTAGAGAATATATTATGGATATCGGTTTGTAATCGTTTATATCGAAATCTAGATCGTAGATTCAGTGTTTCCAAATATTACTGATTGAGAGAACCTTGGAATCATAGCCAGTTTGTTTCTCTCTTATTTACCCTGAACCGAATTTATCGTACGGGAATATTGCTCGATTTAACTAGTCCGGCAGAAATTGTTTATTTGGCAATGTTAACCATCAGATAGTACTTTATCCTAAATAAGATTTAAAGGACAGGAGCTCAAGATTTTGAGAGCCCGGGATTTAGTATATTTTCTAGGTCTGTTTTCTTTCTCCCATTCACATGTAAAGCTGGCTTCTGTATTGCATGTTATGTTTTCCCGCCCCGTATTGGCGCCATAATCACCACAACCTCATTCTGATGTAGCAACCTTCAGCACAGGGGCCTTTGTGGCGTGATAAGCCTTGAGCAAAGATAGATAAGGCACTTGTTTCCCGCTCTTTGGAATCACTGTTCGTGAGTAAATGCCAAATAAATCCATGTACTATTATGAAGTCTGCATTGCAATTGTTGTGATAAGCCCTGTTTTATTGATTTGAGAAAGAAATTTGAGAAACTGAGCCAGGGTAAAGCTTGAATTAAACTTTTTTCGTCTCACTCCAAACAAAACCCATTGCAAGAAGATAGCAATTGCATGTTGAAGAGAGGGCTTTGGCTGCGGCCACTAGCCTCCCCATTCAAGTAACGCATTTGTTAGTACACATTTTCTTTTCTAAGAACATACTCCACATTACGAGAAATTTGAGATTCAAGAGTTAAACCTGTCAAGATTTAAGAATGAATTAAGAATAACAGCCTGACACTATTTTCATTAAAAAAATTATTATTACAACTTAGAGTATTACATCGACAAAGATCCTTTAAACTTTTTACTGTGTCACTACAAAATTCCACTGGGATTGCGGACTGCTTCGTTATTTCCATTCCTTGAGAGAATTTTTCCATGATGCCGCTTAAGAATAATTGAAGAACATGTTCTCTAAAAACTGAAACTTTTTAAGAATATTGAAACTCGAGTAAGTGTTTTCATTATAATGTAACACTGTATTGATACAGTCAATGAGCACATAATTTCTTTTGCAAAAAGAGAAGCGAACGGGCATTGAATCGGATACCCCTAAACCCCCGCGTTTCGAAGGTTACATGAATAGGCTTACATTTTACTCTATAGGCACAATTCTGCGCCAAAGGCAAGGAAATGCCTTTTCACTCACTATTATGACATATCTGTTAGAGGCTGGCCTATTGACAACGAGTCTCTTAGCGGCTCTACACAGGGGCTCCCCACCTAATCAGCTTATCAATGCTGGCAACTTTGAGATGCTTATCGACCACTCATATTCTGTATCTCAAGTGTGTTTCATAACATAGCATTCTGTATTTCATAATCAACTCACGATTGAATAAATGCAATTGACAAATGAAAAGTTGCCGTGATAACCAACGTTCGTTATTTCTATCACCAGTCACGCAATAGAAGCAGGATCACGTTACGGTGGTAAAGCCACGAGGTAAAACAAAGAGATTACAAACATTTGCACCAAGTTTTGCTTAGCGGAACATAAAAATCATTCTTTTATATGTAGTGGATGAAAATAGTGGAACATAAAAATCATTCATAGAGCCGCCTACTAAAATGGTGAAGACGAAACCAAGACAATAATCATTAAACATAATCATCATAACTATGAAATAAAAGTGTTACAATCAATAGATGTCGAGATGTCAACGAGATTCGTGATAATAATTGCAAAACTAATAACAATCATATCTAAATTTAAGAGTTAGGAGAAATGTGATAAGACAGGGAGATTATTTTATTGAAGAGTAGAGTAAAGTATATTTAGGGATGCATCGACCAAAGACACTACAGGCGCTTTTTAGAAAGATTTAAGGCATATTGTGAACAGTCAAAAATAAATGCAAGAAATCCCGGTAATAAAAAGAATTAGAATTTTCGCGGTTGTTACAAATTTCCCTGAACTTTCTCATTAAAATCAATACATATATCTCGCCAAATGTATCGAGAAATGTTGATGCAGACGACAAACAAGATCTTTGACGCTACTATTCAACCGGAATGGTTAGCTATTGATGTCGTCGCCTCTTTATTGCAATACTCGGGAAGAAATTCGACATTGCACGCTTTTTACGGTAGTACTATGACCTTACAGAGGAACGGAGCGCCAGTTTGCACCAAAAACATTCAACAAGGCACGAAGCTTCTAAATTCCATTTATTGGCCATTGATCGCAAAGACTATGGTCAGAGTTCAATCTATAAGTCATTGACAGTAAATTTGCCACATTCATGGTTGAAAATCAGTCATTCCTTGGTTTCATCAGTAACGAGAAAATTGAGTTACCAAAAGAAGCATTTAATAGACTCAATAGAAGCCACTGTCAAGTTATCGTTCTCAATTTTAATGTGGTCTCTCGCTGCTCCTGGATAATCTCCTATCTCCAGCCCTCAATGACAATCATAAAAGAGGCATTCAGATCTGTTCCTATTGACTTCTCCTATCGTTTTGCTTCAACATTACAATTGTCTCTTGTCTTGGTAATTCGCTCGGCTAAGAGATAATTTTTCTGTCTAAGAACTCAAGACTATTATTCAGAGAGTCTGTCTGTCTGAAAAGTACCAGCATTACACTTTCCCTGAAAATGTAAGCTTTTCTATCAGCTTTATGCCTCGCTGTTCCAATTGATTTGTTTTATGCATTTGTTACATAGCAGGAAACACATTTGACAGATGCTCATTAGGACACAGTAATCTTTAAAACTGGAAAATTAAGCCCCCGGACTCACAAAAGTAACAGTACCATACTGTTCTTGATATCGTGTCGCAAAGCCTTTTTTAATAAGATATTTTATTTCAAAGGTGCAGACTCGGATTATTTCCAGGACTTTAGCACGATTTCAAAGTCTTCCACGAATAAGTGGGTTTTACAAAAAAATAATAACTGCCCCTTTTAAAATTGAAACTAAAATTATTGTTGGAAACTTTCTCAGAAACACGTAGAAACATAGAACATATACTACAGGCAGGAGTGTCAAGGCGATAGCTAGGGGTATAGCTGGGATAAAAACATCAGGACACACGGAAATGTTTTAATTTGAAACCATATGGCACTTGACAGTGCTGTTATTTTGGCGCGGAAGGTATGTTTTCAGAGGTGGCACAAGGGGGTGTTTTGAGGGGATTACCCCCACTTTTGTCAAAGAGATGGTCAACATATTTAAAAATTAATAAAAATGTACCAGGTAGAGGTAGTTCATATTTTTTAGACTTGCCTGAGGAAAATCTACCTGGTATCTAGCATTGAAACGAGACAAAATGGGCGTGGTCTCACACATCTTAAAGTCCCACTCTGCCTTAGCTGGTTCCATTATAGTGATTTCATTTTGTAAAATAGGCCATATTTCTATACCATCACTGTATTATTTGGCCACAGAAATATGGTGATGCCTGTCGAGACAAATGCCCCATTTTGTGAAAATGGGGTGTTTTAATAAGATGTATTAGTACTGATTTCCAACAGGCAACAACGCATCGATTGTATATGAATTACACGCATTTCCATAGGAAACAATAATGACGTTGAGTTCTCTAGTTTCGTAACGGTCTAGGAATATCCGACACTCCATACTTCTTGACATCTTTTTCTTATGACGTCATTAACTCTAACATTGGTTTTCATTTCTATTATCTCGTCTAGGACATTTCCCAGTTGGGGAGGGTTTTCGATCTGTTTTCAAACGCTCGTGACATTTTTTGTCAAGAGATTTGCTTCCGTTTGATGCTATACTTAGATGAGGGAAGGGTACTTCTATTCTCTGTGTCTAAACTTTTATGCCAATAAGCCAATTATGTTGATGGATTTTAAAAAAATTTCAAGTTATTGCCTTTTCAAAATTTAATTGTTTTTAACATTTTTGCTTCGAGTACTAAGGTTTTCTAATTTTTCAGATTGCCCAGTACTCGTTTCTTCTGGCAAGTTTCTTATAAAGAAATTGGCTATGGTTGCAAGATGCGAGGTTTCCCTATGTTCCATATGTTTCCCTATGTACGGCAAGAAGACCACAGTAGCACGTGATGTATAGATGTCTGTTCAGTTGCCTAACACTAGACGGTCTTCTACAATAAATTTAATAAACAAACTGCAAATCACATATCTTGAAAGAGAAAAGGATACTCTTGCGGAAGGAGAGAAGAAAGCAGAGATTTATGTATGTATTGCAATCCACCTTTTCTATTGATATTGCAGAAAATTTATCTCCGCTTGTCCCTTTATTCTATCCTCTCTGTTACTCGGAAGTGTGTATTCGTCACTTCCTGTTCAGTCCTTTTTTGGGAGTAATTAATTCCAGAAGCGAAGCCTGCATGCAATGTTAGTCTTCATCTGGAGTTTGACAACTTGCGGTTTGAGGAACAGCCAAGTGTGGAAAATTCATTGCTACAAAGCCCTTATTATTTGTGGAGGTTAGAAGGGTTCAGTCGAGGCAGAGCGCACTTATGAAAGTCGACGCTGGCCTCGGACGAAATTTTTAACAACTATACACAACAAAGACACCGTGAAACAACACAAACAGAAGCACTTGGCTTACCACTTTACGAGAGCAAACGTTTTCATCAGGTACGTTTCAATTTAATTAAGAAATCTGAGGACTTCTCATTGATTGTATCGAATATCAAGAGAGCTGAACGGTTGCGCCCTGCCGCAGGCTAACGTACGACCCCACAATCGTCTTACAATTGTTAATAGGGAACGTTAATTGACATGAATTGGTTCCTCATATCTAAAACCTGTTGAATCGATGCCTTGTTACAACCGGACCATGCTCAATCTCATCACCGCTTTGATGTAGATGGGCGACCATTTGTAAACACTTTTTTCTTTTCTGATATCGTGGGCATGAGTTATGAATGAAACTATTCTTTGAATGATCTTTTTTGTATGAACAGACGCCTGAGCGAAACTGCGTTTACATTGATAGCGCCACTGCACTAGTTAATGACCCTTTTATAAAAGCTGTACAAATGTGTGAAGTGTGATTTGTTTTAAGTTGGGTCCAATGGCAAAGACATAACGCACCCTATCCTCGGTTTCGGGCCCATAACTCTTCGTTCTGTACCAAATGCTATATATTTTAAGCAAACAAAGTTATCGTGCTGTTTTGACCATTACCGCTTTCTTATAGAAGCATTTCTTAGGATAATTTGACCATGCGAAAGCCCTACCACAATAATTGAATGAACGAACCCCTTCGAACAGCTAAAGGCTTACAGAACATAATGGTTGTCAGGTTGGAGAGAGAGTTGATCATTTTATTTCTCAGCAACCCACCGATCAAGTCAAGAAACACGCTTTGTTTATTAATCTACACGATAATGTCGGCTGCCTAAACAGGAGCACGATTTTGACTGTTCGAACAGGGTTTGACTACGGGATCTATTGTTGACGAGCATTGTTGAGGTTAGGATGGGTGGGAACTGGCAGTCACTTGCTAGGTCCAACTGTTATTTCACGTCTGCCTGCCGCTGAGACGCTGATCAAAGGAAATTTCTACTCAATGCAAAAAGGACATTGTTCATGCTATCCGAAAAAGGTCCACCGAAGTGATCTTGAAACCTTGCCAAAGAAACTTCCTTTGACATTGATCATATGTTTGCCCAAGCCAGTGTCTGGGGTCGATCGATCCTCCTATTGTAAAATAGGCGAAGCAGAGTTTTGATTCTGTTGTAAATCTACCCCCGTCTATCCATTGTCCATTGACTAATCGAACCTGACTACTGCTAGCCGAATTTAACTTCAAAATTACTCGATCCACATTCAGGAGTTTATTCATCAATGCTGTGGTCACGGCGGTCATTCAGTTCCGGAAACCGTTTCTCCTAATTGTTAAGCGCATTTTCTTCACCAAATTATCAGGTACACCATGTGCCACTGTCACTAGACCAAATGTGTATTTATAGCAAACTATTTTGGACCCTGGTTTGGAATATCCAATCCTACACCAAATCATTTGCTTCTAATATGCTGTTATTAACAGCCGTTGACATCAATGAATACTGTCGAGCTTTGCTGCTTAAACAGGACAATGCTAAGTACAAAACAGTCTATTTCCACTAACATGAACGATCTTAGCACAAAGTCATCTGATCTTAAAATACCTTTTCTTTCAAATAGTTTATTGGGAAAAGTTTTGTTACATAAAAGCCAAGTTGGCCGCTTTTGCGATAAAAAATAGTGGCCACATTGAGTTTCTTTTAACCAGGGACAGGAAATCGTCGAAGTCAAAACACGAGGCAGATGCGTAATCATTCATGTAAACACTCACGTAAATACAGAGGACTTTTTGCTTTGTTGTAACTCCGTTTATAAATGTTATCTACTAAGTCCATTTGAAGTTAAAGTCTCTTGTTTCGTGAGCTACAACGTTAAAAGCTTCAAGCCAAACAGAACAAATTTTGCTAGGACCTTTGTCACAACCTTTTGTCAATTCACTATTAACAGAATCCCACTCAACAGGCATAAAAAGCAACGAACCCTAAAATCTATCAAACAAATACATTTTTATAAGAATTGCGAATGAAGAGCTTACGTCACTACGGTTTAATCCTTCATGATTATAAAACGAAACTTCCACAACTTTCGTATTAATCCACAACAGCCAAGAAACGCTTTAGAGAATAGCTAATTACGAATGATTGTGAAGTGAATACGTTTTGTTTGGAATTATCTGTTGCTGATATTATCATTTTTATATTAATAAGGAAAAGATTGATTTTAAAGTTAATTAAAGGATTATAGCCGTAATATGTTATGTAACAATGAATAATGTATCCTCACAGATTACAAGCTTTCCACACAGGCAATCACAGACCATCCCATTCAGGGAACTCTCACCACTGCCTGCCTATTCATGGATTTGTGTATGAAAAACTCATTCACAAGCACCCTGCCCAATTCGTGAATGAAAATCAGTCACTACAAGTAGTTTTTAAAAACATAGTAACAAGACCCTTAAAGGTATTCAAAGCCAAGAACATCTTTAGAAAGGGAAGGCTAAAGTTGGAAAAACGGTAAGAAAATTCCACAACTTGTAGGGATGCTAAAAACAGGGACTGCGGAAGAAGGGGGCCCAATAACTTCCAAAATGTACTTATAACCATACAAAAAATGCCTTGCTCTTGGCATAAGCATGTTCAGCCCCCTGAAAAACGTCTTAGCCCTCTCAACCTATATAATATGCTCCGCGTTCCTTGGCTAAAACTACAGTGGGTGGATGTAAATGGTACGTGGATGTCATCTGCAAAACTGAACAAGGTGTGAAAGTGTACTCGTTTCTGACTCGAACGATCTTTGCCCCCCCCCCCTTTGTTGTGTTAATAATTTGCGCAAAAATAATCATAGTACATTCGACAGAGATCATTGCGAGTTCATTGATAAAATTTGGTTTTGGATTCATTCATAAAGCCTTACGTAGAGTTTCCATTGAGTTGAATGGAGGTATGTTTCCTATGAAGGTCAAGTCTTCTTACTTATTATTCGAAAGAGGTTACGGTCTCTAACTACGAGTTACTATAAGTTACAACTATGCAAAACAAGGGGTTAAAATGTTCGCTACAATCGGAACAGATGATTTTTCCTTGTTTATAGTAGCTACTCTCATTGTGTTGCTGTAGCTTCTCTATTCCCCTGGAATAATAAACATCAAGATTAATAGTTTTTTGAGATGACGCAAGAGAACTAATGTAGATGACAGCAGAAAGATATGTATGTTAAGTATGTTTGTTAACTAGGAAAGGCAAATAAGGTATAAGAATAAGGTTTTATCACATGAGTAGAAAATAGAAATGTTATGTAGAAAACTGTAATTAATCATAAGTTCGTTTAAGTTCAAATCATCATGATTCTGGTACTGCTTTACGTGTTTTCAAGATGCCCTTAACAAATGGAAATAACAAGTGGATTTTTCTAAATATCCCCAGTTTTGAAGCATTGCTCCTGAGATAGCATTCGAAATATCTTTCTCGCAACAGGGCTGGTTCTCATTGTGAACGCAATGGTTTCCACGATAGCAACAAAAAACAAATATTAATTACACACTCCTTGTCTTGGGTTAAGACAGTTTTGATAAGCGTACCCAAAATTAGCATTTCAAGGTTTTGTGAACCAGACACTGGAATCGACTGTTTAAATTGCAAATTAGCCAGAAAACCACGAATGATTTAAATTTGCCTAGAGGATACAAACTCGCCAGTTCCTTATTTAGCAACTTAACTGTTCAGCAAGTTCAACGGTCATGCTGACACAACTCTCAGTGATTAGCAAGTTGTCTGGAATTTATGTTGAGAAGCTAATCGCATAACGCAGAAGAAGGAGCAGAATCCACACACGTTGCCTGGTAAGTTGGGTTAATGTTTCTTTCATGGTTGCTAATTTATGACACGAAAACTGTTTTATTTGCAACATCACTATGATTTAGTCAAGAAGAGACTGTGCTTAATTAATTTCAAAAGATTTTAATTTATTAAAAGTGGATTTTGACACTTTTTACCACTCGGGGAAAAGCCCTTCCTTCATAGTTGGAATTCGAATCGGATCATGGCTAGATCGCACTTTTATACAAGGATATTTCAGACTTTAAAAGTCAGATTTTTTAAAAGCCATGGAAGCAGGGTTTTACTTAAACTAAACGAGATGCATGCGCCAAATTCTGAAAACAATTATACATTTGTTGCAAAAGGCTGCAGGTAACTTAACAGAGACTGACACTGTGCTACAACGATTGCATTATTTAACGAAGACCTTATTGCAGCTTAAAAGTTTGTAATTTCATGGCCAACCAGAAGTAATTAAAGAGGACTTCTTTAATATCTGCATGGTGGTGCTGAGTTGATTATCCTACCCTGTTATTCCCATGACCGCCATCAGAAGATGTGTAATAGTAAACCCTTGTGCAAACCTATCTATAAATACAGATTCCGAAAATAGCACGTCTTTCTACGAGATATTTGGGTGGCGATGAAGTTTGGAACGGATCACTCTGTAGGATAATCTACAAGCTTCAGCGGATTCTCTCAGATTTAGGCTCAGTATGTACTAGATTGCAACTTTGCTGACAGCTCATCTAATTGGCTGACAGTCCATGCACTCACTCCAAGAGCAGCTCATTCTCAGATTGATGTTTATTCTCAACAATTCTGCATCACTGCACTAAGGGCATGGGTTTTTATTGCAAAAATGTAGTGGCGAGACCTTACTTCCCTCGCCATTTTATAGGGGAGACGTATATGGACGAATGTATTTCCTTTGTACGCTCTAGGCGAAAACTGAAGCAATTAGGTATTCTGGCGCCATTGCTCTTTTGCAAGAGATACAGTTGTTTCGTAAACAGCATTTTGTCCAGCTTCAGATACGCTTCAATCGGAAAGAGGGACTACTTATCATAGATAAGAAATGGGGGCATATTTTGCAATCTTATTCTGAATGTATTAAAATCTATACTCAAAAAGGATATAGGAATCTATCAATAGTTACATTAGACAAACGATTTATTGGTGCCAGTTTTTTGTAAGAATGGATTTGCTTTTCTCTGAGTACTAGATCCATATTCAGATCATAGACTATCTTTCTATATGTGTCTTCAGTTGGTGTCTTCAGTCACAAGGCGGTCTATGCCAATGTATATTGTTCAAAGTAGCCTGAACTAATCGCATTTTTATGGTTAAAAGTTAAAATTTTACTCAAGACACTGTACTGAGTCTATTTGTTTTGTTATTTAATTAGTTTACTGCTTGTTCTTGTCCGGAGGAAACATATAGAAACCTATTCTGTTGTTGTTTTGTCAAATGAGGTGAAGGAAATATCCACAATGATTTAAAGTATGCATCAGGGGGGATCGTTTCAGCGGTTACATCAAAAAACATTTTATTGTTGCAGTCGTTGCTTTTCTTAACATACCGATAAGATTTCCCGCATTAAAATCAATCAGGAACGGGAAATACATTTCCTGAATCTTGCATAGGCGGTTTCCCTCTACTGCAAATACAACCTTTGCTTCTAAAGCCCTTTAGCCTCTAATTATGTACTTTTTGCGTCTAAAACCTCAAGAACGCTGGGTTAAACTCTTATTCCTGATATCAATCTTGGAAATCCAGAAGGACACGTATGCGAGCACGTATGCGAGCACGTATGCACTATCAGAGAGAAATTTTGCGTCAATGAAATATGAGGGTAGAAGTAACTGAGCAAAAAGTTGGTCTGTGAAGCTGCGAGCTTCTTACGTTAAAACTTACGAAAGAGTAGATTTTTCAAACTACGATGCAACGTTATTGTATGGGTATTCATTACTCAGACAACCCACCGGTCACTAAAGTTTAAAAATTTTAAATAAAAGAAAATGCTATAGTGCGTTGAATCGCTTCTTGTTAGAGCCGCAGTTTTCGGTAGAGAAATTCATCTGGTAAGTTGAATTTCTTTCCTAGGCCTAAGATTCCCCCAGTTTGAATTCCTTGATTTTGGCGCAGGAGATCCATTACAGAGTCAATTCTTGATTGCTCATTCGATTATTTCTGTTCCATGCTCTTTTGTGTTGTCTTGTGTTTGTTGCATCTTATTCAACTCCTTGTTTTGCCTCGTTGTGGGCAGCCAGTCTCTGTTTGGTGTTATTTGCTGTTTTGGCTTCGGGCAAGTCAAGAAAAATGTCATTTTGAATATAAATCCCCAGAAGTAGAACTCCCTTTGCTCAATTTCATATTTGTATTTGATACAAAACTATATGAAATTTGATAAAATTATATTTCATATCTAATGCCTAGTGTTCGAAGCTTCTCTAGTAAACTTTGGAATAATTCCGAGTTGACAGTGCCTGTCTTGGCTATTCGAGCAGTGGCTGATGAAAGATTGCTTCATTCGTAGAGAAATAAAGCTCTTGAAGCATTGGTAGGGAGCAGTGTCTCTTAAACTTACCCATAGCTGACCAAGATTGCAACAGTATAGCATTATGTCAGGACATTGGCTTAGCATCGTGGTGTAACGTTAGACTAACAGCATTGCCTCGCCAATCGGATTTCAGTGTTGTGATTTTAATAACAAACTTTGGTTTAGCTGACCACCCGCAAACAAATACCCTGGTTAGCGATTATTCACAATCGGAAAGAAACAAAAGTATTCGAGTTCAAATTTTCTTTAGGACAATATTGAAAAATACTTCATGGTTGACACTTGCAGCTAAAGGCCTCGTTGCGTGTTAACGCCTGTATAAGATAGAATGTAAGCGAGCTTCCTAAACCATATATTCACCTTCACAGTAAGCTGCCAGATTAGATAACTCTATGTTGCATATAATCGGAGTTTTATTCAAAGTTTTATTTTCTTACACAAACACCAATTCTTTGAAAAAATACATTTTGATAAGACCAAGAGTACCATATTAACATCAGTTGGAGGAGTGAAAGGAACAATTTCGAAGGTGTAGTTTGAAGGTAGACAGCGAGGCCGGGATAAAATAAGAAGGGGGATAACTAGTGTTCTGAAAGTAGGGGGAAAATATGACTGAAGGGAGCCTTGTCATGTGTTATTGCTTTCCAAGGGGATGGTTAGGGGGGGGGGGGGAGATTGTAGCGTTGACAGCATCATGTGTAAAATGTAATACGCTAGAGATAGATAAAACTGATGAAAGAGGAGTTGTTCAAAGGGTTGAATTCAGCTACCAATTACGATGTCTACTGATAAGTAGCAAATAAACTGGGATTCAAATTGATTGATAGTCAAATCGAAAGGAAATTAAACGGAACCACTGCTTTGAACTGGCCGTCGTAGATACTGAGAAAAGGCTAGTGTTTTTATCTTATCTCTTAGATTCAAAGAATAATTTTTGTATCTTTAAGGATCAAGTATATGGCTAGCGATATATCAAAATTTTTGTCCCCAGCTGGCTTTTGGGAAGTACATAATCGCCCAATCGGCAAGGAGATATTGAAAAGGTTATGGAGTTTTCTGCCACAGTGTATAGCAAGTTGTCATGTTACACATGGCAAATAAATGAAAGTTTTAAATTACTAGGCAATGTCATATGAGAGTTAACATATTGCGGTGTATGACCATTAGATTTTAGGCGGAACCGTGGCATTGATCAATGCAGCCCCTTGTTAACACTTTGAAAACTGATTCGTATGCCAAAGCTTATAATGGTCATTCGAGAACATGCCTTCAAAGCCAGACATGCTCTTGGTGTCCCAAGGATTACAAAGAAATAATGTTGTAGATATAGATTAAATATGATTAAAGTCTATGGATTATTGAATTCAGAGCCTGCGCTATACACATAAACATGTCACAACTCTGGTTCAGTTATCTATCTGCAGGGTTTTTGAAATTGATTGGAAACAACCGAGAACGTATTTTTTCTAGAGTTTGGAACAGATACTTTGCATCGCCTTGTCGCCAGGTTCTGTTGTCAGGGTCGAATCATCACGAAAATATTAAACTTTTTTCATAATGGAACCAATCATTTGTTTATTCTTCTGATTTAAACACTGCTAAATAATGCATTTTTATCATTTAAGTTTTCATGTTATGTTTATAAAGATGACTGTTGAGTATGAACTATTCATAGGTAAACCAATAGTGCAGAAAGGTGTTTTTAAGAGATTTTACGAAATCCCAATTTGGTCACAAAGAATAAGCAGCAACCCAAGCCCCGCCCTCATCTTACCCTCATCTTGTCCTTATCTTACCCTCATCTTGTCCTCATCTTACCCTCATCAAGCCCTCATCTTACCCTCATCTTACCCCCATCTTGCCCTCATCTTACCCTCATCTTTCCCTCATCTTACCCCCATCTTACCCTCATCTTACCCTCATCTTACCCTCATCTTACCCTCATCCTGCCCTCATCTTACCCTGCTCTTGAACGCAATCGTCCCTTTTTTTCAATATCAAAAGTGGAACAAATTGATTAACATGGCCAATGTTTTCCCACAGATTCTAAGACCCAAACAACGCTGCGGTTTGGCACAAGGAAATCATCGAAGATATGGTGGGGATGTTTTCATTGACAGCCCTTCTGGGTGTGATTCTTCAATGTCTTGTGGTTAATAGTCAGATTCTAGGAAAGCCGTCTAATCAGCCATCGACCAATCAGCAACCCCGAGGAGGGTAAGTCATTGTTTTTTTTATTCTTAAGTCAAAAGTTAATTTGTTAATTTGAACAATTTTATCGTACATGGTCATTTTATCTATGCGGGTATCGCATGCCTGTTGAGGCTGATAGCCACGAATACCACCCCAAACAAGATCAATAATGAACAAGAAGAAAAAACAAGACAAACAAAGAAATTTTTTAAACTGTAGACTAATCTACATTGCTGTTCAAGAAATTTGAAGTTTTACCCCAGTTTATTTGCAATCGATGAAACGTCGGTGTAAAAGCAAAATCAGTGTCAAAAATATTTTACTCGTAACTGGAGTTTATATTTTCTTTCTCCTTATGTTTCAAGACAAAGAGTAATCTGCCTTAACAAAGTTTCGTGGGTGGTTTAGCGAGCCTAGAGACAAGATAGTAAACAGATCGCTATATTGTACCCTTGTTGAGGTACTTGAAGTTGTAACGCGGGCGTGTTTGAAGGACGTCTCAAGCCTAATGGGCTGCAAAGTATGTGGAAAGATTCGCGCGTCTTTGGCCTAGCATCAACAGCGAATGCTAGGCTGCGAAAGCCCCTGCTCTAGAATGATTAGTATAGCAGGACAGCCTGAGGCATTTTAGTTAACCCTAGGTAAGTTTGCACCTCTATAACGAAGGCCAAATATGTGGTGATTTGATTGAGAATTGAGAAGCACTCTGATCCGATGTTAGACACACTTAATCCTTGAATGTAATGCGCAATGAAAGGAAAACCACTCTTCTGTTTAATCTAAATTGTAGTCGTTACCGTCGGCTATATATTAATCTTTCTTTATTGAAATATTCTTGCTAAAAATAGGAAACATGCTCCTAACAGCATATATTTTGAGCGAACCAAATTAATCGTACAATTCGTTTATCTCATCCATTTCGGAAACGATCTGCTCAATCCTTTGCGACTCTTTGAACATGCACAGGGAACAAATGCATCAGATTTGCTCGATGCCCAATCGGTCACTGACAATAAACCCGATATTTTAAACCCGAGGCAAAGTTCATAACCGTGGGACAACCATTCTGTCCATAAATACGATCTGTCACCTTTGGTTGCCGCCAAGCTCACGCCTCAAGTTTCTCTATCCACGTTGCAGCTAGCAGTTGCGTTATTGAACTAGAATCGACACCGCAAAAGCTTACGCGTGTTCTCTGGAGCTATCGTTACCCATTAGACAGCGAAAAAAACATAAATTTTGGTTAAAGGAGAGCTATTTTCGCTGAATGAGAAACAGCAGAATAATGGAAATGTAAGATAGGGATAAGGTTAAGAATTTTGGATAAGACTATCTTTAAGTTTAAGAATGTTTAGTATGATTTAATGTTTAAGTTTAATATAATTCCCACCGTATTTCAGTCCTAAGAAGTTATTGCAATAGTCGGCCAAGATTTGCTAGTTGCAGGTGAGAAATAGCAACAGTTGAAGGGGCAGGAAATGGACATTTGCTCTAATGGCTCTAAAGATAGTTGTTTCAAGAAATTGGGCATTTTACCAAAGTTGGGCATGGGACCCTGGGGCCTATACTCCGATATCCATAAATAGCAATATGATTTTCGAATCTTTGCTGATTTATTTCTTGATAACGTTTTGCTGATTTCTTTGAAATGTCTTTTGAAATAGCGAGGCAATGATTTGATGTCGCAAAAGCGCATGGCATGATTATGAGAAATAGTCATGAACAAGCTCATGAACAAGCTCATGAACAGTCGTTCAAATTCAACGCTTTGGGAATGTATGGAAAACCCGAATTCAGTTAACAGTTGGTTAATTATTTCATCATACTATAAGTCAACTATTTATAATTTAGTCCATCCCAGAAGTTCTCGATTTCAAAGTGCCGATGAATCCACAAATATTCCAAAACAATTTGGTATTGTGGTTGACAAGTTTAAATGTTGACGTATGTCTTCTCGTCTGGCATTCAAAGGCAAAGCTCCTTTTAATGAAATTTATCGCCTTGATCCTTTACCTTCTAGTGAAAGTTCCGTATCGCTGTTCAATGGAATGCTTGACATAACCGGAGGGGCTATTTTTGACCAACAACCAAAAGGGACCCTGGATCTGATCGTTTTTCTGGAATTTAAAACCGCCTTTTTCAGGAAAAGTGCCCCCGTTTTGCGAGTATTTGCCTTATTCTACAAAATAGATCCTTTTTCAGAAGCTACAGAACAACAGCTTTTTGTTTTCTTAAAAAGTACTGAATCGAGGCCTTTCATACATATCATGAATCAAACCCTGTGGCAATGACGCAATTACTTCTACAGATGAGAAAACTCCGTCGGTCTCAAAAGCGTTTGATAAATTTTGTGTTGTTTGATTTATAACAAATCTGCGAGACAATGCCAGGGACAATGCCATAAACCTGCTTTGGGTGTTTTTTGGTGTAAAATTGACTGAAAATGCTAGGTTTCCCAAAGGAAATAACGATGGTTTGTGAAGAGTATGTTACCTGGACGACATCTTACACTGCGTCAGGGTTTGTATTGACTGTAAAAAAATCTTTCTAGAGCTTAGTGGTAATCAACCATCGATTTTAGAATGAGGAGATTAACCTTTCCATGCCGAATTTACGTAAATTGGCAAGACTTTTCGTCAGTGATAAATATCTTCGTCCGTAAACATGAGTGATAGCCAAAAATTTGTGATAAAATCGTTAATGTTATGTCGTGGAAAGATAATGTTAATGGTTACAAAAAAGTGTTATCAGGGCAAAGATAAGTTTCTTAATTGGTTGAATTTGAAAACTCTGTATTGTGTCCTCGGGTGAATTAAAAGGGGACAGTCGCTTCAAAGTAGACAAGGATAGTGACAGTAAAAACAGACAGTTGAAAACACAAACTATTATTGTCACATTTGCATTAGGAATGAATATATTTGTTTCCGTAAAGAATTGTGTTTAAATTTGTTTACAAGACCACCAGCCTAAAAAAGTTGATTAAGTTTATTTTAAATGACTTACTTATTTTCTAGACGTTTTGCATTAACTTGGCGAAAGCCTGTCTTTCCAAAAACCTATTTGTGGCTTGATTAGCAATCTTTCTTTTACGCCAAATCTTTAACCATAAATTTTTCTTCCCTTAGGCCTATTCAGTGCTAAATGCCATTTTCTATAGTATCGCCTAGTATAATCTTAATACCAATCCGTTCTTGGTCGCGGCTTGCTTTTGGGTCCTTTTTGATTCATGTATTGGCCCATTTCTTAGGAGTCACTTATTCATAGCCAGGAATGCTCCATTGTATTTTTTGGCTCATCTTTGTCACTATAAGCAAATCAACCCGTTTGACCCAGCAGCGATTCCAAACCAATTTCATGTCGGTCTTTCTCATTCATCATATATTTTATCTGAATTCATAATTTATCGGCTAGAAGGCCAGTCTTGACGTAAGCGACCCTTCTTATAACCCCGTTATATTTCAGTCAAATAATAGTCATGATATTTCCTTCTCCAATTTTGCGCAACCATGTATCTATCTTACAATAATCAAATCAATATTTAGTGCAGCTTACCAGAAAAGTTTGGCAAAAAATAAATGACATAAGTACTATGTGACTGATAAGTCAGTAGAAACTTTGGCCATGGTGGCTAGAACCTACAAATAGTTTTCGTTTTGACTTCCTGGACGTCAGAACTTTCAATTTTTCAAAAGGGACTGGAGGGGAACAAGAAACATTTTCGGGTTGTCACTTAAAGCATTAAAAAATTTGATATCTATAAGAGATTTTTGATATCTAAAAGGGGTTTTTGTGTTTATAAAAAGCATTTCCCGATAACTATGGTGTTCAACATTAAAGTCGTGCAAATTTTGCAATATCAATGATATTAAGATTGCACTTGTGGCAGTTCCTATATTGGTCACTAGGAGACTTTTTAGTGCAAAAACTGTAGCATCTATTTTACCAATTTTCCTGGAAGAGCTGTCCCCTTAAGCTAATTATGAAATCTGAGCCCCAAAACAAAGTTTAATTAGCCATTTTGAATAGAAAAAACCGCACCTAGACGGAGAATTATCCGTGAAATTACTTAAAAATCATCTGTTTTGGTCGTAAAAAGGAGTTTCAGTCAAAACGAATTATTGTTGATTCTTGTCTTTGTGTTGTTCTGTTCACTCTTTCTTTAAAAAGAACACAGGGTATAACCAAAGACTGAAGTGTTTACTGTATCGACTTCAGGAGTAGTTGTAAAAGTAGAAGGGCCAATGATGAATGTGGTCACTCAAGTAGAAGCAGAGGAAGACGTTCCTATCATGGAAGGTTTTGCTATTGGCTTTTGTCTGACGATCTGATGCAGAATGACTTTTAAATTCCAGTTCAAAAACATTACTTTTGTAATAAATGTTGAACAGGAATCGGAAATTTTGCCCCACCTTATCTATAATCATAAATTGTCAGACTGCATTTTATCAGTGTTTGCAAATTTTTTTGTGTATGATATTTACGAAATATAGAAAAGAAGCGCAAGGTTCCCACTTCCTTGGTCACTGACCTTGTTTGATAACCAAAGATCAGACCTGTTATTTTAACCAGATCAGTAAGAGAGAAAGCTGGCCGGAAAAGAGAGCTATGTGATAAATGATTGCAGTTGCCTAAGACAAGCAATTCATAAATGCGAACAGAGTGATTCTGCTAAACCTGATTGGTGTGCACGGAAATATGTTAATAGTTGTTGTGGAAATCGAAGTATGAATAAGGTCTTTCATCAAAGCTTGCTCACGAACTGATTAATCTTTGAATCCAATTTCTGAGGGTTTGCACGAAGGATTCATAAGCTAAAGGTATTAAGAAAAAGCCACTTCATATTCAAGCTGTCGTAAATTTGAAATGCTGGTTTTAGGGATTCTCATTTTTTACAAAACTAACAGAAGTGATTAGCTTCTTTGTTTCGTCTAACTGCAGGACCGAATTTAAACAACTGCTGTTGTTCTACTAACTTGATTGCTACGGTTTTGAAATTATCCTTGACTTTGGTCAAGTCTAAAGATTTTTTTCCAAGGAAAATTCCAAGCATTGATGCGACCGCGTTAATTTTGTTGATGAAAACTGAGCACATTCAAGCCTTCGAGCGGTCCTCTTTGCTGTCGGCATTGTGGTTTTTGGTCTAAAATCGCAAGTCATTCATGAATCTTGGTGTTCTGAAAAAACAGGATTATTTAAAGAAACAATTCGATAGACAGGAGCAATACATTGATAAATGTTATGAGCTTTTCATTTCATTGAGGATTTTGGAAGTGTGTAAAAAACAACTTAAGGCCGATTTCCACTAGGCGAATTCTTTCACGCGAATCGAATAAATATTCGTAGCGATAGAGTAGGACCGTGATCTACTTTCTGCGAATCGAATTTTTTCACTGCAAAATCTGAGAACATTACACCACGCATGCTCACATTGGCAAGAATTCGATTCTAGCGTTCGCTGGTCATTGATCACCGGAAAAACCATTTCAAACAGCCTCGGTTTCAATCACGATCCTTATTAACAGAAACAAAACCAGGAACATATTACTTATTACTTATTACCTTTACCAAAAACCTATTCAAAGAATGACGTTGAAAAACATATAAAGAAATCAATAAGCGAAAGTGGTTTGCTAGAGTTAAGCATTTGTCAGTGAGTATTGTAAATATAATTTGAGGATTGCTACCTACCGCACTTGTCATCGTTGTTGTTGGAAACATTTTGATAGATTCAAGTACAGATTTCATGGCCACCGCTCAGTATTTTATTATTGCGTTCAAGATCTTGTGTTATTCTTTGAAATAAATTTTGAATTCATTTCAGGTTTTTGTAAATCAATTATCTTTGAACATGAGATCTTGGCTGATTGGTTGTATTCATTATAATGGCTATTGTAGAACTCTTCAAATTGCCAGTAATTCAAAAAGTTTACAATACGTTTGTCAATAGATTTTCTTTCTACCTAGACCAAACATTTGTGGTTCAGGATTCAGAAGACAGTGCTGCCCAGGATGGATGGCTGACAGAAATGGACTTTGCACACGAGGTAATCTATCACCAGGATTTGCTATTTCATATGTATGATGGATTAATAATTCTATTGAACTGAAACTATTTTGTAGACCATATCTATATTGGAAAGTTGATTAAAATGACAGGGAAGGTAAATTCATCCGGTAACTTATTTAAAGGAGAACTGACACGCAAAAATAAGTTTGGCTAAAACGGTAGTTTGTGACAAGCAAATTCCAGGATCGAAAAAATTTTTTAAATCACAGTTACCGTTTTTGAAATACAGGCGTTTTAAGTTGAGAAACGACAATTGTTCCGACAACTTGAGACTCGAGGCGAAAATCGTCACGAGTGGACGATCATCTTTGACGTCACAAGTGACATGTTCTCAGCACGTATTGTGTTTCTCTATAGAAACCTTTAACAAAATGCTGCGGACAAATGTTTATTTTGTGCATGTGAAAGGAGCTAATTTTGCATTTTTGACACATAATTGACTTTTTCAATAGTTTGGGACTCTGAATCGGAGTTTTATTACACTGATTTCGAAACAAATGGAGAGTTTCAGCCGTCTGAGTTTTTGCTACCAACCAGCGATGCCGCTTGGGCAGACAGTCGTCCCATGGCTCAACAGTGACGATATTGTAAACAAAGAACAGACTGGAAGTACAAACTGATATGGAATTTCTATTAAAAATAATGCTATTGCTACAATCTAAATGAGATCAGGTATCGTAAAACTAGAATTTTATTTCAGATTGAGGCGTCTTTGGCCAGACTGCTTTGTCTGTATGGCCTAAATTGGCTAAAATGCCCATGATGACCTAAACGGAACTGCAAGTTATTTATTGTTAATATAACATTCTATGATTGTTTTTCAATGTTTTAAACGCGTTTACTGTATAGTGATATTGAATAGTAAAGGCGGGTTAAAAGTCGACTTGTGCGGATTTTATGCCATTTTCACCCGGCGTGAAGGGTTTCGGGAACTGATAAGTTACCTGGCAGTCGAAAGATCTGGATTTACGAAATAGGCTCTTAGCTCTTAGTCAAAAACTTGATTTCTTAGTCGAAGAAAATGCTGTTTAGCTGTCATAGAAATATCAACTGGCGCATTATATTCTTTTGCAAGCAATTTTGACTTGGGTGGGGGATGGGCTTTTTGCAAGACTAGGTTATTCCCTAGTATCTCAACCTCTGTTAAAATACAATAATCAAGTTCAGTGAAATTATTATTTAGTCACACTCGCAGCTCCCATCAACCAAGGTTTTTTCTTGAATTCATATTTCTGCACCCAAAGCAGGTTGCAGGATCGCTTTTACCGCTGTTTCCACTAGATTTCGTTTGTCTTTTGGCTACTGCTTCAACCCCCCACCCCCCATGTTGCGATTTTTTTGTAATTGTAAAAATAAAAACTTTGAAGAAACGGTATCAGTTTTCAAACAAAGTCGACTCCTTTTTTCACAAGCTTAGAGGTTCTTTCAATGTTTCAAAGCATGCTGGTTCGAAGATATCATGGCATGAAAATAAATTTTATGTGGATATAAGCGTCTTAGCAGACATGTAGCTAGGATTTTCTAGCCTCTATATACTTATAAATGTAATGCCTGACAATTTTTTGTCTTTTCACCGCGGACTTTTTTCAATAAAACACGAAACTTCACTTGTATTTTCACCGTTGCGGTGAAAGCCTTTACAACGGCATTGTTAACATGTCACTTGTGACGTCAACCGAGAATTTTAACAACTCCTGGCGATAATCTTGTTTCCGCTTCGGGAAATTCCCGAGTCCTGGCTGTGACGTATTTGACGGATAAAAGTGCAAATATCAGAAAAACGGCGAATCTAAGAAGAAAACTTTTTCCAGATTTGAAATCAGCGACAAATTTTGCATCGAATAAGCCAAAGTTATTTTTGCGTGTCAGTTCTCCTTTAAAGGCAAAGAAGTTAATGGCATTTACTATAAGGTAGCAAAAATGCATATGTTTATAAAATTTGAAATAATCAGTGTTCTTGAATAATTCATGTTGTACAGATAAAGATGTATATAGATATGGACAAGTTTTTGATAAGTTTGGACTCTCGAAGACATTTATTGCTAGATAAACTTCTAATTTTCATGAATACTCCATTAATATACTTTTAAGACATTAATTCAACTACTTTACTACACTTCAACGATGATACTTCGGGATACAGACAATACCATGTGTCCATTATGATAAAGAGCCTTTTTACATGTTGATTAGCATAAAACCTAACAGCATTATTCATAGATTATTCTGCTTATAGGGATGAAAATAAACATTTCTCTAGCAGTATAAGTCAAACCATTGAGATTGTTTGTTGTATCATGATAAACTTATTTTTTTAATTCTAATTTTACTGGTGCATATGTAAAATCTGCTTTTGTTTGTTGTGTTTTGTGTTTTGATGAGCAATACTATCAACTTGTGTTTTTTCCCTTCTTCTTTGAGTATCTGCCACTTTTTCCTCAAGTATCTGCACTTACATTGCCACAATATGCAATATATATTTTTACATAAAAACACTTATATGATCAATATACTGTATAACTGTGTTAATGATTATCTTCACATGTCTTGAAGTAAACTTGTATATTTGTTTGATTTATGCAGCTGTCTGCAGAACCAACTGTGGTTTCGGAATTTGTAGGAGTCCTAATCTATGTCAATGTGGAAGAAACACATTTGGTCCATCATGTTCTCATATTCGAGGAGGTATGTATACTCACATGGGGTTTCTTAAACATGAATTTTACTAAAGGCTGTGACTCTTTTCATTTCTTATTGTCCAGTGATATTGATTCCATTTGAATTTAGGCCATAAAACTTCCTGTTTGAAACAAATTTCAATTTTCCTTTTCATCTGCATTTTTCCCCATTGATTTGATCATCACTACATTTGGTTTTTGTATACTAATTGTGATGAGTTTTTGAAATTTTCTTTTAAGGTGCAGGATTTGGAGGCTGTAGATTTCTCTGTAGAAATGGTGGCAGGTGCAATAATCAAGGATGCAATTGCAGACGTGGTTTCAGTGGCTCACGTTGTGAAAAGCGTAAGTAAACAGGCCTGTATATTATAATCATTTATGTATTATTATCAATATGAATGTATCTTAATTGCTTGATTTCTGACATGTTTCTATACTTAAGTTTCTTTGTTTTATTTTTAGCTATCTGCAATCTGCGATGTCTCAACAATGGCCGATGCATTTCACCAAACAGGTGTTCCTGTCCATATGGCTTCTCAGGACCAAGATGTGAACTTGGTTAGTTACAATTACGGCAAATTTTGTAGTCAAATACTTTCAGTTAATAAATCAATATCTAATTAAATACTTTAAATTGTGAAACCATAAACTTGAGTTGTTTCATATGATATTACTATTTACCAGTCTGTCACAAATTGCTCACTGCAGCATAAGCAAAGATAACTCTTTTGGTGTATAGAACTGGACAGTTCTAAGTTGCTACTCTGAGTTTCACGCTTAAGGAGCTCCTGATAATTGCATTAAGAATGATGCTCTGGTTCACAGCTTAAAGCTGTCATATTCCTTAAACCTAAAGTGTAAGCTGTTATAAAGATAGCAATTGATAATATTTATGCAAATAATGGTGTAGGAAGCACCCATACTGTAATCTGAGCCTTGCAGATTGTGAGTCATCTTACAGTGAATTGCATTAGGTTTTCAGCAGGGGCAGACACTTGGTCAAATATTGGGGCAAGCCTATTGTTTGGATAAGATGACTTCATATTTTTCAATTGTTTCAGTACATAAGATCATTTTCTTCCAAAATATTGGAGGGGGTGACTACCCCATCCCCCCAGTCCAAGTGTCCACCACTGGTTTTCAGCTAAAAGCTGTGATTTACCAGTTGAAATGAAGTTTCAGATGTGATATTTATATATTGATTATGTTATTTACATCAATAGAAAAATATAGTTATGGCCTTTTGCTCAGTGTTTTAACATATTTTTTCCATTTTAGACTACCGTCTTGGCGAATGCTTCACCAAAGTTGAAAACATGATGTGCAAGAACAGACTACTTGGAGTCAAATGCACAAAAGTTGCTTGCTGTGCTACTGTTGGAAAGGCTTGGGGAGTCCCATGCAGGCTTTGTCCAAAGAATCTTGGTATGTTTGTATTAGATATAAAGCATAATTTCAAGAGTCAGACTCAAGAAATCGTTTGATTCTATAATGTTTCCATGTTTCTCATCAGTAAAAAACGAATGGCTGTCATTCGAAATATTAATTAAAATCATCTAAATCAAAATTCGTTTTCGGTTGTTGGTTATAGGCAGATTTCTCTTTTTTGTAATTTTTCCCTTGTCATTCTCTTGTGTCTGTTTGAAATATTTTGTTTGTCAAGCAAAAAGGAAAAATAGCCTATATTTTAGCATTTTTGTGTGTCACGGTTTGTTTACATAAGATGAGCTGCTGTTAAAAGGTTGTTAGACGGTGCAAAGAAAAACTCTCTTGTGAAGATGTTTATAAATTTTTTCGAATTGTTTATAAAAACGTTGAAAAGAAAGAGTATCGAATGATTGTTTATGTGTCTTCAAAAATACAGTTGAATGGGTCAAGTATTGTTGTTAAGCTACTGTTTAAAGATTTTCGTTTGTAGCTAAAGAGCTTAACAGACCGCGGCTATAAACACATTTTATAACTCACTTTCAGACTGTCCGCGAGGTTATATTCCTAACATAAAGAAGAAGAAGTGCGAAGGTAAACATTATATTTGCCTATGTTGTCTTTATTCCCGTTCATTCCTGTTTTCCATAGACCTAAGTGTCTTGTAACATCTTCAGTGGATTGGAAAATGAATTAGCCAGGATGATCTCATTATAATCGAGCCTCTGTCAGTTATCTCATTGGCGAAAAAAGACATGTTTCCGTAATTACTGCTACTCGCGCGAACTGAGCTCACCACAAATTACGTCACTCCTGCGGAGACAGAAGCACAGTAGATTGCTTAAACATGCATAGCCTCTGCCAGTAATTGTTCTTGTTGTCATGATTCTCCTTCAACATTGTCAATATCCTTTCACATTTATTATCGAAAAGTTTAGTTTGTTTGCAGTTGGAGTGAAAACAAAATCTCCATTGAGGCCATAAACTGGCATAATTGCACTTTGCCCAACTTCTACGTAGTATGATAAGTATTTTTTGAATATTTGCCGAAAAGTGTGAATGAACAAAGAAACATTTAAAAAGTGCACGAAACAATAGAAACATTATTAATACGAGGTCTTGGCCATTGTAAAGCTAACAAACCAACAAGGTCATTTCGGATCCATCTTTTACAAAGGTGCACAATGTCAGTCTTTGTCTATCGTGGAAGATAAATCAGAGGCTATAAGGAAGTTTTACTTAAGTAGTCCGGTATTAAAGATTGGTGACTTGCTATTTTGTTCATGGTTGTTACAACTCGTTATTTGCAGATGCAAATGAATGTACCATGATTCCCAACATCTGTGCCGGTGGAACTTGCGTCAACACATTGGGAAGCTACAGATGTGACTGCGGAGAGGGCCGTGTTTACGATGGAGAAAGACACCGCTGCGCAGGTATCCAGGATTGCATTTTTTTTACCATACTACTCACATTCGAAATTTGTTTACATCTGTTGACATCAGATCTGCTAATTGACTTGTCGCAAGCCATATCGAATGAAATTAAGCAGATGATATCCAGTTTTTATCCTTCAAAGATATTGCAATTATGTATGTTGAAATGTATTTTTATTCGCTACGTAGATGTCGATGAATGTAAGAAGAACCCGAACATTTGTGGAAATGGTGGCAAGTGTGAAAACTTGGATGGCAGCTACAAATGTTCAGGCTGTAAGAATGGAGCCGTGTTAAACAAAGACAAGACAAAATGTGTTGGACCAGGTAGGTTGGTCCGATGCACACAATCTTGCAAATTCATTTTTAAAGGAATTTACGTAGGCATATGCAAATTGAAACTTATAATGGTTTTTAGATTTTTATCTTGCCAAGCAGAAGACCATTGATGATTAATGATTTTGCGATTTCTTGCCAAGCAGAATTTATGATTTTGTGATCAATGATTAGATGATTCGATGATAGGTGGTAATGAACTTATTCGAAAAGAAATTCGTCATCATTACAGACAAATAGATTCTTAAAGTTGTCTTCACAAGCAAAATTAGTTGTTGGTACAAAAGATCGAACTCCCAACAGTGAATATCATCAACTAATGTCATAAGGTTCAAGTGAAATCCTCTAACCGCAACGATTCCATGTTGAATTTTTCTCAGGAATTTTTGAAACCGAATTTTTCTTCTCTACATCAAACGGGAAGGACCGGCGTAGCTAAGTGTGATGCCCATATTTTGTTTGTCAGTCCATTTAACATGAAGCATTCGTCTTTTTGGACTTACTTGCTTTGCTAAAAAAAATTGATAAACGGTAAACTTTAAAGTCCTATATTTCTAGCCGAAGTTAAAGTCGTTGGCAAATGCTACGAGGAAAAGGACAATGGTAAATGCATGAGGCCATTCAGAATGGATCTCACCAAGAAGAAGTGTTGTTGTCAAAACATTGGAAAGGCGTTCGGCAAAAACTGTGAAATGTGTCCAGCTCTCGCCACTTGTAAGTTAAGCCTCTTCTACGCATCTTGATGACCGATCTACAATCAACAGCCGTAAAAAAAGTTTAACGTTTTTTTTCATGCGAGGTATAACACAGATAAATCACCTAAGTTCATGTTTCTTTCGACCACATTTTATCGGACTGTAGTCAACTATCAATGTCACCCATGGATTCCAATTTTTCTCTTTAGTTCTCCATTTTATTGTGAATGCTGAAGTAAAACCTGAATATTTCGATACCGAGTTAAACGATTTTGATGCCGTTCACACCAGAATGTTTGATTTCTGGTTGAAATTTCTGTTCAAATAAACCCTTTTGATTTTAGAATGCCAATTGTAATGATTAAGCCATTAACGTTCTCTTAATAATTTAATATGACTCTAAATATTATATTTAATTATCTAACTCGATCTAAAATCTTCTGAAAGCCATAACCTGATATACTAGCAGCTTTAATGTTGATTTATGCGAGTCGATATTCATACGAAACCGTTTTATCTGAATGACTTTACAGTTGTTTTTATTGAATGCACAGAGGTAAGCATTGCATAAATGGTTCGTTTTCTGTCATAGCTGCCTACATTGCACTTTGTATATCGGGAACCAAGCCAGGCGTTGTTACTGATTCCTCTGGCACAATCGTGACAGACAGCGCTGGTAATCCAGTTACTAAACCAGTGACATCCTCTGACGGTAAGTTGGTTAGCACCTACGTGTTTCACGCCCAACTGATTATCCTTCGTGGGATACTGACAGTTGACATAGTAGAAAAAACCTACGGAAGTCTACGGTTTATAGTATAATCGATTTTCTTCGTTGTCTTGTATTTTGTACGGATTCTTACCGGTTTATAGTATAATCGATTTTCTTCGTTGTCTTGTATTTTGTACGGATTCTTGAGAACCAGAAACCAGGTGCCTCCTTCGAAGCACATTTAGCTTGAAGCTCGAAACTGTATTTAAAAAAACATTTTTCAACTATCTATAGATGCTTATATGTACGTTTTTATTTAGAATTACATCATCAATCCCTTTTGGTTTTTTAATGAATACTTAACATCAACAAGAATTTAAAACTATTTTTCTATATCCAATGCAAGAAGGCTGTCTTTTACCTCTAGATCTTAGCATTACTGGACATACCCTTTTTTTATACGAATATATTCAATTAGAAAACTGAGGCAAGGTTTCCAGGAATAAATGACAGTGTATTGACATGTCCAGCCTCAGGCAAAAAGCTAAAAGAAGAAACAATGTGTTTTTGGAAATTATCTCTCATGGCGACAAAACAGAGCAGATTTTATCAGCTAATGAACCGTGCAACTAAAAATGTCACGTAAAGCTGTTATTCAGTGGCATTTATAGTTGTTGCAAAATCTATGTTGAAATAATAAGAAAAACTGATTCTTGAATTATCCAAATAATAAAAACATCAAGCCTCAGAACTATAGTTACTTGATCCTTTAAAACACGATTGTTATTTCTGACGTATTTTACTATTCTGTGAAAGAGCAAATTTGAATTGCTTTTTGCTTAATTTTAGGTTTTTGTTTCGTCACGAGAGAAAATGGAGTGTGTAGCCGTCCAAGCAACAGGAAAGTTGCAAAATCAATTTGTTGCTGTGTTATTAACGGAGCTGGCTTTGGTGACTCTTGTGACGCATGTCCTGCCAAAGGATCTAGTATGTACTCTCAGTATTTATTGCATAAATCTCACTGATTTCCTTCAAGCTGCTTCCTTGACTCGTTAAAGATATAATTACCGGTTGGGAATCATTTTAAATCAAATTTTTGTAATCATTCTCTGCTCAATTCATTCCAAGTTTAAAGACTACTATAGAGTAGTCAGACGGCATTCAGAAGAAACATACTTTTTATAGTTTGTTCGTAATTTCCGTTTGGCTAATCAATTTTTATTACTTTGCTGCAGTTGCACACAACAGGCTTTGCATGACTGATCCTGATGATGGCACTGATATCACAAAGAGTGAGTGGCTACTAAAACAATCCTGATTCGTAAAAAGAATTCTTGATACCTATATAATATTTAGAATCCTCTTTTATCAATGGAAGCCTTTTATACTGCCTAGACTGCAAAAATAATGCACTGAGTGTGAAGCTCAGTATTAACCTCAATCATTTTGTGAGACCGTCATCAACGTCGTAGAAGCAAAATAATGATCGAAACGTGTATTGCTAAGCACCAAATAATCTGTAATGGCGTACTACTGAAAATTGCTTAAACTGTTAGCACATAAATGGGCTAATATTGAAGCTGAAATGGCACTTTCTCTGCCTTTTATCTGGTTTTAGGTCAGTAACCAAAATACACTTACGCTTTTTGACACATTGGAGTAATGCCAAAGTCTACAACGAATAAATGATACTAAAGATGAGGCTTTCTATGATTCTTTCAACCGATTTGGTACTTCTGCAGAACTGGTATTCTGATCCAGATTTCTTATTATGTTTTCTAGAGTTTTTGAAGCACGCAATGTCAAAGCCTTTATCCGACATGTATCATGTTATTGCTGTTACTTTTTCTCGTATATTTCGAAACGAAATTTTGACTGAAAATTCGCCTTTTTGCAGTTATGCTGAACGAATGTGTAGTACAAGGACCAAGCATCTGTAAGAACGGAAAGTGCACCGACCTTGCTGAAGGCTACATGTGCACTTGTAACAAGGGATTCAAGAGGCTCGACAAGAACACCTGTGTTGGTTAGTAGCAATAAATTTTTTGCAGCTTCGCAATATTGCAGGCTTTTAATTATAGTCATTACACTACTAAGTATTTAGTATTTTGTCAAATATTTTTTATTGGCTGACTGTTACTATAAGATTCGTCACAGGACTTTGAGCTATTATTCTGCTTCTGTTCATGCTGAGAAATTTTCACTTAATTTGCTTTTTGCATCCTAGACAACGACGAGTGCTCCACATTCACTGGAATATGTGGCAAAGGAAGATGTCGTAACACTGATGGATCTTTCAAATGTGACTGCAGTAAAGGATTTCAAGATGTGCCCGATTCAGAGCCGAGATGCCAAGGTACTGTTTAGTTCCTTTTCGTTCTATTCGTTCATCGATCAATTTGAAAAAAATCAATAGATTGATTTGGATAACTGCTCAGCACAGTTCGATATGATTTCAATATAACAGTATGGAATATATTTTGTTACAGACGTCGATGAATGCGATCAGCCTGGAACCTGCCAAAATGGAAAGTGCCGAAATCTACCCGGCGGCTATTCCTGCACATGTAATAAAGGATTCGAAGAAAAAGATGGGGGATGTGCAGGTAACACGAGCTTAGATTTTCAAGCAATGCATTGGCGCATATGTATTTTCAACCATTGTTTCAATGCCCGTGTTCAAAGAATCTATTCAGAGCTTTAGCACATCCCAGTGAAATTAGGAATCATTGCAGATATGACCGTGAGACCTTTCTTCAAATCTGACAGGGGCTCTAAATACTTCTAATTTAAAACATTCCCCTGCCAACTTGGTCTGCTCTGAGGATCTTGTCACTGTATTTGAATAAAACTGAAGTTTCATTTAAATTGTTTAAACTGGCCTCCTTAAAGTTGGTTACGATATAAAAACAGATTAATTTGCATTGTTTCTACTGCTATCTATACCATTAATTTTTCACCTGCTGCATCTAGACAAATGCTCCGATCTTGCCTTTTTTCAATTCAGTTGGCTTCACATTAGACATTGGAGTTAATTTGAAGGTTAATCACGAGTTTTATGTGAAACGACAGTCCACATAAAACGATAGTGGATTCTGACATGCACGAGATTCGTTCATGAAAATATTCTACTCTTGAAAAAATGAATACGCACATTTCTGTTTTCTAGATATCGATGAATGCAAGATCCAGAACATCATGTGCAAAGATGGAATGTGCGAAAACACAGCTGGAAGTTACATGTGTACCTGCCGTGAGGGCTACGAACTTGCTGCTGACAAAAGAACTTGCGTTGGTGGGTATCTTAGAGCCCATTTGTTCTGTAGCCATTGTCACTATTTTCGAGGATATATTTGCAGGAAAAAATGCCGAAAGCTGCCGAAAGATTACATACAACGTTTTATCTTTTTTGTACTGCTTCCAGCCTTTTCAAAAATCGAGGCAATTTGGAAAAAATTGCACGGGCAACACAAAACAATTTTTATTTTTATTACTTTGTTATGCAAAGGGGTGTTTTGATAAGGAAAAACGTTTGTAAAGACGAATTAACGCTGAAGATGAATAGTCTTACATTTTAAAGTGATCAACCACAGTAGATTTTGTTGGAAAAGACTACCCGAGCGGTAGATCATTAGTCCATGAAAATCTCTTACACCTTTGTTTAAAATTATATTGCTATATCTGAAAATCCCTGAAGATCTTTTTGTTTTAGTGGAAATCTCGTAGGGAAGTTTGATGTCGATGAATACTTAAGTCCATGAATAGGCGTACAAGTGGCTTTTGTGCGTTTGAGTTCTAGTCTATGACTTCTCTTTTCGGTGAGAATATACCATTTACACGTCACGATCCCTCGTTTTATAAACTGTTGTTATTGGATTGTAGATACTGACGAATGCTCAAAGAGTGGAACCTGCGAAAACGGTGCCTGCACCAACTTGGTAGGATCATTCAAATGCTCATGTAACGATGGTTTTGTTCCCAGCAGTGATGGCAAGAGTTGCATCGGTGAGTACTGCTTATTTTGCAAGCTTTTTTACAATGTTATAAAGGTATACACTGTTGGTTACACGGCATAAACGGTAAGTGTATATACGGCAAAAACTGAAAGGATTTTAAGGTAACTAGATTTTCTTGCTAGATTTTTTTTATACGTTTAAGGTACAAGAAGTGATGTTTTAAAACGTCATCAATATCCCTTAACTAGTGCTGCTTAAATTGCGCCACCTCTACAACTGTTTCCCGCTTAAATAATCTTATACTCTTTGATAACTAGATGTCAACGAATGCCAGAACAAGGACATCTGCATGCATGGCAAATGCATCAACGGACCAGGGAGCTATAGATGTGCCTGTGACTTCGGATTCACTCCATCAATTGATGGCAAAGCTTGTCTTGGTAAGTGTTTACCTCATTCAGATGTCAAAGTAAATACGATTCAAACAGGGATGCAATTCTATCGAAGGAGGCTCTCATATAAATAATGTTAATACGAGAGGAAAAATAGAAATTTGCTTCTTTCGACTATCCAGCCATCCTGAGCCCCTAGCACTGCAACTCTCGATTCAAAGCTCCTTTCGTCTTTTGTTATCGTTTTTGGAAAAATTTCTGTTTAAGGAACAATTGCTTTCATACAGGGTTTGGGCTCTTCAAGGGTCTAAACTAACGTGCTCTGCAAAAAGAGGAAGAATTGTAAATCTTCCCTATGATATATCTTCGGACAAAAATCCACAGGGGTGGCTAGGTTGCCATTAGAATTAGAAAATCACAGTCCTGTACCAAACCCAGAAATATTGCCCTTGGCATCGTTAATCTGTTATTCATTATAGCGAATCGAATTTGGTTTAAATTGAAATGCCATTTATTATAGATACTATTAAAGGAGCATGTTTCGCCAAGTTTGACGGTAGAATGTGCGCTATGCCACTGATGAAGAAGCTGACAAGAACTCAATGTTGTTGTGGAATGGAACCAATGGGACAAAGAGGATGGGGCCAGCCCTGCCAAGGATGTCCTCTGGAAGGCAGTGGTATGTCTTGTATTTTCTCTTCAAAATTGATTTTGTCGTATGACCTGAGTAGGCAAAGAGCCCCCATATAGCTCCAAGCCTTGCTAAAACAACACATCAACTTTTCCCCCTAACTACTGGCTCCAATTGCTAAGTGTTGCTCTAAGTGCCCCAGGATTAAAGGACCCTGTATTTTTGCGACCAAATTTAGAGATCCTTATTGGCAATAATAATAGATAAATGGTAAATTATATTTGACTTAAAAGTTATCAGTATACACCATCATGCAACACAAAACGCAATACTTGAATAGAACCGTTTTTAATAAGAGTTCTAAATTACCACAACTGTAGAAAGCTAATTATAATATTGCAAAATTTTTTTTCTTGTCTGTCAGTGCTCTGTAGTGTCGAGAATTCAAAAAGTGCTGATTTAGTAGTGGCTTTCTTTTCTTACAGACGAATACAAGATGATGTGCCCATGCAAAGGAATGGTGTCTTGCAAACAAGGTAGGCCCATTTCATCAAGCTGTTTTGCGTAGCTAGTTAATAAAAGATGTAGAGATTAATGAACGATTTAAGCTTAAAGTAACTTTCTTTTTACTTGAAGCAATTCTACTCAAACTATATCATGATCTCGACTGATCTCGACCGACTTTTTTTAGATGTTGATGAATGCAAAAACAATGCCGGCATGGTCCTTGGAATGTGTAAGCATGGTCGTTGTGTCAACACGATGGGAGACTTCTACTGCGCTTGTAGTTCTGGTTACAGAAGTTCCAAAGACAGGAAGACCTGTAATGGTAAGATCTCCCCTCCTGTTTGCCAGACTATGCAAAATGGTGTCTATAAGAATCGTTATATGCAAACAGACATTAGCATACTCGAGAAATGAAGTGATTACAATAGATTCAAATATGATCATGACTTCATAGCTTAATGTCAACTGAGCTGAGTTATTGCCTGGAACTGATGTTCATAGTGAAAGAGCCCATGCTTTAAATGTATTTACTTATCTATAGATAACTACACTATTGTCTGCACATGATATTGGTAACAGGTGGCAATAAGATATGTTACATGGTCTTTTCAGATATTAACGAGTGTGCTGAGACTCCAGAAGTTTGTATGAACGGTGTATGCAAGAATACAAATGGTAGCTTTGAATGCGAATGCCCTAAAGGCTATGTATACAGTCGTGCTACTGGAAAATGTGTTGATGTCGACGAGTGTGAGAATGGCAACCCCTGCACAAATGCAGAGTGCATCAACACACCAGGAAGTTTCAAATGCAAATGTACTAAGAAGGGGCAGACATTGGATAGCACTGGGCTTGTTTGTGCAGGTTAGTACGGCTCAGTGTCAAAGTTTCATACCAGATACGTAAAATTGTGCCGTGTAAATTTGGCAAAGTGAAATTTGGCAATGTGAATTTTGGCAATGTGAAGTTTTTCGTTACCTGTAAGTGATACAGCAAGGCATTTGGCGATGAATAATGAAAAACACACGAAGTGTCCTACGTATGCGAAAAGCGTTCGAAAGTTTTTAGTTGCCTTAACTCACTCTCGCCATTTCCACACTCACTCACTGCTCTCACTCTTTGAACATTTATGGCAGCGATTTTGGCAAGTAAATATGTTTTTGCATGTAAATTTTAACTGCCCAATTGACTAAAAGTCTCTTTGAAGCTCAGCCAGAACTTTGAGCAAACAATTTAAATAGTTCTTTAGCAAATATGTTTTAGTATATCAATGCTTTGTCATATTGTGACAAGATATCCAGATAAAGAATTTTATGCTTGCCAATCTTTGGTTCATCACCAATCCTTATACAGTTGACTAGTTACGAACTTTTCTTAGTTACATCCATTCCGGGCCTGTTTTTTTATTTTTCCCGAAATGAAATACGAGCGGATTTTTCATTCCGTTTTGTAGATGTCCGTGTTGGAAAGTGCTGGTCCAAGCAAACTAATGATGTATGTGAGAACAGCATCAATGGCGAAGTTACAAAAGCTGTTTGCTGCAAAAGTTTAGGAGTTGCCTGGGGAAGTCCTTGTGAGAAATGCGAAGGTGATTATCTTCCTGTCTGTCTGGACGCTTTGTCAAAAATGCCTTTCATTTCGCAGGTCTAAATCGTTTGCTGTGGTTTATCATTTCACGGAACAGGAAGAAGTGGACAATTAAATCCAAGATTTATCTGCTTTCCAGTCCAAGATTTTTGCTTTCCTCAATAAATGAGATACAAAGATTCTAATCAGTTTAATCCTTTTTTATTCATCGATCATTTAAAAGGCAAATTTTTGTTTTCCGCAGATGTTGATAAGAAGCCGGATGGTTGTAAAAAGGGATTTGTCAAGAAGGGGGACACCTGTGCTGGTAAGAGAAAACACTTCTTATGCAATTTGTGGCAATTTCAATCAATTATTTCTATTGCAAATGATTGCAAATGATTGCAAATGATTGCAAATGATTGCAAATGATTGCAAATATGAAATGTTTTGTATGAAAATGATTTCAAGTATATCATTCTATTAAGCATTGCATGATTTGATACACATTGTCAGCAAGACTTATATTGAATACTATGTATAAGCAAAATGAAGACTAGACTCATGCTAGGAAATAGCTCATTAAGAGTGATTTTTGTGACTCTCACTTTGGTATATATTGGCAAATGAATCAACAGAAAATTTCAACCATTAAAATTTAAATGCAATTTCTAAGCTTGTACTGTTTTTCAGATATTGACGAATGCAAGATCTTCGATCAAGTTTGTAAAAACGGATATTGCCAAAACACACCCGGAAGCTTCAAATGTGTTTGCCCAACCGGCTATACACTTGACGATTCGCAGAGGAACTGCTTAGGTGAGTCCCTGGCTAGCTAGGGTTGTTTAATGATTATCATGTACCCATTTACTTTCATAATAATTGCTTAGTGAAAATGTAATATGACCAATGATATTGTGAGATTCTTAGTCTTAATTATTTATTTAATCATCAAGTTATGCTTGATATCTGCAGAGATTTAGTAAAATTTTGTTCATTTAGCTTAAGGTAATTTTTTCGTCTCCAACAGGAGATAAAATATGAATAGGGTTTGGGTTAGGGTTAGGGTTACCAAAGACTCTTGAATGAACGACAGCTGGGTATGATATTTGTCTTTTTCAATGACATACCCACAATTCCAAGCGTTTTTTATATATTTAGATACATTTATGACTTGTAAAATGCTGTCTTAAGATTTAGTAATTATATTTCTGTTCTCAATATACAAACTGAAACAAGACAATATGTTCATGAAAATTAACGGGCGAAAAACACATTTTTCGTCACCTTTTTACCGTTTTTCAGATTGCCTTTGCTACTTACCAAGCTTGTAGCTTGAAAAATTTAAGTTATATAAATAGCAAGCAAAGAATTTACAAAACGCTTGAAAACTAGAAAAATTAGACAAGATAAGTTAATTACATTTGTGGACTCCTGTTAATGAGGTTGATTTTTTGACAACATTAATAAGAAAAGGTTAGAAGCAGGTTTGCCTTTCTTTTACATTATTTTTGAATTGCGCCTATTTTTGCTTCAGACACAAGAAGAGGAGCCTGTTATGAAAGCTTTACAAGAGATAGCTGCAAAAACCCAATCCCTGGCAACCAGACAAAGAGCAACTGTTGTTGTTCAGTAATTGGAAAGGCATGGGGAACACCCTGCGAAATTTGCCCACTCAAAGACAGTCGTAAGTAGCGCGAGTCGCAATTTTATTTTGAGAAATTGCAGCTCTACCACGATAAAGATTTTCTCATGATAGTTTTACATCCTGAGGATTTATTTATGATCAAATTCCCATTGTCATTTTACCAATAGTTGTAGTCAATTTACCAGTTTTTATTAAACATAGTTGTTATGGACAAAAGTAGAAAAAATTGCAACGCAACTACGTTTTTAGAGCAAGATTCTTCATTCGCTTCTTTTCATATGTCTTGGTCCTTTTCTCGTCTCATACTTCGCAATGTTCTCTTTAAATTTCATATTTTTTTCTACGTATTTTTGTAACTCACGCCTGTCATTCAGATTCTCTTGCTTTTAATCTGCAAGCGCTTATCGACAGCAAGAGTTCTTTACCAATTTGTTGACATGCATAAAGTATTTGAATGAGGCTAAACTTTCTGTATCTGGTTGGAATGTATGTTTATTGATCGCACGAAAACTTACACAAATGTGGTTTTAAAAAGCCTTTTACATCTTCATATAGCCTCGTACAATGAGCTCTGCAAAGCCGGAAAGTTAGGTAAGTAATCCAAGCAAGTGCGTTTTTCCGTTTTGATGTTTTGACTGGTTAATGCATGTATTACTCGATGTCTATTGGTTACTACTCCTAGGAAGCATTAGATAACGCGAGTATATCATACGGATACATGGGTATCTGTGTTCGTAATCTAAGGACATCAAAGAGCTTTTTATTGCACCTGTCTTCATTCTTATTAGAATTTGTGCAGTCCTATGCATTTGCCATCATTATATAGTTGAAATTCTGATCTTGCAGACGTCAATGAATGTTTGTTCGGCATGTGCAAGAATGGAAAGTGTATCAACACACAAGGATCATTCAAGTGTATTTGCGATAGAGGCTATGATGTCGACGAGAAAGGAAAAGCTTGCGAAGGTGTGTGTGTGTTTTATATTTCTCTTCATTTGGTAGGTTGCAATCTTTCATGTGGACAAGTTTCTCTTGTGTCCTACCTTCATTTATAATACAGTTCCTGGTTGCATCTTGATATCTAATTACCGTCACAGGACTTAAGCCAAAGGCTTTGATTTCAAACAATATGTTAAATAGAAGTGAAAGCGATTCCCTGTTTACCATAAAGACCATTATTTCATTCAACCTGTTTTTGGCAGCTGAAGTCTGATTGTTTTGTTTATTTGATCAGTTTATCCAAAAAGTTGGTTAGGTTGAGTTAGGTTTGCACTTAAGTTACTTTAAGCCATACCTCTTGATCCTAGCAATCTGGTTTCCAATGATTTTGTTACGTCATTGTCATGATGCACATTTTTGTTCTAGATATTGATGAATGTAAGATCGCCAAGGGTATTTGCGGTTCTGGAAAGTGCATCAACACACCCGGATCTTTCCGTTGCCAATGTGAACCTGGATACAGGAACTCAATGATGATGGAGATGTGCATGGGTAAGACTCATTTGAGCCTTATTCTCCAACTGATTACTAAACACTCAGTAAACGCAACCAAGTGTTACTTACGAGCCTTCTCAAGACAAGAGACATTATCTTTAGATCGTTCTGTCTAAATAAGTGACTTTTTTATTGAAGAAGACATTCCAATAAGCTATTACTTTTTGTGGTGCATGCTATTACATGGATTTTGTTTTCATAAAATTTTGTTTTTATGCTCGCTATCTTCTTTTAGATATTGATGAGTGTACTGAGTCAAATCCTATGCCATGTATGGGAGGTAGATGTATCAACACACAAGGCTCTTACAGATGCGAATGCCCAGCTGGAACAGAAGTAATGGGTGGCGGAATCGACTGTGAAGGTATCTCGCTATTAAGTATTCAAAACTGATGAGATTTGATAAGATATTTCATTCAACGAGTTAATGTACACGTCTTGGCAGGGTAGAAAAGGTTATGAGGTAAACTAGAATCCTAGAGACAGTTTAAGGTTAATTGAGATATAAGTTGGGAGAGGGCAATTTTGATGACACAAATATGTTTTATTTGAGGTAGACGAGTATTTCAGATAGCTTAAACGCAAGGAAGCAGTGTGTTTGACCGAGAAGCTTCTGTACCTGTTCATTGCAGCTAGAATTCATTTGTTTTGATTGTTAACTTTGTTTAAAAAGGCTTTGTATTTTTAATTCCAGATATTGATGAATGCACAAGAATCCCAGGAGTCTGCAGATATGGCAGATGTCAAAACTTCAATGGTGGATACCTGTGCGCCTGCGCATCTGGTTTCAAGCAGAGCAGAGATATGAAGTCTTGTCTTGGTGGGTTGCGCTTGCTGGCACCTAATATCAATTTGTTGGCTGAGATCCTTATGTCCCAATTTATCAATTTCTTGGCTAAAGCTTTTTGCTATGATATCCATTTGTTGCCTGTTGTTGTTGTTGACTGGCTTTAGGTCAACCCGTGCTTTTCAGGGTAATGTTGTAACGTGGTGAAATCAGCAAATAATTTGTTGCCCCCTTGTGATGTGTAGTCAAAATTTTCTTGTCGATCATCTAGTTTACCAAGCTTTGAAGACTATCTCACCAAAGTTGTCCAATCTGCTTTATTTCTCATTTCGAAAAGTATCCCTTTAAAGCACAACTTCAAGGACCCATGGTTCTTCTATTTTTGTAAATATTCGTGAATGTCACTTGTTAATTATCATTTGAACGAATTACACTGATATTTATTAAGAAATTTAGTATATCGATAAGTAGAGTGGGCACCCTTATCTAACAACTTCTGTTTTCCATCGTACAACTATTATGCTAAGTTTACCTGATAGTTTAGTGTGGCCATGATTTCATGTGTTCCATAGGAAATATCCTTATTGTGAAAGTTTTACTTTTACAGACGTTGATGAGTGTCAGATAAACAACGGCGGTTGTGAATACATCTGTAACAATACTATTGGAAGCTACGAATGCAAGTGTCAAGATGGCTACCAACTGACAGCAAACAAAAGGAACTGTGAAGGTTTGCTAGCATTTTCTATCTAGTCAGACATAAACAACGGGTTGCAATTATACTGAGTTGATTTGCCATCAGCTTGAATGGTATCTGACAAACTATTTACTGCAAAAGCTGTTTATGTATTGTGAAAAGGAAAAGTTAAATGTGGAGTGCCAGGTGTAGAATACGATATAACTGAAGTCTGCTACAAGGCATACTTTACCGTAGCATCATTATAAGATAAGTTTAGTAGCAGGCTCAACGAGTCGCCAAAATAATGCATTTATTAATTGTCTTTATAGATATTGACGAATGCACGAGGAATCCAGATGTTTGTGGAGAAGGAAACGAGTGTAAAAATGTAATTGGCGGCCATGTTTGCAGTTGTAACACTGGCTACGAAGCGACTGCTGATGGAAAAGCCTGCGTTGGTTAGTATTTCTCTTGGCATCTCTACTCTTTCCATTCCAAGATTCATGCGTTAATCAGATCTGGATTGGGTCACACATGTTAACAGCGTTTCTTTAAAAAACAACGGAACAGTTCCTTTTACGCTTATGATGAGATTGAGAGAGACACGGTTTAAAAAATTCTTGCACGAAACCAATCATTAAAGTTATAAACGTTGCTCATTCTTTCAACGCCTAGCCAATTTTTTTTACGTTTTTATACTTTGCCTTCTTACTTAATATTGTTTTGTTTGTTCCTTTACTCTTCAAATAATTTTAGCGAGCATATCTCCAACATCATGAATTATTGAAGCTGAACAGTAACAGTAAAAGTTGATAAATGAGAAATTTGACTCGGTTCGGAATTAAGCCATCTCTGCAAAAGAGTAAGAAACACGAGATGTATTGAAAAAACTGTAAAACCATTAACAGAATTTCTCGACAGCTAGAATGTATTCTGTGGCGAAATCTTTTATTTCTGTGATTCACTAATTGTGTGTTTTACCCATTTTTTACTGCAAAGAACAATCACTTTACAAGTGTTGGCAGCCGTGAACCAGAAAAACGGGCTTTGGAGTTTTTTCTTGTTTCACGGGGTATTAGCACCTACTTTCACGGTAGGTTGTTAGTATCTGCTAAATGCCCCAGGGCGTATTGAGAAGCTTGTAAAAATCCAAAACGCTGATATAGAAAAGTGCAAGAAATATGATAGTCAGAGCCAGGAATAATGCCTTGGGGGAGTGGGTTGGGGGTAGAGGAAAGGACCCCAAACTTTGATCGAAAATATCTTTAAGATTGAAGGCAAGATGTTATTTGTGTACTCTGGAAACTGACTTTTTAAAGATGTTGTAGTTCGGGAGATAAAAGTTTTTTCTCCGTTTTGGTTCAGAAGCGAATCTTTGAAATGAAGGCAAGAATAATCACATTTTTTGCTCTGTGTTAACCTTCTTGTGCTTTTTTCTTTGCAGATGTTGATGAATGCAAGGACAAGAACAGCTGTCAGAATGGAAAGTGTTTGAATACAGCTGGATCATTTATGTGCGAGTGTCGCAAAGGCTTCAAGCTCAACAAACAAGCAATGGCCTGTATTGGTGAGTGCTGCAGTCTATTTTTCATTGACAGTAATCTTTTGCTTATGTTACAAACATCTAAACATGTGCTATTTGCTTACATAGGCTACTCGTTTCAAAACTCAGACGTCAGCTATACAAAAATGAACTTATCTGGATATCATTGTTCCTTTGCTTAAAATACAGTTTTTCACAGGATACGTTTTGACATGCACAATGTCAGATGCATATCCTTACTGCATTTATCAGTCCCTTTTCGCATAAAATCCGCGGTTTTTCTTATCCCACCCACTGATATAAATATTGGACTTGTACCGTGCCCTTTAGGCCCGATGAGTTGTTGTCTCTCATCTCTTGTGCTGCAGAATTACAAGTAGTACTCCTTAATCTGCAACAACCGTCACGAAACTGTTATTTTGGCGAAACGCAATGTCACGAATGTCAACACGGGTAGCCGCTAAGTTAGACTCATTACATTGGCGAGATTAGGCTGAATGATTTGTACCTCAGTCGAGCTTAATCTGACACTAGCCCGTTAAATTTGTATTCCTATTTTCTTTATCTTGCAATCAGAATATCTTATAAATTTCAATATTTTACAAGTAGTTTCAGAATGATACTTTAAGACAGGATTTGCACACAGTGATCAAAATCCTACGTCGTGTTTGTCAAGATGCCTTGCAAGTGTTGGTTTCTGATGGGCAGTTGTATCGGCTTGTAGCTATAAAACCTTCTAAGGGATGGGTGTGTCCTTGAAAAGCTACTGGTTGTTTGCTCTAGGCTTCTAAACTTCATTTCCATTGACGGATCGAGCCAGTCCATTTGTGGTTTACCGTTTGATTAAGGGGGCATGAATGAATCAAGTAGCTGGTATACACAAGCCCTGCACGGATTTCACTGTTTTCAGAAAGCGTAGTGCATAGTGGGTGTGTTCCCAACCGCTACATGTCATAAGTATTCAGCTGAACAGTTGATTAAGATGATTGTGTGGCATCTCATAATATTACCCATTCTTGTATTCAAAGATATCGACGAGTGCGCAAGCGGAGACAAAGGAGGTTGTCACAAAGATGCACGATGCGTCAACACTGTGGGAAGCTTCCAATGCCAGTGCAAACCGGGCTACGAAGGAAACGGCAAGGAGTGCCAAGGTGAGTGTTGCAGTATGTTAGGGCCACGCCCTTTAGAGTTTCTGGAAACACCATTTTGAAGATACCAGCTCTCCCATTTTGGACACTGTATACATTTTGTTAAGATGCTATGTCACTTCCACAAATATAACATCGATAATTTAACGATTATAATACTATTAAGTAAATTTCCTGGTTTTTGGGTGTAATGTAAGCCAAGGACGATTGCTTTGGTAGGAGCCAAAGATGCTAATAACAGATAAGAATCGAATCTAGTAATTATGGGAAACTATAGGTGCTACTTTTAGCCATAAGGGCTACTCAGTAACAGCAAAGGAGTGCTTAGCAGCTCAGTAGTTGTGGCTTGTAATTGGGAATGAACAAAAGCTGGTTACCTATTCTTAATGTGTAGGTGTAAATTCCTATGGGACAGCCATTGTCTTTACACCTTAACGGAGGCTCGACTTACCTCTCCTTGACCTACGTGACTGAGATCATGGCATTTATTCTGGGATTTTGATTTTCTGAATCCGCCATTGTTCCATTCGGATTGAGTGTTTATGTGTAAATGATGTATCGTAGTTGTCACGTCTCATATGGTTCGGTCACTATAAGCCTCGTGCATATTAGGTAATACCACAAATAAGAGAAAACCTTAATGATTTTCAGTGGTGTGACAAATTCGAAGTTGTTTAAAGGATTGAAGATATCGTTTGTCACTAGACAGTGGGTTTCCCTATTTGATTGTAGATAGTAATGGAATAAATATATTATGTAGATATAGGGTTGTCATAGACTACAAGGGTGTTTGCTCTGTCAGGAGATGCCCTCATTCATTCAAAAGATCTTCATTGTCCCGAAATTGCGTTCAGTTTTGTTTTCAATGGCTTGTTTAAATGTTAACTTTTTTATTTTGAAATCTCCTCCTTAACATTCTTGGCTTCACTAGCTGGAATTGTTTAAGTTTTTATGGTATTGAAGCCTTTACACTGTATTCTAACGTTACTTGAACGAATTTAAATTCAGATCTTGATGAATGCAAGCTCGGCCTTTCAACTTGCTCTCTTGATGCTGATTGTACAAACACACTGGGAAGCTTCACATGCCAATGCAAAGCTGGCTTCTCTGGAGACGGAAGAACTTGTGTCGGTGAGTGTCGTTTTTTCTATAATATCCTGGTGAGAGAAAAATGAATTGAGGAAGCAGTGATGGTTTCAGATCCAGAATGGACAGGCAGTTCTGAGATCCAATGAGGTCCTAAGATATTTGACCTGGAGCTAACCGATCTAAAGTTGAAATCCTAAGTGGCATTAACAGTATTTTAGTGTCTCAAAAATCCTTCGAGTCGGTTAGTTTAAGTTAACCAGAGAAAGAGACATAGCTGTACTTTTCCATGCACACAAAATCAACAACCAAGACTTACAACAAGGTTATAAATGTAAAAGAGTCATGGGCAAGAGACCCAGAGCTCCTACTCTTTTGTTCTAAACATGGTGTGTATTGATATACACTACATCACTTCCCCTTAGTAAAAAGATTTTCCGATTGTATGTCAAACAGTGGAATAGATGGTTTTCTTTGCATTTAATCAAATTTAAATCTTAAGTATCATTCTTTGTTTGTTGCAGTTTCCGTGGAAAGTAGGTCGATATAGAATATTTTGTATTGCAGCTTCTGCTTTTGAGTTGCCACTTTTACGCCAAAGACGCCAAAAGGAGACTATAGCTAGTATTAATGCGCAGTTTAAAAGTGTAATTGCAATCAAAATGTATTCAGCTTTTTATAACATTTCCATTTCTTGTGCCATAGACATCAATGAATGTGTCGAAGACAAAACACTTTGCAAATACGGCCAGTGCTCAAACACGATTGGCGGATACGAGTGCAGTTGCTATGACTTCGGGTTCCAGAGATCTGCTGACAAGAAATCTTGCTTGGGTACTTTTTCTTTACTTGTTGCATGCCTGATAAATTATATTAAGTATATCATACAAATAAAGGAGTCGTTTTAGTCCTTGGGGCTAGATTGCTAAACCAAAACATGCTCTGATGTAAATATACTTCTTACGTGTGATTTCATCATAAGCAAGATGTCATGATTCCAAATGTTTTGGCTTGTTTGTCGTAGATTTTATATCAAGCATGTTTACAATCTGTCCTTGACTCTGTGAAGTATGTTTTTTCTATTTATGGCATTTTCGCTTCGCCATCATTAAAATGTTTTTGATTATGTTCCTTTTGCTTCGCAGACATTGACGAGTGTGTATCACTTAAAGGCGTTATTTGTAACCATGGTAAATGCATCAATCTCGTTGGCGGCTTCAAATGTGAATGTGATGTTGGATTCCAGCTTGATAAGACGAACAACAACTGCACAGGTTGGACGACCATTTTTTCGGTTACAACTTGCAGTCGTATGACTTGCATTTCTTTAAGGTTATGAATTGGGAATATTAGGGAAAGGGGTGTTGCCTCGTTGCATCAGAAATAGTCTATCTAGAATTTTCACTACTCTTCATTCTAATGGATAGGAACAGATTGATGGGTGAATATATACCTTGATCGATGCTACTGCTTGGCATTTCTAGATATAGGCAGGTATTGTGCTCCATGCCATAGCAAAGTATTTCTGATCCTCACATACTCCAGCGTTTTAACTGAAGTATTATATCCTCACATTTGCCATAACAAAATTTAATCTAAGAATTTAATCTTTTTTCATTTTTAGACATAAATGAGTGTGAAACCTCCGGCATGTGCACTAATGGCAAATGTGTCAATATGATGGGCATGTACAAATGCGACTGCAACCCTGGATATGTTCCAAACAAAGAAATGAATGCATGCATTGGTAGGTCAACATTACTGCCTCCCGAAACTTCGATGGTTCTTGATATAGCAAATTAATACATGCCTTTAAAGCGGGGATGGGTTCATAATTGTATTGTAATGTCCACAAAGATTCGATGCGCCAGTCGTATTCGTGAAATCGTATGTTGAGTGTACGATAAATTGTCTGGATAAGTTGCAAGTTAAAATGTCAAATCTAAAAGGAGCCACTCCTGATAACAGGATATTTAAGAAGGCATTTTTGTTCATTGCACAGATACTCATCCATGTTTACATTTCTGTAGATAACCGAAGAGAGCCCTGCTACAGAGTGGCACCAAACGCTTCTGCTTGCTCCAACTCGGTCGCTTCTGCTGTAATGAAAAGTGATTGCTGTTGCTCACGGTTTGGCAAGGCATGGGGTAAAGTCTGTGAAATATGCCCACCAAGGGATTCAGGTACTGCTTCTTGGCTGGTATTACATGTTAAACAATGAACCATTTCTGAACCATGTATCACTCTTGACCGATGTATCAAGCCTGTTCTTTGTGATAAAGTATATTCTTTCCTATCTATCTTTTCTATTTTGACTACAGAAAGACGCAATTAAGACACGCTACGCAATATTGGTTTATTTTTTGTAGATGAATACAAGTCCCTTTGCCCTGGAGGAACTGGCACGGCCACAAATGGAACAATGATTTTAGGTTGGATTTTCTTCTTTTCGTTATTCATTTCAATGCAAGTCAGCTAGCTGGTTGAGCTTGACAATGAAATAGTTTCAAATGAAAATTGATGAAAATTATTTTTTAACTGCAATTTGGTAGACTTTAGAGAGATACTATTTACTAGAGAAACAGTGAAGGATGCTTGCTTCCCAAGTAGCAAGTCTTTGCGCAATTGAATTTTAAAGAAAACGAATCCTTGCATTTAAGTTTTTTTGCTGGAATGTTTTGTTGACGAGCTTTGGAGTTACGATTTATATATCAGAAATGAATGCACTTCTATCATGTGCTCTTCCTGCTCTTATAGTTTCTTGTGAATTTCTTTGCTACAGATATTGATGAATGCAAAAAGTTCAACAACTACTGTAAGAATGGAAAATGTGTCAACACAAAAGGCGGCTCAAAATGTTTTTGCCCTGACGGCTTCTTCCTGAATCGTATGGAAAACTGCGAAGGTTGGTCGATGATTATTAACTTGCCTGTTGTCAAGGGCATTATCATTGTATTTTGAGAAAGCAAATTTTGTTATTAGTTTTGGAAGTTTGGAAAGTGCAAAGCAATAGTGGCGAAATAAACCTGTTTTATGAAAGTTCGAAATCTGTTTTTCTAACTCTCACTGTTGGCGATTCTTGCAGTAATATCAATGTCTGATTCCATCATTCAATGTCGTCTCCCTTTCTCCACCTAAAAGCAACTTTGCCAATCACAATACGAGTTTTGCCAATCATTTATCAGAATGAACCTTCTACATCTCCCATCAGATACGCAACAGATGGTTTTTCAGACTCTTGAAAGCATCTCTCCCTTTTCTAGATATCGACGAATGCAAGACACCTTTCTTGTGCGGTCCAAAAGGAAAATGCATCAACACACCTGGCTCATACCGATGTGAATGCCCAACTGGAGTTACACTGAAGTCAAACAACTTCTGTGTTGGTAAGTTACATTGGTATAAATTGACAAGCCCAATAATTGTCTTTGGATTTTGCTTTAAGTATCTGGGATTTGCTTATTCTGATACCATGGAATGAAACAAAAAATTGTTTTTGCATATTTAACTTAGGCTGTCTAAGTTAAGTTATTGATCTCATTCTGTTTTATTGATTCATTTTTTCTCAATATATCGATATGTTTTTGTCTGTTTTATCTTTAAAAATGAAACATTCGGTTGCTTAACAAATTATACGAAGAAACAAATTATTCTCATTTGCAGACGAAAGGAAGAGCTTATGTTTCCACACTGATAGCGACCAAACGAACAACACTTTAGTACCTCTACCAATCACCGAGGAATGCACCGAAAAGTTCCCAATGAATTTCACCTACGCCCAATGTTGTTGCAATATGGGTACCCATTATGGCGACCCATGTGAAACATGCCCAGTCAAAGATTCTGGTTCGTTCTTTTTACATTTATATCCATCTTTCTCACACCTTAATCTTTCTTTTTTCATCATTAGTGTTACTTTTCGTGTTTTAGTCTTTCTACACAGTTGGCCCAGAGGTGGAAATAGGTTCAAGAAAAAATTATCAAAGCTTTCTTAAATTTATATTTTTCTGAAAGCCAAATAAATTGCCCACAAAACACACAAAAAATTATGTCAATATCTTAATTTTTTGCAAAGTTATGATAATTTGAAGTCTGTTTAATTCGACAAAAATCTTATTTCTTGACTTATGACCCTATTTCCAAAAATACGTGATCTGGGCCCACTGTGTTCTATTGTCTTCAAAACTTAGGCTATAAAACCACGCACCAGGAAGAAATGCTTTTTATCCATCAACGGCCAATCAAAAATTGTGTTATTCAACAATTTGGAACGAGGTCACTTCTTATCGTTCATGACAAGGAGTTTAAGCCTTAATAATTTTAGGCCCGTTTTTACAGTTTTGAAGGACTTTTCTGTACCGTTCAGTGGAGGTCCTATTTGAGTATTTCGTATCTTTAAGATGGCCAAAGTGCTTGTTTGCTTATTAATTTGCATTAAATTGTTCCGTATCTCTTTTCCACAGACCAGTACAATGCTTTGTGTATTGGAAAACCGGATATCATCAAGCCTACATCCTTCCCTGTTGATGGTATTACTCCAACTACGAAACCATCAACATCCGGAACTGGTGGTGGAAAAGATGGGGATAAGGACAAAACTAAGCCCGGAGGTCTTGGTGGAGACGGGGATGGCGATGGCGATGGCACAATCGACCCAAGTTTCGGTGAGTTGATTTCTACCGTTTCAAAGTATTTTAATGATAGAATTTCTTTAATGTCCAATGATACTCAAAATGCTTTGAAGATGAGGCTTGTTTTCTTTAAGAACTTAGATTTTGTGGCTTTTGATGCTCTCAAGTGGATTGGTTGGAATGAAAACAAGCATGGCAGGGCAATCTATGTGGCAGGGTTAAGTTCTATTTGAACTGAAAGCTATTACCTTCATATATTTGAGTAGATATTTTTTAAACTTTGTTAATTTGCTATTGAAATGTAAATTCATCAATCAGCACTCTACACAAGCACGTCTTAAACAATCTACTTTCTAGCGATTTCATGAAAAATGAAATGAAGTGAATATACAAGTATACAAGGACTGCACACATAATTCTCGTAAAGTAAGTAACTTGCCAGTGAGAATGAGCTGTATGTATTTTTGAAGAATCAAATATATTAATGCAATACATGTTTATCTTAATTTCAGATGTTGATGAATGCAAGATGCTCGGAAACCCATGCAAAAAGGGAAAATGCACCAACACACTTGGTGGCTATAAATGCGAATGTGATATGGGATACAAGAGTACAGGAAGCATTAAGATGCCCGAGTGTATTGGTAGGTATTCATTTCAACAACTTTTTGTAACCCGTGTGTCATTTAGATTGCATTATACCAGTATTGTCATTGCAACCAATTCGTGCTCGTTGGATCCCTTGCTATGCTTCTGCGAATAAACATAACACCATTATGGTTGTCGTGTAGGTCATATGTTATATTTTCAATACCCCTAAAATACCCCCAAAATACCCCCAAAATACCCCCAAAATACCCCCAAAATACCCCTAAAATACCCCTAAAATGTGTTGCAATGTTCATTATTATGATTATAATTTGATAATGACTGTTAATTTGTAAGTGTCGAAACCAATGTTGTCGTTGCCAAGATTTTTGTCTCTGATTAATGCTGTTCTTGAATCTGATCATCTGAATTTATCTTCATTTAAGACGTTGATGAGTGTATGGACAGCCCATGTGAAAATGGAACTTGCAAGAATTTCGAAGGTGGATTCATGTGCGAGTGCCCAAAAGGTTTTGACTTGGACAATTCTGGACGAGTATGCTTGGGTATGCAAGGGTTTGATATCAGTTTTTCATTGAATTTGCAGTTTTCAACTACAATGCCTGCAAAAATTACTTGGAACATCGAGCAAATTGCATTGCGTTTTTTTGTTTCATTTCGTTTTTGCGAATGCTACTACTTCCATCTCCCTTTCCCCAGAACAATGTTGATATTTTAGGAAAATGTCAAGTAGGTCTCAAGAACATAATCCATAACCTCTCTTTTTCATTTAGTAAGCCAACATTGCTCGTAGGGGAGAGAGGGATGGCTGTATTTGATTTGAACACTGGAGTTTGTATTCCAAGACGTGTTGCACGGATTGTAGCCACAGTTTTTTAAACAGTGCTTGGCATTTTCTTTTTATCAAAACAATTTCGTATAATTAATTAATTGTTATTTATTGCTAATTTTAAATCATTTTTCTGATTCCACAGATGTTAATGAATGTGCAAAGCCAGGAATCTGCGAAAATGGTGTTTGTACCAACACAATCGGCAGCTTTCAATGCAAGTGTAAGAGTGGATATGCTCTCACCATGGACATGAAATCTTGTGAAGGTAGGGCTAATAAATGGTATAAACTTCCCCTTTTTTGTATAACATACATAGTTTTCACTAGCCTCTGTTCAATGTTCAAGCAAGAGTAGTATCTGACGCCCTCGGGCCATTCGAGCTGATACCTTTTGGCCTTTTGATATGAAGCTCTGATACATCGTTTAAGGTGTTCATCTACTTGCGATTTCACAAACTGATTGATAAATTTTAAAGGGGAAATTTGATTTTATGTTTCCATTTCTGTGCGAGTAGTATTGCCAAAACGAGCATTGTTCTTAGTTGTGGGTATGCCCCTTGCTGATTGACCATTGTTCTAATGATTTCAAACCCCCGTCTTTTTTAGATGCCGATGAATGTTCAATTCCTAACATTTGTGGGGCCGGAAAATGTAAAAATCTTCTTGGTTCATACGAATGCATCTGTAACGAAGGATTCCGGAGAGATACCTTTGGCCAATGTGACGGTTTGTAATTCTGCATAGAAGTTCCATTGTGATAAACTCTCTACCTATGATAACACAGAGTGATTATTATTCAAATGTTCTTTTGCCTGACACAAGATGACATAATTACCCCCCCCCCCCCTTCAAGAATGTAGCAGCAAGACGTAAGACTGTACGTATACACACTCACACGGGGGTTTCAGTTTTGAAAACGTTGGGCAGTTGCAGCGTGAATTTCATACGTGAAATATATACTTTTCTTTCATAAATGATATGTAACTAACTGTACATTGAATTTCCGGACCCTTTCGAAATTTTTTTAGTAAACTGTTGTTACCTGCAGCTGAAATTCTGGATCGTCAATACCTATAGAAATGTTCAGAGTAATATACAAAACACTACTCATGTTCATTCTGCCAAGTGTACATTTTTCAGATATCGACGAATGTATCGAGGCACCTGGAATATGTCAAAATGGCAAATGTAAGAACACAAGAGGGAGCTTTGAATGTGAATGTGACGCTGGTTTTGTGCCAACTGGTAACAAACAAAATTGCCGGGGTAAGTGCTGTTTTTGATATCTCATGTAGCACTTGTCAGGGCTTAAAGTGCCACTCTAAAAGCATTTTCCAAAGCAATTGTTAGGTAGAGGTATACTAGCTTTTTCAAGAATTGCAGACTTCCCCACTTGATCTGGGGTTTTATTTTGAGAACCGATTAGAATGCCTCGAGCAGTTTGCAGCATTATCGAAGAGGATTCTCGTTATGCTTATCGTTCTGACACATGTCTCAATTTTTGTTGGCCATCTTTTGCTTTTACTTCTTGGGACTTTTCATTCAATATAGATTCATTCAAGTACGATATTACATTGGCCAAGTCAAATTTGTTTGTTTCAAGGTACCTTGGCCACCCTGGCGCCTAACCTGATTTATGTTTTGAATATAGTGAGGCTCGCTGTCTGCCCTCAGTGTTGAGAGGAAACAGGGTCATCTGCCATGCCACAGGGGCGACACATGTACAAGAACGAGCGACGGCCATGTCATCCAGAGACAATCAATGTGCACATGTGCCTCAATCATTGGCTAGTTTCAATTAACAATTTATGTACTATTCTTATTAATTCATTGCAGATCTTGATGAGTGTCTTGAAGTAGCTGACTTTTGCAAGAAAGGAACGTGCACAAACACATTTGGTAGCGCCACCTGCAAATGTAACGAGGGCTACGAGAGAATCAAAGACAAATGCATTGATATCAACGAATGTACTCAAGACCCAGAGCTGTGCGAAATTGGAGGCACATGTATTAACACCGAAGGAAGCTTTAGGTGCCTTTGCAACAATGCTGGATTTAGACTTGGCAACCAAGGCCGTTCCTGTGTAGGTAGGTACCTCTGATGCCACTTCAAACTCATTTAAGTTTAACTAATATGCACAGAGCAGAATTTGTCACCAGTGTTTAATGGCGAAGCAGGCACTATAAGTTACTGCCTCAAGTATAATCATTCACTGCTAACCAATTGATACAAGTTTTTTGTTATTCTAGATGTCCGTAAGGGAGTATGTTTTGCCAAAGTTGAAGGAAACAGATGTGCAAAAGCCACCGCCTTCCAAGTGACAAAGTCTACTTGCTGCTGCAGTATGAATGCTGGATGGGGTGATCCTTGTGATCTCTGTCCAAAAGAGGGAACTAAGGAGTTCACCCGCTATTGCCCCAATGGTATTGGATACAATAAAGATCTGAGTGGTGAGTCACCGTTAATGAATTTAATTGTAGATTTAATACATTTTTATTATTGATTTATTGAGCAAAGTACATTTGAAATTGAAGCTGAAAACTAACTCTCAGCTAAGTGATGCATAATCAAGGCTCTGTCTCGCCTCTTTCTATCATTTCTTCTCCTTCCGCTTGCTTAATCTTGAATGTGATGGTTTTGTATATCTTTGATTGCAAGGATGTTTCATGTAAGGCGATATATATGTTTCTCCAGATATCAACGAATGCTTGCTCAATTACGGTGAGTGCAAGAATGGCAAATGTGTCAATACCGATGGAAGCTACAGGTGTGATTGCAGTAAAGGCTACAAGAAGTCAGCTGATCCTAATTTCTGCGTTGGTAAGGAGGCTTTAATATTTCTTATTGTATTAGCGTTGACGTTTGCGCTTGAAAGGTGGCCTTAATATTTCTTATTGCGTTTGCGTTGGTAAGAATACTATTTTTTACATTTGCTAGAATATTTACTCATCACTGTTGTCCCTGTATGATTGTGTTTTTGTCTAGCTTTTCGTGTCGCTTATAATATCGTTTTCAATGTACTTTTAAAGATATTGATGAATGCGTGGAGTTGAACAACGTCTGTGGTAACGGCAACTGTACAAACACTGTTGGATCGTATTCATGCAAATGCAACGCAGGGTACGAGCGTGCAGATGACAGTCCGTCTTGCGTTGGTAAGTTTAATCGTCTCTCTAATGATAAATTATGTAAATCATGTGTGATATTTGTCTATCAGATCATATCAAATACCAAAGAAGTCTCCGGCACGATTTTGTTCAAATGTTCTGCAAGTTATAAATCATGCTTGATTTCTTGGTATTCATATTCTAGAAATCCCATGTAACGGAACCCACATACAATTAAACCTATTAATATATAATGTGTCCCAGTCGAGCCAAAGATAACCCGTTGTTGGGGGGTCTTCATTATATGATGGTCTTTTCTACAAGGCTTTGGTTACGAAGAGGAAATTCTGAGGCAAAATCCTACCTTTGTTGTTTTTAGGCTACCGCTTTAAGGTATCCTTCATTTAAGGTTTTACTATACTGTATTACAGTAGAATATAACAGAGACACGCCCTTATTTTTAATCTGTGAATCAAGCAATCAATTTCTGTCTTTTTCAATACAGATATTAACGAATGCAACCTAGAGAACGACCTTTGCGCTCACAGATGCTCAAACATCCCCGGATCATACCGATGTATGTGTCCACGAGGTTTCAAGGTTGCTGCCGATGGAAGAATGTGTGAAGGTAAAAGAATACGAAGTCCGGACGTTTTTCTTGGTTCATTTGCTCAAGCTAATGATTTTTCTGCCCATCCCGTCTTTTTTATATTGCTTGCTGTCAACATTGTGTCACAGGGAGCTTTGCGTTCATTTTCCTTCTTTTTTTCAGGGGTAAATTACGTCTATATCCATCATGACATATTCTGTTTGGCGTATTGCGATACATTTCTTTTCAAAAACTGAATTCATAATTGAAGTCAAATAGTTAGAGTTATAAATGTTGAAATAATGTTTGTATTGAGTTTTTGCTCCACCCCCAATGCGGGGTAAATGTAATCATATTTGCTATGATAATATGCCATTTTGAATTGACCCATCACAAGATAAATGCTTCCCTTGCGGATCTATCTTGGACATCATCATAGCTTCAATTCAATCTATGATTTCTCAAAGATGCTCTAATGTCTTTGCTATTTACATCCAGATATTGATGAATGCAAAACATCCAAGAACACGTGCAAGCAACTTTGCAAAAACATCCTCGGTGGCTTTATTTGTCTCTGTGGAGAAGGTTACAGACAAATCGGAGGAAAATGTGTTGGTAAGAATTCCTGTTCAATTTTTTTCGCATATTTCATGTTGACAATAGTTGATGATTACATTGTTTCTTCAACCGAATCAAATTCATCATAAAAAAAATTCGGAAAGTATTTGTTAAAATGTTCGCTTTTCTAGAGCCACTTTTTAATCATGTAACACAAAAATTTTTAAAGCCATGTTTCTGAAAATCCTGCCTTTAGTTTTGGAATGATCGATACTATATTAAGAATACGGTGTTTAAAAGTCAGTAAATAACGAAGTAAGCAGGAACATTTCTACTACCTAGATTGTTTTCAAGACGGAGGCAAACCTACCTGGTTCGATTTCAAATTTTTGAATTTTCGTTGGTGCTACTAGCGAAGCCTTGTTTTTTTTAAGCAATTGGTTCAAAGATAAAGTATCAAATGTTAAAGATATTACGACTTTATTCATATATCTTTTCCTCGTTTCTATTTTTAATTGTTGTTGCTTTGCAGATATCAATGAATGTGCTGAGAACAAGAAACTTTGCAAGCCATTTGGAACTTGCCAGAACTTTGATGGAGGCTACAGATGTCAGTGTACTCCACCATACATGCGAAGCAAAAATGGCAAATTGTGTCAAGGTAATAGAATTTGCCTTTCTATGCTAAACCTATTCAGTTGTAGCAGAATATACCTACAATAAATTGATATGTTGATAGCTTTTAAATTAAATCAAAATTAATATGGCTGTGATTAGCACATCATTATAGAATAAAATATTGAGAATTTTAATGATAAAGTCTTTGACACGTCTGTTTTGTATTCTCCAGATATGCGTAGAGGACTGTGCTTTGCCAAAGTAATCGAAGGCGTCTGCCAAGCTGCCACAAAGAAGATGATGAAGGTATCTGAAGGAGAATGCTGCTGTATGGGCGCTTTAGCTTGGGGTCCTTCCTGTACCCCTTGTCCTCTGCAAGGATCAAGTGAGTCCTGTTGAATCTTATGCTTGATATATACTATCATATATGAAGAATAACGCCTATTACGTCATTTATAACTGGCTGAATTAACAACAAAATAGAACATTAATAATGCTGTTACACTGTCAGATTATTTCATTTTTGACGGTTATTGCTGATACTTGAGGAAAATTGATGTAGATAATGGTATATTATCGTTGTTATTTGCTTACTATGAATTAATTTTAAAATTCAAGCTTTGAAATGACAATTTAGATCTTAACATGTACTTCATTTTAGATAAATACCAACCTTTGCAACTTACTACTTGTATCATGACACATCTTTGTGCACTAATTTTTTCAACTTTTATTGTCCTGCTCAATTGTTAATTTTTTTTATTTTTTGTTTTGCAGTCAAATACAACCTTCTGTGCAGCAAAGACGGCCACAGTAAGATACTTAAATTACTTTAGTACACAGATTAATACAGTATTTTCCCTTGTTATCTAACTTTATCAATTGTTGGCTACCACTATAGCAGTTTTGAAAGCAAATAGTAACAAACACCTGATATCGGTTAGAAAAGTTACAATTTTGATATTTCTGTAAACTGATCCATTGTGAATATTCAAAGGTAGTTTGGATTCGTTTGCTAGCTTATTCTCTTAGATCAGTTTCTAAGCTGAGGTCAATTCAGCAACCATTCTGAAGTATAAAGCTGGGAGAACAAGTGAATTTTCGTTAGACTAAACTTTTTGTTTGTTTGCAGCTGTCAACGAATGTGATATGATTGCTGGTGTATGTGAAAATGGAAAATGTATGGACACAGACGATACCTACATGTGCATGTGCAACCCTGGATTCAAACTGTCAATGAATGGAAAGAAGTGCACAGGTAGCTTGTGTTCATGTTTCTGTAGAATTAGTGCTTTTGCTTTAGGAAGATGGTTGTGTAAAGGGGGAAGAATGACATAAGCGACTGAGGCAACCATGAGTGGAAGAAAATTTTCCACACGAAGAATAAGATTATATTTAAAAGATAGAAATAAAGGAGAGGATACAAATTTAGAATGATGGAAAGTAAGAATGCAAAGAGTGATGAAAAATACAAAAGTAAAGGAAAAATGAATTGAAAAGAGAATAAATGAATTTTGACCTTCCTTCGTAAAAGGCGAGCATTTTTATACCGCTGGAAGTGATACCTAAGACAGTTATCCTGATAATGTAAGGAGATTATTGAACTGAACTACCATGAGATCCAATGTCCCTGAAACTTGTGAGACAGGCCAGAACTATAGACATTTTTCGTTTTAACTTTTTTCCTCCTTGCTTAATTTATACCCCCTTCCTTTTTAGATATCGATGAATGCAAGAACAACCCATGCGAACTCGGTTGCACCAACACCATGGGCGGATACGAATGCAAATGTCAACAAGGCTTCAAATTTGATCTAAAGGCAAAGAAATGCGTCGGTAAGTGGTTGACATCGATTCACCTAACAAAATAACCAAAGAATATTTAATGGTTTCTCGAGGCAGTGAAACTGTTTTGTTTTACACATGGAAAATTGATGTGGAATGAGACAAAGATCTGTTTTACAAAGCGATTCAGAATAAACCGGTATTGGACGTTTTGAAGTGTGGTCCCTTGCATGCAAAATTGTTTAATGGCGAACCGTTAATTTCTTTACAGAAATACTTGCAAGTCCAAAAGCAATTATGCGTTACTTTTTGTCAAACATGATACTCTAAAGATAAACTTAGCTTCTCTTCGAACTATCACTTACTTTCTTGTTTTTCAATTAGACATTGATGAATGCAAATCAAATGCACACAACTGCGATCACAAATGCGTCAACACTGTTGGTTCATTCAGATGTGCTTGCCCTGATGGCTATCACAAGATGGGTGCTTCTTGTGTCGGTACGTCAATCCAAGCAAAACAATTTTTACAATATCTGCCTCATAGTGACAATAATGATTATGTACTGAACCATTCAGGTGCCTATTCTCCGAATAGTACTTCAAAACCGCAATGCCTATGCTTAAATTTGTTTTGCCGTGTTATTATCGATGATAGCGCCCTGCTAGCTTTTGATCAATATCTCATTTCTGTTGGCACTCTTCTTTCTATCTGTCGTCTAATACCTATACATTTCGATAAACACTCTAACACATGTGAAATTTGAGTTACATTTGGTTACTTTAGGTTACATTTTGGTTACTTTAGGTTACTTTAGGTCACTTTAGGTTACTTAGTTCCTCTGTTATTCAGTTACCTATCAGTACACTTAAGGAACTCTTCAGTTTATGACTAGTCAAATACGTCTCCAATCATTGATTTTTTCTGTTATCAATTCTCATAGATACTGACGAATGTCTGTACAACCAATACATCTGTGGTTACGGTCACCAGTGCATCAACACCCCAGGAGGCTACACTTGTAGATGTCAGATGGGATACATCTTTGACAAAGAGAAGAAGCAGTGCGTTGGTAGGTTCTCATGACTTGGGTTTTCCAATACTTACATTTCTTTTTCTTTTGTTTTCTAAAAAAGCTCACAAAAGTGACCCCAACATTATTATTTTCTTGCTTTTATTATCTCACAGTCAGGTCATTCTCTGTCTAAAGCCAAATAGGTTTCAGTCGACGTCCTTCTTTTGAAACTTGAATTAAATTCAAATCGAAGTAGCAGAATTGCCATAGGACTAATGAGAACTTTTACCATTAACTAGCGACTAGCATTTCCTTTCATAGCCTATTTGTTGTATTGGTCTTTTTTCTGTTAAGGAAATTGTTATTTTCATTGTTGTCATTTTTGATCCTGGATTTTTTTTTCAACAGACATCGATGAATGCTATGGTAACACTCAGTGCCAGTATGGTTGTGAAAACACGGAAGGCTCTTACAGATGCAACTGTCCAAAAGGATACTCACGACACTACTTCTACAACCAGTGTGTTGGTACGTCACTTTCTCGTTACTCTTTTGATGCTTCCTTGATGTATGGTTTAAAAAATTCTATAGTATCAAATGCCGCTAGTATCAAATGTTTACGCGAAGACAGGAAATGGCTTCAAAGAAAATTGTTTTAGAAGCACTAAAAGTATATCTGCGTTGAGCTTATATCAAAGGTTTCATCTGCAAGAGATCTATTGAAAACGAGCTCTTGATATCCAACGTCGGTTTAAGTGCGTATTATAAGGCTTAAAATGCATGAAAATGAAGGGTATCAGAACATCAGGCAACAGAAAACCCTGCTTCAAAATATTAAGTTAAGACCTTCAATGATTACTTTATGAATCATTCAGAGTAACTTTGATTGTCCTTTTGCGTTGCAGATGTAAATGAATGCGAGACTGGTGCCTGTGGAAGTGGCAGCAACTGCCAGAATGCTCTTGGTACTTACTCTTGCTCTTGCGGCTCTGGATTTAACTACCAAAACGGAGTATGCAGAGGTAAATATCCGCATTTGTAGTTGTACGTGAAGGTACACGAAAACCGGTAATTCCTGCTGTGTTTGATAGACGTGTACGCATATTTGCGTGTTCATCGTTTCCTACGATCGCGTACACATGTGTTCAGAAAAATGTCTATAATGTAGTCATAATATTCCCTCGTACTTTCATACGATCTTTGTAATTAACATTTAAACGCTTTTACTTTTTCATTCAGATGTTGATGAGTGCGGTTCACAAAACCCATGCCAGTACAGCTGCAAAAACACCCAAGGAGGATTCGAATGTGGATGTCCATATGGCCTCAGACCTAACCAAGGGTACATATGAATTACTTCTTTCTTTGGGCTTCAATACTTTTGTTTTAGATAGTGAAAGATACAGAAAATTTTGTCTCAAGAACGTTATGAACGTTGACAAGTGATTTTTCAAACTTTATAGTTGTCTAAAAACTTTTTGATATTGGTAGATTTTGCCTTCTGTCGCATTCATTTCTTGATATTAAGGTAATTTTTTTGGATTATGTGGCCACAGTGCAAATAATGCACCTGTCGCTGAAATTTTCCTTTCTGAATAGCCAGTGTCATCTTATCTGATCCTCCTTCTTTGCTAGACACTGCATTGTTGCAACTGGCATTACATGCACTACCTGTGATGATGCCGGTGATGATGATGCCGTACCTCTGCAAAAAGAAGCTGATGATGAACCAACTACTTCCGCAGTAGCCAGCGCTGTGGGAACCGACTCCTTGCCTCTCGTCAAAGGCGAAGACTCCACAGATGCAGGGTTCTTCCAGTCCGGCTTTTACCAACAGCAGTCCGGTGGCTTCCAGTACCCACAAGGTCAGTTTCCTTCAGGCTTCCAGCAGCCATATAGTGGTTTCCAGGGTGGTTTCCAAGGTGGTGCCAACAGACAATTCAGCGGGTATTCAGCTTACGACTATACTGGTGGCTCCAGCAACCCTTACAGCAACCAACGATTTGGTGTAAGGTCCTTGCGTTTTTCACGAGGTGGTCGTGGATCTCGTGGTGGTAGGAGACCAATGGTTATTTCAGTTGGTAAAGACCTCAAGACAAAGATACCACTTCTCAAGTTCCTTCCAGCCATCAAAGGTCTGAAACACAAGGTTGAATACGTTATCACCGCTGGCAACGTAACACTGTTCGAAATTTCCCAGAAGGGGCGTTTAGGATTCTTGCACTCGACACAGCCACTGAAGGAGGGAAGTAGCTATGCACTGAAAATTGGTAGTAGAATCAAATCCAACAAAGAGGTTGACAGCGAAGCCAAATTGTGGTTCAATAAAAAGAAATTTAATTTGAAGTTAGTAGTAAAGGTTGTTTAACCAAGGGATGCCAGACGACACATAGCTAGTTCTGTTGGCAAGCCACATGCCTTGCAAAGGAAGCAATTTTCCAACTTTTCTGTGACATATTTAGCATATCAAGACGTTTCAATGGACATGGTATTAAGTTAATCTCAATTGTCAACTAAGAATCGAGCGCTTTTACGTAATTAATTCTAGGAAGGATTCTATTGCTGCATTTCATGTAAGAGGAAGTTCTTCGAATAGGCGCTTGTTGGCTCTGTTACGCTTTCACCTTGTAATAATGCCATCGATGCGACACCCACTTGATTTTTGGGTAGATACCCACCGTAGAGATTCTCATTCTATTGTTTAATACAGTCTAAAGTTCTTTGATCGACTGATTTCACTCCTTGTGTAGTCGAGTCTGGCTATTTTGTAATCATGCCGCGGACTCTTGTTTATATCCATATCTGATTATCTTTTGGAACCAAGCTTGGCATAAACATCTTTAGACCAGGTTTTGTGATGCTTTAAGAAAAACTGGTAGAAAATCCCATTGACCACGAATATATGCCGATGTGCTCCCGTAACACCATTGGGTCATGCAAATACCCCATTCTTTTGACAAGAGGCTTGATCAAGTACTTTGGACCCTGGTAGCAACAGTTTGGGACGCATTCGCCATTATGGAACGGCAGTCGAATGCTGGTGACTGGCCCTCGTAGAGCTAACAATGGCAGTTTTCGAGAACTGCCTCTTACATGAAAGCGTAGTGTTTTATATCGATTGTCAAGTCATGGACGTTTTATATTAGATGTTTCCGTATTATAGATTGTTTAGCATTGTATAAAGAGGGGTTCTCGTAAGAATGTAACACTTTTGGATAGCCGGAACATAGTTTTTTATATATTTACCTTTGACTAGCAACTTTGTTGGTGCATTGAATAGGATTCTCTCAAAACATTTGTATTTTTTCTATTTAATTATTTTGTTGTTAAAATGGTAGTTTTTCTTGCGTGTTTCTGAAGCTTGGTTAGGATTTCTGAAATGTTACTTTCACATCCCAATTTCTTAGCGCAATCCTTCCCTGGTTCAAGTTTAGGCTCATTATTTCCCCTTAACCCGAAGCTCTTTCTAGTTTCTAATGATCTAATTTTAATGTCAAGCCCTGCTTTGAAATTTTATGTTCCCTTCAAAGCTTCAAAGATGGTTGTTTATTTAATCCTTTTATGGGTAACCTGGTTGACCTCCTTTTCAGATTAAAAATTGCTGACACTTTTTGGCGAGTTTACGTCACTGATCAGTAGTTTACGTTCATGCGTTTCAGCAGAGCCCAGAAAATATCTCGGTCACTCATCACGCGTTGCTTATTTCAGAGTACATAAAAAAGAAACTAGAAAGATCAATGAATTCGCAGTTCTCTCAATTGAAGTGAAAATTGAGATCATTTCGCCTTCGCTCTTCTCTCGAATGCAGGCGAATTTCTTTGTTTGCTGTAAATCCTTTTTTATTAGATTAGAATACATTTTCTAGGACTAGTGATTTCGAATTGGTAAACTTAAACATATATTTAAGAATCATAGAAAGGCTTTCCACGCAAGAAGTTGGGGGGAAAAACATCAAGTTCGTTTTGTGTTAGTATGTTTCTTTTCCTACAATGTTTTTGTGATGAAGAAAGACTGTAGTAAATGCTTTTAACTTAAACATCCTTTAAAAATTAATTTTGGATTCAGAATTACATTTGTTCAGAATATTGAGGCTCAGCAAAAAGTAAGGTATTTTGAAGTAGGTAGGATTCCTGTAGGACCGGAAATTATAGTTTAATTGCACTGCTCACCTAACTTCGATGGACCAAAATTACACTACCTTTTGACTTCATTGGGCAATTTTCATATTCTCAAAACTCATTAATTGGTTTGTGCCCAATGGCGAAGTACTGTCTTTGAAGCACCCTTTTACTTAGTGGCACCGATCATTAGCTCCTTCGCAGGTGATGCAGAACCATAGATTGGATTGGAAACGAAGTAAAGATGGCCGAAAGTTCAGGTGAAAAGGGGGCGGAGGCAGCTTCGTCAAGCGATGTTAAGAGCCAAGAAGAACAAACAACCGTTCCAAATCAGTTTAAGGCAATTGTGTTGGGAGGAACTGGCGCTACAGGGCGTTATCTCGTGGGAGAACTACTAAAATCCAAGGTACATTAGCTTTCTACGGTCCGTAAAGAAAGAGTTAGGCCACTTTCTGAGGGATGGGACTTTTTACGCAATAATGAAGTCATCAGTAAAAAATTAAAAAAAGTATAAATGTCTTCGTAAGAGTGTCTAGAAATAGCATAGAGCTTGTTTTGATAATTACAGAGACAGACCATTTATTGTGCTAATGCACTTAAAAAACGACGACAAACGGCCGACCTTCTTTGCTGCAGCACTACTAGATTTATTCAAATTCGTATCACATCTAGTCATCAACTGGTCATCCTATTTATCTGATATTGTACATGAACTCATCTGTACAATGTCTAATATTGTACAATGGTCTCATCCTGTGGGAGTATCCTGGATCCACCAAATGATAGGGACAATGTTGATTTCCAGACTGGGAACTTTTTGTGCTTTTCAATTTAGAAAAAAAATTGCAGAGGAATCAAAATTTGCTAGAATCTATATGGCTTTATACGAGAAGGAAAATTTGCAGACTCTAATTCTTTGATTCAGTCCCAGCCCAAACATTTCCTTAAAAAGTGACAGTTTTTATATGTCTCACATTAAATTTTTATACGCCCCCTCCCATGAATAATCCTAGTCACTCACATAAAATCCAACCCTATAATGCTATTTTGCAAAATAAGCCCCTGAAGCTTATTTCGAGACTTGGAATATTTTGACTCATCAGTACACACTTTTGCAATGTTTTTTAACACTTGTGTACCTTAAACATACAATTATGAATGATGCACTTAGTAAGAATAATGATACCTATACATGTTGCTTTTTAACAGAATTTCAAGGAAATAACTCTTTTGGGAAGGAAGAAATTAGAAGAGGTGCCAACATGCTTTGAAATTGATCTGGAAAGAGAAGAATCATCTGGTCATCTGAAACAGATTATCGTTGGTAATTCAATTATTGCAAAAATTTCAATACTCTACACTTAAGACTATTTAGACCTGTCCTTTATTATTCATTTGTTAGGCCATATGTTTGGTCTCCTGAAATGTTGCAAAGCTTGGCCAAGATATTAATCCTGCTTGAAGTTCCTAATTGCCTAATTGAAGTTCCTTTTTTAGAATAGATTTTCTATCCAATGAATCCTGTACAAGAAAATGGTGAAGAGATTCTAGGATGGTGGAAAAGGGTTTAGGGGTCTTAAGCCTTCCAAAAATGTTCAAAACTCTATGTGAATGCTCTTGTTTTTATTCTTTTGCTTGTTTTGCCCCCAAAAACTTTTTATCCTCAACCCATCCATAAATAGTCTGCAGTCCTTGGAGAAATTTCCTTTCTTTGATGTTTTGTTTTTCACCTCTTTGTTTTTATAATTTTCTTGTTACAATTGTACTTTATCTAGCTAAGATAAGAAAAAGGTTATACCAACCAATCAGGCCCTGAAATGAGAGGTGCTTGATGAAGCGAGAGTGCCTCCACACTCACCTCAGAAAATTTATGTGCTTGATTGTTCGAGCGCCTTGCTGATCATTACATAACTTCTCTCTTGGATTTGCGAATTTGCGAATTAATAAAAATATTAAGTCAATATCTTCCTTGTACCTCTGTAAAACAATAAAATAAATTTTTTCATACTATTTGTTGAACTCGAAAAGTTTTTGTGGGCTTTGCAAGTCCCAAGTGATGTTCAGATCACAAATGACATTTTCCACCTGCCTCACTTCTGTATTGATTGTATACATTTAAGAACATAATGATCAAAAAAAAATATAGGAGCTTGATCAAGCATCTAACTGAATGAAGGAGCTTGATTATCCAAGCACCCAATTTTTGCTTATTTCAGGGTCTGCAACCAATTAACAGTGCTTTAGCTGCCCAGACACTGTTCCCAGGGCTAATATAGTTCTACTACTAAGTGCCTGTATTATTCCTAAACATTTGCAGTTGATTTTATATTAAATTGCATTTTTCTGGTGAGATGTGGTTAATTCAGCTTATTTTTTTCTGTGCTTTTATATTCTGGCTTTGTATTGTCAATCACACTTAATTGAGTTGCCATAGTTAACTGGCAATGTTGATAAAACATTTATTCCTCATAATTTACCATTTTGTGCAAGAGATTCAATGCAACTGCTGAAATGATCTTGAGTGATCCCTCGCATCAAACAAAAAGGCCTGTTATTGTGTTGCCTCATGGGAAAATTAATCTCTGACCACCTTTTTTTCAGGAATCCTCCCAATAAGAAAAGTTAGGTTTTGCATTGAGATGATTAAGAAATTGTCTATTATTTCAGATCTTGAACAGGCCAATGAAGAAAACTCCTTGAAGTACTTTGAAGGAATTGATGCCTATTTTACATGTTTTGGTACCACTAGAGCAAGTGCTGGTGGGAATGTGAGTAGTCATCAAACATTCATGTGTCCAGTGTTGTATTTAAAAACAGCTTGAATATGATTAAAGTTTGATTAATTTTTTTAAAGAATTGACTAAAAGAAAATTGCAATTGGTTCGTAATTTAACCAAGATATAAGAGAAAGTCTTCAAATAACCGTTTTCTGTTTTTTAGATAATTCTTTCAGCTTGAATATTGTTGTCTCTTCCCAGCATCTTTATTGTATCTAGGTGTATTGAGAATGAGAATCTGTGAAGTTGAAAATTGTTTTTTTTCGTTTTCTTTCAACAGGCAAACTTCCAGCATATTGACCATGGTTATAATGTGAAGTTTGCTGAGATGGCTAAAAAGGCTGGCATTCGGTTTTGTTCCTTGCTTTCATCATCAGGTGCTCATCCAAGAAGCTATGTGTTCTATTTGAAAGTGAAAGGACAGGTAAATGATATCCTGCTGTCTTGTGAATTTATGAACCTATATATTTGTGAATTTTATTTTTCCTTTCGTTTTTAACTTTTATTGACCGATTTATACTTGATTTATTTATTGATATCCCTGAGACAGTTTTTATCAATGCATTGTATGTCTTGGCATAAGGTAGGAGGCAGGCCCACAGAAACGGGGAATTGCTCTTGGGCCTGTAAGCAAAGAGAGGCCCGCCGGTAACTAGAATGTCTCTATTCAAAATCTGACTCTTAATAACATTGTAACTTTATGAAAAACAAATCATATCTGTATTGGGAAGGTTTAACAATATCTTATAAATATAAGTAGCAAGTAAATAAGTAAATAATTTGTATATATATGTAAATCCATATTAAACGCATTTTAGGTTTATTGCTTTGGGTAGGAAGGGGCCAGATAACTGGGCCTGTCCTTGGGATCAGTGTTGCTCTTGGTGGCCCTGACAGGAGGGCATGTGTCCCCTTTTTCCAGCAGCGTATTTTTGTCCCGTTTTTGTAAAAAGTGCCCATTAAATCTGAAAATTGTGCCTTATGTCCCTGTAGTGCAAAATGATGCCTCTTGTACGTCATGACCGCCACTTTTCAGCACATTCAGATCATATCTGTCTGCTTCGTTCACCATGTCTGTCTCTTCTTAACAACGCCCTTTTAAAGTCCATCAAAATAATTAAAATGCTTTAATTCTAGATCGAGGAAGAATTTTCGAAGATGGCTTTTCCTCTGTTGACTATTTTCCGCCCTGGTATCCTTGACAGGAAGCAGCATCAGCGTTTGTTGGAAAAATTTGTAGGTATGTGACTGCCTTCTTTTTTTCTAAAAGAATTTCCCGATCATAAAGGGATGACGATTAACTTCAGTTTTCTTATCAACATTCCAGGGAAAGTATGAGTGGAAATGCTAAGAGCATAATCATACTAAGCCTTAGGCAATTTTCGGGCAATGTGTTTTATTCCATAATGGTTAATTTTTAAAAGCTTAAGATTCCCCTCATTGCATAGTTTGTTCATCAATTTGATCGCAAAAAAGATTCGTTGTTAAACAATCCAGTAATTAGAAGCTGAAGGATAAGGCAGTGCGGTAGTATTTTATATTCTTGAGTTATTGAAAAGGTCTTATTTTCTTTGATTTCTACAGCATTTCTTGTGGAAACTCTATCCTTCAAAAAATGTCTAAAGACATTGACATTATTAAGTTTCCAAATTACGGTCTATCACTACATTAAGTTCGATATGCCCTGCTGCAGTCTTGGACCAAATATTATACGAGAATTCAGTCACTTAGGGTCTGTTTACTCTGTTTTCAAATGGTGTCTTCTTATGATGCTTCATTTCCTTCGTTACAAGTCGATACAAGAAGTCCTTGAGATACTCCATGGCAGATTTTAACGGGTAAAAATTTTAGCGAATGAAAAGAAATAAAAACGGGTGTTCTCCAAGGTTCTGTCCTTGGTCCCCTTTTTTACAACATTTTCATTATTGGCATATTCATAAACCTAGATCAAAGCAAACTATGCAACTATGCTAATGATAATACCATATGGATTGAAGGTACTGATAAGGAGGACATATCAGCTAAACTAGAACATGAAATCAATATCATAAACAAATGGTTTATAGACAATGCTATGCAGCTTAATGGAGACAGATGCAAACTCATGATCATTTCAGCGAAACCGAACAATATTGAAAAATGTAGCATTTATGTAAACAGGCAAATAGTTAAAGAGGAAGGCAAAGTGAAATTCCTGGGCGTAACAATAGACAACAAATTATAATTTGATGACCATATCAGTATATGTAAATAAGCGAATAGCCTATAAAGATTTTTCATCTAGTTTTGAACAACTACTGCTCAAAGACAATAAGTTTAAAATCAAGGAATTTACATACAAGGAATTTAAAGCAACTTGCAACAGAGTTTCCAAAACTATTTATCACGAAAACCCAAATTTCATGGAAGATATTTTTAACATAACTGAATCACCTTATAACCTCAGGGGGCTCACTTTCACTAGAAATAAACCAAACACTTTAGCATTCGGATTAGACATTGTATCATGCAGATATCAATAAGTATGGAACTCAATTCTCACAGAAATAGCCTCAAGCTTGAATATAAAGACCTTTAGTATCATAAAAAGCAAGTATCAAAGCTATGTCTGCGATTTCTTGCTCATGCCGCATTTGTAAACTCTTTTTAGCACAAGTAGGCTATATAAAATGACAGGGAACCTACTGTACATTGATGTATCTTATTAGTTATTCATCTATTTTTGTTGCGTTGTTAAATTGTTTGGGGTCTATTTTGAGTCGTCACAGATTTTGAGCTGAACATAGTGGGTAAAACAAGAAATGATAATAACATAGATCAAGAAATGAACTGTACACATCTTGCATTCGACAATTTTTTACGGAAATACAAAAAAGCCCATTTAACTGAAAATTTTAAGTAGGAACTCCAAAAAGTCTTGCGTTTCTTATGTCACTGACCAAAGAAAGAAATTTTCACATGCTGGGCACCTTTTTACAATTTTTAGGGCTTTTCATGACGAAAATGCCTGTGGACACTTTGGCAAAGGCTATAGTTGCGGATGCTATCAACCAGTTGCAGAAAGAGAAAACCGAAGAGGCTTATTCACATATCTTGGCAAACCACCAGATTTTAGATCTTGCAAAAGCATACTTGAAAGAAGAGCAGGGCGATTCGGTGGCGGCAACTGCTGAAACACCGGTGGAAGAAAAACCAACGGAAGGAGAAGCAGAGGCACCAAAGGATGCTGGGAATGAGGTTGATAAAGCTTCTGAAGAAAGCAAAGGAGCGGAAAAAGGTGAAGAGAGCAAAGAAGGAGTGGAGGGTGCTGAAAAGTCTAGTGATGCTGAGAAAACTAGTGACGTCGAGAAGAGCCCTGAGGTGCCAGTTGAAGGAGCAAGCGCTTAGATTTCACTACTGCATTCCTCCCCATGCTTTGCCAGCTAGAGATGCGCTGTATGCCGCTGTTGCTTAAGCTTATTCTTAGGAGTGAAACTAAACTTAGGCCAGAAATTCGAAACAAGTCAGGTTGCAATTGAACTAGAATTAAAATTATTCAGATAGAGTTATCTAAGAATGCTTTAAGCAAGCAGAATAATCATTATATAAATTAAACAATCTGCTTGTTGCTTTAAAATGAAGTAATAATTTTGTCTAAGTATTGATATATTTTCGCTAAACTTGCACTTGTCATTTTGTATTCGTAATCACGTAACTGCGATTTGTTCTTCCGTCAGATGTTATAACTGAAATTTTGTACTTTTGGTTTTCAATACATATTTTTGCCAGCCACTCCCCGAAAACGTCAACTATCGCACCAAAAGTCAGAAAACCCTGTTTTTGAGAGAATGAAGGGTATCAAAGAAAACCATTCCAATATTTTCCATTTCTGATGTAACTACAGTCGATAGCAAAATTACAGACGTTGTTTTCACTGTTGTTATCTTTGTAACAACTGTTAGGCTTTACAAAACAGCTTTATCTGGGATATTCTTTGTCAGATTTCAAACTATTTGAATTAAAAGACAGGCTCGTTATTTTCTTTCTATTTGTCTCAGTATTTATCTCATTAGCATGTAAATTTTCCCCAAATAGTAAAACTGAAATTATGTGTATTTATTTACAAATTTGTTGGCTTGTTTTCGTGCCGGTGCATTTAGCTGAGAATCTTGCTTTTTAAATTATTTTCCACAGTTTGTGGTGCGCATTAAATCCTTCGTTTAAACTGTTGATCACTCTTTGTTTGTGCGTCTTTAAGTGCTGTGCAACAGGATGACGTTATGCAGGATTACGCACCATGGCAATTGCAAACTCCCTTCAAGACAGGTGGACATGCGTTGAATGATATTGTAGACACTTTTCCGTGTGGGAGAAATGCTGATAGCGTAAACAGTCAGATGTTGGCATATGCCAATATATGGGCGCTTAACAATTGACGAAGCAAGTTGAGGAGCGAAGCTAGAGTTTTCAATTAATCTAAATTATACATCAAGTGTACATGCCTTACATGGTGGAACGCAGTTCATTATCATCCCCCTTGTCAATTAATCTTGTCTGCTCTGAGTCTGTCAAATCAGAGTCGATTTTAAAGTGATGCTGAGGTTTTTAAAGTTGAAGTTTTGGTTGGACGCACTGATCTATTAAAAAGGAAGTCTTTGTTATAAAACAATGGTTTGATGCCAACAATCCCCCCTCCCTCACGTCACTCCCAAACACTGCGACGACACTGTCACTCTGGGTTACACTAAGCCTCGATTTGACTACTGAAAATGAGATTATGTTAAAAGTGATGCCAGCACACAACTCATGACGGTGACGATGACACGATAAAACTGAAGAAATTTAACAAGCAAAAGGAGTTGCCAGGAAAAGAATGTGAATGCTGGACTGATAAAGAGGTAGTTACTCTTATTTGTCATGCTTGCATTTGTATGTCGTCGTAACAACATAACATACTGGACATATAGAATGAACGAGCCTATCTATGGTCCAGACTCAAGTCTCAGTTTGCCGAGCATGTATTTGTGCAAGAGTGCTAACAAAGTGTACAATCAATCTGCAGAGTGTTGCACGTGCACACACAAGATTTTATTTGAGTTCTGTCTAATGCGCACCAAAACGTTGGGCCTGCATGCAATACACGCATTGATTAGGCCGGTAGACTGCATCACGCACATTCAATGAATTACACATTCAACATTAACTCATAGAATGTCTTGGTTATAGTGTCAGACCCTGCATCGTCTCATGTTGAATTATTTCACATCCAGAATTCATTTCCAGCGGAGAGAATCCTAGCTAGCTTTATAATTTATCTCTAGCTGTGAATTCTATGTCTGCAGCTGATATTGAAGTAAAATGTGATGTTTACACATTTATTTATGACTAATTGAACAGACCTCCTGAGTTTGGTGGGTGCAGAACCTTAGGATTTCTTAAAACTTTCCTAAAAAACCTTAAGTTAAAATGTTAAAAGAACTAAAAAAATCATAATCAAAATACGAATTATCTATTTGTGTTCTTCATTATATTCTGTTGCTCATGTTTTGGAACTTTTCAAGACTTTTTCTGCAGGTTTCCAGCAGTAACAGGGCGTGCTGGACTCGGGATACATTTTTTATTGCTAGGATACTCGACAATGTGCCACCCAGTTTCATTGATAATCAGGCAGGAGTTAATATACAGATACACTAGCATTTGTTCCTCAAAGATTGCAGATTGAGTTATTTGATTTTTTTCATGCTAATGATTTCAAATGATTTAGTCTTTTAAAATTAATTATCATTAAGTCTTTTACAATTTGTCTGTAGTCCAACTTCATGGTTCAATCTGTCAAAAAAGTAAAAATTCCTCGATCAATGTCAATGGTCAACCAGCTTTGACTTTAGTTGCAACCTAAAACTGTGGAAAAGTTTCTCAAAGCTAACAAGGCAAATGGTTAAAGCCTTGTCCTTTTGTAACATTTAGTTGAAATTGAGTTTTAGCACAAGAAATTCTGAGCATCAATTGTCACAAAGAAACTTCAGGGATTGACCCTTGTGGTTATTCTCATTTTCTTCTATTGTCATTACTGTTTAATAATTCTGATCACTATATTTGCTATTTTTTGTTTTCTAGATACATAGAATATGCAGAATAGCAAATTATCATGTGGACTAATACTATTCATTCAGATGGTTGTTTTGACCTTTTCATACAAGATACCAACAACTGAAGACCAAACAAGTAAGAAGTTTAACTTTATTATAAGTCTTTCAAAGATGTAATACCAGATGTAATTTCAAAGACCAAAAATGAAAAAAAAGTAATAAACATTTATTTATGTTTCTAGATTTGAAAATCTTGAACCAAAGATTTTTGGATAAGTGTGTGTACAAGACTGTTTCTTTCTTTCTAAACATTCTTCATATACACTAATTGATAAAGGTCTGTTCTCTTTTGCTTGTGGTGCAGCTTTAACAGAAAACCTAGGAATGGGAAAAAGATCTCATTCCATCAAGTGTCTGAAATTTTTTTCACTTTTTATCAAACTTTTTTCATGAGGCACCTCTGGGATAAGCACAAATTCAAATATGATTCCAGTTCTGAAGCTGTAATGTCTAAGTATCAAATGAGTGGTTATTTCATGCAGTGCTGTCTTTAACTAAAGCTTCTGTTAGAGCATCACATGAATTATTGAAAAATCATTGTAATTTTTTGTTGATCTTCATTGCTAGATATCAGCATGAAAGACAAATTGATTGGTGATGAAAATTCTTAATCCATGAATCATTTTTCTCTATATTCTTTAGGTAACAAGAATATAAAATCAAAACCATGTTGGCAGACAGAAAGGTATCAGGTGTTGACGAAATGTACACCTTGTTCAAGCGATGAAATGGTAACAATTTCATTCTATGTTGCTTCCCTAGCATTAAGTTTGCAAAAATGATATGCTGTGTCAGTGTCATTAAATGATATGCCTATTTTTAGTGAGTGTGTAAGTAAAACAAGTGGGGAATATTTTTTAGCATCAAAAGGGTATCTAGTTATAAATGTCTTTCTTAAAATAATCCTTTATTTTTTTTACAGCTGAAGTTGGCAACATGTAAAGAATCAGGTAACAAGCAACTAGTCAAGTGTGAAAGATCAAATACAACATTGTTTAAAAGGTATTTTTTGAACTGATAAGCTCATTTGATATTTAAAATAATTAACTTTTATTTTATTTTCAATTTATTATCATTTTATTTCAAGTTAGGACCTTATAATTTTCAAATGCTTTTAGAGAAACATTTTAAAGCAATTATCTCTTAGAATAATAAAGAAGAGTATGTACATCTTTCTGTATTAAATGCTTGTGAAACAAAATGGAAACTGTATATTTAGTGCCTAGATCTACCTGTCTTGTATTGAGAAGTTTAAATGTGACATGTTTAGGGATTCAAATTTTATTCGTTTAAATTAGGTAATTGTATTCTTTTCTAGCTGCAAAATTGCTGCTGCACTTTCCAAGGGGCATTTCTGGAAGTTTGAGGTATGGTATTGTAAAGCAACTTGGCATATTTCATCATCAACCTATTAGTAGTTTTTCGTGTTTGTAGTTTATGGCTTTTGTCAAAACTTAATAGTTTCCAAAAAGAAAAAGACATGCATATAGTTTCTGTGACTGCATTGTCAAGCATATCCTATTAGAGTATTGGATAAACTTTTTTATTTGTGGAGAGGTTGATTCTTCACCCTAGTTTAGGCCAAAAGTGGCTCAGTGTTTAGGGTTCCAGACTACAGTTCCTTTAAATGTTCTTTCACCCAAATTAAAGGGAGTTGGGAGGCATAAGAACAAGGAGCTGTAGTCACATACAGAGGCTGGAAAAAGACAATGTTTATTTAAAAATAATTAAAATTTGATTAGCACAGCTTCTCAATGTTTGATTAGAAACTACTTTTGGATGTTAAGTAGAAACAAAAACAAATACAAAAGTGTTCCTGGTGCTAGGCAGTGTATTTTGAACAAAAATAGATACAATCAAGTAACAACTGTGTACAAGAAATGAGTTATTAGTACAACGTTCCCAGCATAACTCTCCATCTTTGTATTCCTACTAGGTTCCATATAGTTAATTTTGGTTCTACTCTTCTATCCTCTTCTTAATTGTTTCTCCTTCTATTTTATACCTGATTCATTTCCTGTACAAAGTCATTATTTTATTGTATCAATTTTTGTTAATTAAATGATGTACAACACACACAACTTCATTGATTATCAGGTATATTTTGAGCTCTCAACTACAATGTTCTAGCCTATAGATCCTCAATTGCAGTGGAACTGATATAAATGGAATTAGTGCAAATTAAGTATGAAAAATTTATATAATTAGTCACAATATAGTAAGTCTTAATAGGTTCAAAAATTCAAAGTCCATTAAAATGTAAACCAATTACATTGTGTGAAAACAATTATATTATGCAAAAAAAGTCAAAACAACATAACAGTAATTTGGCCCAGGCTTAGTAATATTGACATCAGACTTATCTTTCATACGTGAGCCTATATATTATTGAACTGTTATTAATCTGGCGATTCAAATGTTAATATAGGGACTTCCGTGACTTAAATGTGTTGTTTTTGTTTTCTAGGCTTTGGTATTGGCAGGTACTGTCCTCTCAAATGTAGTTGTTTGGTGGCGAAGACGAGCTTTGAACCATGCTCATTATCAGAGAGTTAAGAGACAGATGTCTAGCGCAGCCATTTAATGTCAAATGCTTCAAATCCATTTAGATGTCCAACACTAGTCATGTATTTGGAACGCCAAGCACTGCATGCCAATTGATATGGCACAAGTCAGTCACAAGAAGACCTTCTTGCAAAGGTCATCATCTGTGCCTTCAAAAGCTATATCTGATTCTGGTTGGTTGATGACTCTATTTCTACCACTTGGTTTTTCATGCATGGTCTAATTGGAAATTTTTGAATACAAAAATGGTACATGATGAATGGAATGGCCAAACCAGTGCACAATTCCACGTCTCTGTGAATTTCAGTGCTCAGTATATTGCAACACCTCATTCTCAATCAATTATGCAAGGTTGTTGCATGAAAAATGAATTTGTTTAAGCAATAGTGATTTTTTATGTCAATGGAAACAAAGTCAGTTCCAGATCCTGAAATGACTCTTAATGCAATGTTTTCACCTGTCAGCTGAAGGTAACATTAGCTGTCATAATATTTTGTTTTCATTGTTGATAAAAGGTATTTGAAATAAAGTGAAACTTTGCACAGCCAACTGTATAAAATGCAATTTTTGAAATGACACAAAAAGCAGAAAACAGAACAAATAGTGCCAAAGTATTGTCTGAAACCCCTAACTTTTACAGGTCAAAGAAATTTATGTCAAGGTACCAGTCTAAGAGACACAAGAGGAGAAATGCCACATTTCCAAGGTTTCAATTTTGGCTAACCACTCTGTTAGCAGGATAAATCCAAAAGGGAAAAAACTCTTTCTGGCTACAAAAATAGAGAGTTTTTGTTTGGATGTACAGGGTATCCACAACCGCTTGATGAACGTGACCGTGCTTGTTAAATAGTTTTCAAATTCATTTAACATCAATAAATTGGGAGACTTAAACCTGCAAAGAAATGAGTATGTCTCTGTTTTTTGGTTGCATTCATTTTTGAGGTTATATACCATGAGAAAAGTTGCCATATTCATTTGCCAAATTAAAAGAAATAGAATAGATTGTGTTGGAATTCATTAAAAATTAACTTGGTATCAAAAAAATATTTTTAAATCTTTGTCTTGTTTTGTGGCTTTTTAAGTTTTCTTATACCTTAATCAAATTGGTAGATTTTTGACAAATGACCATGATGAACATGAATAGAAAGTGACAAAAAGAGAAAAACTACTTGTTTTCTATATGGCTTGTCATTTCCATGTAATATTGGTGATGAAATCTATCAAAACAGAACGATATTGTAACAAACTAACAATCTTCATAATGTGGTTTATCAAGCTAAAAACAATATTCAGTTTAGTCCAAGTTCCTCTGGGGTGTTGATGCCTAATTCATCCATTGTGGGTTTGCATTGTTGAATGATGTAGCTGTATATTTCCTGGCTCCCTCCTGATTTGTCCTTGACCATTTCAAAAATTCTGACAGTCATTGCAAAGTCATTAAGACGTCTGCATGCCCTCAGAGCAGCTGAAAGAATCTTTGGTTCTGGAACAAGGTCATGCCCATAGATTTCATTAAGACCTTTACGCAACTCCCATTCATCGATTTCTGGCCTGAATTAAGAACAGTATTAATATAGAGTCCCAAAGTTATACTACTGAAAAGGATTAAAACAAAGAACTATCAACTACGTTATGATGGAAGAAGATTATACGAATTCTATCAAACATGCCAATGAAATGGAGAAAAATGGCATTCAAAATTTAGAAATTTGGTATGCATTGCAACAGCTTTCAGAGCTTCGGGCTGGCATGTTTTGTTAAGTGTCACGAAAAGCGTGAACTAGGGGAAAGTTATTATTTGACAGTAAAACTTTTCACCTGTTAAAGTATGCCTCCCATCTTGCATCAAATACATCATCAGGTTCCTGGACATGAGCAAACCGTTTTTGCACAGCAATTTGTGCCACTGGAGCTGAAAATTTGAGTTAGAATAAACAGATTATTTCGATGCTAAAGGAAACGAATGATCAAAGTGTGTTGGGCCGGCCCAACGAACTATTAATGCAAGCAAACGTAGAAATTTTGTAGACCTTAGCCCTTACCTTGTCTTCTTGCTCCTTGTATAAGACATCTTTGAAGAACAGGTGTAAAGCGTCGCAACATCTTGGCTTCTCTAGCAAAAGTCTTCACAGTGAACAGTTGTTAGGCCAGCAAAGTCGTCCAGTGTCCCAAAGAGCAACGTTTGTGCGCGTGCGCAAGATCTCCCAGCCTCGATTCTGCAATTATTTTTACCATTACTCCTCCTTAACTTCTTCACTAAAAATTCCCAAGGATCTTTTTATTTTTTGCGGAAGATATGTATCAATTTTTCTAATAATGATATTTACTTCTCCAATCGTATATAATAATCAATGCCCATAAGATCTGCGGAATTTGCAATGTGTGTACGCAAAAACATCGTATACCCAAAAAGCTACAAAGCGTGCTTTTTAAACGGATTACTGTAATCACTCTGGAGAGATTTAAATATAAAGTCAGGTTGATTTTTTTGCACTTATGTAAGCATTATTAATTTTGTACATGATGCTAACGGAGCTATTTTTTAATTCACACTAGAGGAACCCTTTACAACTGTTCTGTTTAATCTTACTGTGAGAGAGAAAACAAGGCTGTTCCGTGCTAAGATTAAGTACAAATCATTTCTTTTAACGAATTCCAGTTCTGAAACAAGAAACTACATCATTTATGGTTTTGTCAACATTCCTTTCCAAGAGACTAAAAAGTTTTTCTTGTGAACGAGGCGTAGATCGGAACTGCGAAGCAGCATTACATATACACCACACATTGTTTTTGTTCGTTTTCGAGAGCAAAGCTGGATAATTTTTTGGGACATCGTTGTTCCTTTTTTCTTCGTCAGTTTGGAGATGCAGGAAAGTAAAGCTCAAAATGAACCACCAAGTAACGTACGAAATCAAGTAAGTAACTCACCCGTTTCAAGACAGGGGACAAGGAGACAGCACACTGCGGCAAGTGGGCTTAGGCCATCACAGCGCTTGTTACCGAACAATCAGCGCGAAGTTGACCTTGTATCTTTTGCAGCTGCTTCGACACACGGCGCCCATTCAACTGAGTATAACTGGCAGGCTGCAAGGACAACCGTCAAAGAACGTTTAGCATACATGTTCAATAACGAAACGCTTAGTGATGTTCACTTTATTTTAGGTAAAGGTGGCGAAGCGCAACGAATTCCTGCTCATAAATTTGTTTTGTCAATAGGAAGTGTCGTTTTCGATGCTATGTTTAATGGCGGATTTGGCGAACAGTGCAATGTAAGTGAGATAGAAATTCCTGATGTTGAACCTCCCGCTTTTCTGTCCTTGCTAAAGTTTTTGTATTCCGACGAAGTTCAAATTGGGCCGGATAACGTGATGGGTACTCTGTATGCCGCGAAAAAGTATGCTGTACCAACTTTAGAAGCTGCTTGTGTTGAATTTCTTAAAACAAATCTTCGTGCAGACAATGCATTTACGTTGCTTTCCCAAGCTAGACTGTTTGATGAGCCACAGTTAGCTGAGATGTGCCTTGCTTGCATTGATAAGAACACGGTAGACGCCTTTAATGCAGAGGGATTTACTGACATTGACTCAGATACGTTGTCAGCTGTGCTAGAAAGGGATTCATTGGGTGCAAGAGAAAGCCAGCTTTTTGAAGCAGTTGTAAGGTGGGGTGATCATGAATGCAGGAGACAGAATATCCTCAATTCTGCAGAGCACAAAAGGTATGTTTTCTATCTTATATATATATCTCAGTTGCCAAAAATCAAACATTCTCTTTTATTCTAGACAAGGTTCAGTCTGCAGAGTATAACAGATGTATGAATGTGTCAATTGTTGTGCTGCAGATCAAAGTTTGAAACTGCACATCAAATTTACAATACCACTAATATGGAAAGTGTCTGCTTGCCTGTCATATGATTTGTCAAAGGAGGCTTGCATGCAAAAAAAGAACTTAAATGACAGTGCATTTCCTATATCTTTTCATGAACTGTTATACTCTGCAGACTAGGGCTACTGGTTTTTAAGCAAGATGGGCTACACGAGTGCCCCAGTCAGAGAATGGGACCCAGAACAGCCCAATGAGGAGACAGCCTACACCATCATTCCTAATAATGTTTTATAGGCTTTGGCCTTTTTCTTTCTTGCGACTGATCTACAGAGCATTGCAGCTACCCCCACCCCAGCCATTAAATTCAAGCATTTTTTTAGAAATGTCTCCTGGTTCTGTTTGGGACCCTTTTCCTTTTGAAATTATTATAGGCTTCAAAACCATTATTTGGTGTTTCAATTCAATAAGAAGTTTGATCTAGTTTTTTTATAGATCAGTGACTTGGACAGTGCAACCAACTAATCCCTAAATGAATTAAAAATGTATTGTTTTGTTTTCCAGGTTTTGGTAAAGGCATAAATGGGTCATGTTTAGATTATTTATACTTGACTGTGTTCAGAAATTAAGAGAGGATTTCTGTCTCTTAAAACTAAGGATTTGTTTTGATGTTTAATGCTTTTTGCAAATTGAAGCATCACTGACACTTAAAAATTATGTTTCTAGAAACCTACTTGGGGATGCCTTGTACCTGATACGGTTTCCATTGATGACATTAGAAGAATTTGCAAATCATGCTGCTCAATCTGGAATTTTGACGGACAAGGAAATTGTCAGCCTGTTCTTACATTTCACAGTCAATCCAAAGCCACCAGTCAAGTTTCCTGATCGCCCTAGAAGATGTTTGACAGGCAAAGAAAAATCAGTTGTAAGATTTTTGAAAACTGAAGCACGTTGGGGCTATAGTGGAACCAGTGACAGGATTCGCTTTACAGTAAATCGAAGAATTTTTGTAGTTGGTCTTGGACTTTATGGCTCTATAAATTCACCCACTGATTATGATGTAAGCATACAGATCATAAACCCTGACTCTGGTGTTGTTGTTGGAAGTAATGACACAGCATTTAGTTGTGATGGAACAGATAGTCTAAATAGAGTTATGTTTAAGGAACCTGTAGAAGTTCTACCAAACATTAGTTATACTGCATGTGCCACTTTAAAAGGACCAGATTCATATTATGGAACTAAAGGTCAAAAAAAGATCACTATAGAGTTAGCCAACAGAGAGAAAGTGGAGTTCAAATTTGCTTATGCTGCTGGGAATAACAATGGAACATCTGTTGAGGATGGGCAGATACCAGAAATAATATTCTATACATGAAGCAGAAAATGTTTGTTGGGGTTAACTTACTGAGTATTGTGTAGCATGGTGGTTGTATGTAAATACTGGCTTTTTGTACTTCAGAAGTACAACTTTTTAGATTTAAGAAGAGTACATGGTCTTTACTGTGTTTTCGTTATGCTCAATATATAACTCAGGGTGTATGTGTAGGGGCACAATGAATGGACTGACAATTTAAGTTCTACTGGTTTTGTTGTTATTAGGATGTGTATGGGTTGTAGCATAATTGCCATCAATTTTCTATCAATAACTAATTGCAATGATTACAAATATTGCCAAAAATGTTGGTAATTATGAGTTGTTGTCATCAACCTCTTGTTATCCAATCCCAACTGTTGTCAGGCTTCCAAAAAATAGAAGTATCTGAGCAGTATAGCTTTGATCAAATTTTTCATTGACGGAGAGAATTTTCTAACAAAACTGGTAACAGTATGCAAAGTTAAGTAGATTAGAGTGATTGTAGGCCTTTTGCTTGGATGATCACCCTCACCAACACCCCCGCAAAATTACTGGCCCAGGCTATGTGATGCCTTTGCAAAACATGTTTGGTCTGCTTTTTTTGAAATGTTCCTATAACATCTGATGTGAATTGATAATGAGACAAAGATTAATGAAACAATAGTTTCAAACTGATTCAGTTCACATAATTTCTATCCCAAGACACAAGCAGAAAGTGCCAGTTTTCAGAATTGTTTTAATTCATGCTGAATTTTAGCTATATTTGTGTTGCTCATAGGGAGGGAGATCTTTGGATGCCTAGATCTAAAGCCAGTGTACCATATAGTAGAGTAAGAGTTAAAGTGAATGATATTTAGATAGTCTTAAAAACTAGACATTTGCTTTGTAAATACACATAGAAATTTTCTATTCATTGTTTGTTTTTTGACAAGAATATATATGATCAAGCTTAGCAACATTTTTGTTAGATATATTGAAAACAGTAAAGGCATAAATGGAAAGCATAGAGTAGTGATTTTTATGTTTCTTGTTTTCATAGACAATGATCTAAAACTTATCAACTGCAGGCGTTCTTATTGTGTCCATTCTTGATCAGAAATTAGAGTTGTTGCAGCGTAAGAGCACAAATATAAGAAAAGGATCATTATCGTTTAAAATTTCGTCCAGTCTTTAAAATTTATGTCAATGATAATAAAGCTATTAAGAATACAAGCCAGTAGCTATGTTTATGATAAAATTAAGTGGTCTTGTAAATACGAAAAAATAAGCCCTTTGTTGCCTACTACAACAGTTGCCTGACGATTGTGTTTACCTGTGTAGCAAATGGAACCGTAATCATCCAGTTCTAAATACCAGTTTGTTTGTCAATGCACATAACAGCATAGCAACAAGATTTTCCAATAGTTTAATGATCTTCGTGAATCGTGATATACTGATGATTATGATATTTTTTAAACATCCAAAGCTACTTAGTTTCAGTAACATCATAAGACTAAGGCAGAGTTGGCCTTTGATTTGCCCATTTCTTGACACCCTTTTACCACTATCATTTGTCTCCTGTAGAATAGAGAAATTTTAATTCTTTCTTTTTTGTCAAACTGCAGTGATAGGAATTCCTAGTGGCACTTGTCAGTGCATGCATGTGCATTGCGCAGTAACAAATGACAATCTTCTTTTCATTATGGATTACATAATTCTTTCATTCTTTTAGGTAATATTCCATCTCATGTCACCGTTACTCTTCCCCGTGCGTAGTCAATTGCTATTCTTCGTAGTCAAATTGTTGATAAAATCAACCATTTTCTAGAACTCAGACGCACTCTCGCAGCCTTACAATAAAACAGTTTCAACCACTGTTTGCACGAACTAGTGACCCATTTTGGACTATACTTAAGCTTTTTCTTCCGACACTCTTCAAAGTATGAAGCGTCTCATAATGTCTATAAGAAGTGACTGACTAATTGCAGTTGTGCCAGCGAGTCTGAGCAACGATTCCGAATTCAATTGAGTTATCAAAGATATTGTTCGTAAGAAGGATTTTGCAAGCTTCAGGAAGCCAACCGCCCTGGAAACCTTGGCAGAACATTCCTTAGTTTTTACCATTCAGATCATGGAAGATTCCTTTTATGCACAAGGTATTTCAGACTTTTAACAACTTGGATTTCATGTACATAAATTTTCAAAGCTTGGTTCCTATTCTAAAGTGTTATAGAGAATTTTGGTTGGTTTGAGGGAGGTCATTGATATAAGGAATGGAGAGTAAAGGGCCAATTGACGAGCCTTAGGGAACTCCAACCACCTTGTTCTTGATTGATGGCAAAGAATTGAACAAAGAAAGTTCATAGTCTTACCGTAGATGGTCTTACAGAACGAACTTTTCAACTTTTGAGAGAGTATTCTGTTCAACAGCATCGAAAGCTTTTTCCACATCAATGAATACAAACCCCAGATACTCACAAAGACCTAACCAACTTTAAGGTCACCAGTATTTTTTATAGGCATGTTACTATTGAAATGACCTGATTGATTTTATTTGAAAGAAACCATTTTCTTCGCATACAGCCAGCCGGTCACGAATCTCTCTTAGAACCTTGAAGTTACAGATATGATTATAATAGGTCGAAAGCTAGATTTTGCAGTCCTATGTATCTTTAAATGTTGAAGTTAAGTCTATAAGTCGAGCATGGGAATTTTTTTACCACTTGCTTGAGCTCATTTCCACTTTCATTTTTCTTGCTTATTATTATTTAGATTTTGTCCTGCTTTATTAATACGCTAGTAATTGTCTCTATCCTAATCTCCTCTCAAAACCTATCTGATGTGTCTCATCCCATCCAATCCTCCTCCCTCCTGACAAACTTCTCCGCCTTCCATATCGTCACACCCTGTCATCATTGTTTTGGATCTTTCTAAACTTTTTAATTAACATTGCAAACCATCATAGTCAATAGAAGAAGGGCGTGTTTTTTAAATTGACTATGAGCAAACCAACGCGAAGTTGGACAGTACATCTGTAAAATATATACTTTTTTATTAGAGAGGCATGTCAAATAGTCACTTTTTTTCTAAACACATTTGGCATTTGATTTAAGGTGCGTCATGATGGCAAGGTACCAAATTCCGCCCAAATAATGTCGACTGAATTGAATCACGCTGGTCACAGTTCAGTGATCCTGATTTTGGCAGGGATGCTTTTGTCCTGTCGGCAGGTTCCTTTTCGAAGGTGATATTTTGCTCATTATTTTGGTCAGGGGGTACCTTCCTTGTTACATTAATGTCTTCTTGATTCAGCTATCTGAGTGTCAAACAGCTTCATTGAGATGTATGCGAAACACGATATACCACGATGAATCCGATGTGCTTGCCTCAAAGCAAAAACAGTGCTCCAAATAGTCATACCTTTTGCAAAGCCATATAGCTGATTAAAGCGACTTTCTTTCAATATTTACAATATTTGGACTACGATTATTAAAAGTTTTCTCACTATTTTTGGTTTAACACGGAAATTATATGCTGTTGATTGAATTGAATTGAAATGTGCATGCATCCCCCCTGGTTGAGATGCCCGGTGGTGCACAATACGGGTAATTTTTAATTGTACTAATGCGCCATACACTCAGGAATGCCCATATGAACCAGGAATGAGTTTTTCGAACATTTAGTGCCATGGCTTCTGACGGAATACGGATGGATTGTCCTGCATTGCCTAAAGGCTGGGTGAGAGAAATTGTGACCAGGAAGTCTGGGGCCTCAGCTGGCAAATCAGATGTCTATTATTATAGGTAAGATCAGCATTCATATTCATCCTTTGTTACAAGGAGACTGACCAAGTGGATATTCTAAAACTACTGTAGTCTGAGTCGCTGTAAAGAACGAAAGAAGCTGTAGATTGGAGCTCTTTAGAGATTGGAATTCGAAGCACAGGTAACAAAGTACGTCTTAAAACCTAAAGGTGAATTTCACCAAGATGAGAACTTGGGTCCCTTTGTTGGGCCTAAGATAAAACAACGAAACCGCAAAGGTCCAACGTTCATCACAACAAAGTATGCCGTTTCTATATGTCATGTTAAGCAGTTGGCCTATTTCACTTGTTTTTATGGTTCTCTAGTTCCATGAGAAGGTAGCGATTGGATTGGATTCTTTAAATGGAGTTTGAGTGAATTTCAATTTAAAATGCTAAATGCATCCTTGAGAGAAAAGTTTAGAAATAAAGGCCATTAAAGGCCTAAAGCCTTAAGACAGATACCTTCCTGAGCCCTGTTGAAAAGCTTGTAGCCTGTATGTTCAAGACGGTAGCTATAATGCTTGGAAATTTTATTTGTCTTATGGCAGTTCTATAAAGTATTGCAAAATGCAAAGGTTGTGAATGTTAACACAAACAAAAATTGAATAGGTTGAAAACATGGTTGAAAACTTGAATAGGTCATATGATAGCATACCAATTTGATTAGCTTTTATTGCAATAAACACCCAACCTCAATAAGCTCCCATAGGGGTTAATTGATTTGAAGAAGAAATTTCATATAATACCTTCCTTTTTTAATTTATCATTGTTTACTTTACACATTGATCAATTTCACAACATATAACTGTACCTAATCACTTCATTCCTGTCCCATTTTATATCTTAATTCTTATGTTCGTCCATTTTTTAAGAAGTTTTTTGGACAAAAGTAATAGCCAATGTGTTGCAATTTGTTACAGCTATATATTTCAGACCTATCGATACTTTGAAAAAGTACAACAAAAATTGCTGGTCTGCTGCTAAATAAGCTCCCACCTTTGAACAAGCCCTCCCCTCTAATAAGCCTCCAGGAAATATTTTTTTTGCAAATTAAGCCCCCATTGGAGTACTTATGATGCCAGAACTGGCTATGTGCATTCTACGAAACAGTTATTTAGTCTTAAAGGCATTTGATAGTATGTAAATATGGATAAGATCAAGTTTCAAATATATGCTCCATCTTCAGTGCTGTCTGCAATGCAATCAAATCATTTTATGAAAACAAACTAAATTGTGAAATATGTCAGTTGAATTTTCTGATACAATGATTTATAATATAGAGTCTAGCCCCAGGCTTTAATGGGAAAAATATCAACCACCACATGTGGTTGATATCCAGGCATCCAGGCAAGTGGTGGGGTGTGACAAATTTTTTTACAAAAATTTATGGTAATAATTATGATGGATCTACGCAGAAATTGCTGACGCGAAAATGATGACAGCAATAGTTTCAATGAAATTTAATTCACTGAATTCTAAGCATAACTACTTACATTTTAACTAGAAAGGTGTTATTTCTGAAGACTTGAGCAAGTTGCTATGCAAGTATAAACTGAGCTTGTTTTATATTAGCAAAAGCATGATACTAGTACAGAAAAATGTTTGCCCTACATAAGCAGTTTTCATCAGCTTCTATAATGAATCCTTAGCAGATTCATTGAGAAGTTGGTGTTCCTCTGGTTGTAAAGACCATTTTTGCTTGTAAATCGGTGCCTCAAGGGCCTTCTGGTATCAAGCATGACAGCTATTTTATGTACTTCACTGGCCATATGTTGATAATCGATATATGCATAAAGATAACGATGGGCCATTTTTCATTAAATTAAATGTTGCCAAAATCTAGATTTAGAGCATAGCGAAGTCGGAAGAGAGGGGGATGTAGGGGGATAGCGAAATCTGCATATCCGATACTTTTGCTAAATTAGTTATCAAAAATGTAAAATCTTTATCACCACACTTAATCTTCCTTTCAAAATTTGAGGAATGTCTGTTACAGTCTTCTTGTTTTTGGATTTGTTCACTGAAATGCCATAAAGCCTTGAAAAGGTGTACAAATCTTGTCTTAATTTTCAGCATCATAAAAAGTGTATGTTTGCCAATGTATGTTTGCCGATGACAGAAATGATTCCTCGAGAATTAATGATAAATATACATCAGGAATATGTAGACAAAAAATATCTGTGAAAATTTTAGAAAAGTTGTCTTATGGAGAAAAATAGTCGATGAAGGGACCCACAATTAGGTTTGTAATAATGAGAGGTCATTATAAATGGGATTCATTATACCCAGAGAATTTGTAAGGAATTAGGCAGAATTCAAGGGGCCAGACATTTTTAGTCATACTGGAAAATTAGTTATATACTCCTATCTGAGGTTTCATAATATCAGGATGATTAGTCCTAAGGTTATTTCAAACATTTTTATTTAATCCACAGTGCTGATAAGGTGTTAAGCCTTTTCGAAGTTGCATGAAGTAATTGTACCAAGGAAGGATAAACATTTTGACTCATCTTATAAACCCACAAAACCAACAATTTTGAATTTTGCTGTCATAATAAAAGAAGGCATGTGATATTTTGCACTCCTGGAAGGCAGAAGGCATGCGCCTGGATGTGCATGTGCGATGGCATGCCTTTCCGATGAAAGTTTGTGTCCATTCTTCATTTCATTTTTTAGTTAGTTTTCAATATTTTCTGAGTAACCACAACACAAAAAGATAGTGCTGTACCATTTAGGAACAGACCTGTATTGATTGTCACTGAAATGGTATAGAAAATTTCATATGTGTATATGTTCAGACTTTTGCCTACTAATAGTTGCTTCAGCGAGGTGTGATGCATTATCTTGTGTGTCGTGAAAGGTGCCTCAGCTAGCTGAACACCCTGTTCTGGCTACTATTGTTATGTAGTTCTCAATGATTGGTCTGTTTCCAATTTGCCAATTATTAATCAATGCTATTTACTGACCATTTGTTGGGAAATCAAATCATCTAAGAATGCTGAGAGATCTAAGAATACTGGGCTGTTGTATAAACTATCAATTATTTTCAAATATTTCCTTCCTTGTGAACACCAAGGAAACATTTGTGAAGTTTTTGAAGCCTTATATTTTGAAGACTAAACATTTTAGTAATGAGATTTTAGGGTTGCCCAGTGTTTGCCACCCTATAAAATCTGGGATGCGAAGATGGCTCATTTGTTAGAGGTGCTGACTACAGACGCAAGAGTCCATGGTTAAGGTCCCTGGCATGACCAAACATTCACCCAAAGTGAGGAGAGTCCCCAGCTCTCTGTAATTCCAGGCATAGGAATCACGAGGTGTGGTCACATTGAGAGGAAGGACCAGGACACTGCTTGATAAGCATCCTAAAAAACGTCCTAAAAACTACTTTCGAATGCTAGGTAGAAACAAATACAAGTACAAACCCTATTAAATCTATATTTTGTTCAATCTTAGTAAAGCTCTTTTAATCATGTTTAATTGCATTTCAAAAAACTTATTCTTCTTTTGTGATAGTCAGCTGCAATGTCAGATGATCTGACCAGTGCTGCTGCCCAGTAAGAATTTAAGTTTTTCTTCTCCAATTCCTGCCCTTATCAACTTTTATTACCATTTCCACAACAGTTTCCATTTTTGCTTGGTAATTGGATCCATTTTGGTACAGCAATGAGACCAATGGTGGCGTAGGAAGAATGGGATTTTTGCTTGGGTTTTGTTCTGACCAATCAGCGCTGCTTGTTCACAATTGAAGATTCTGAGAGAGAACTATTTCTGTCTACAGAAAAAGTTCTTGGGATTTGTAGATATAGACAAATTGCCAAACACCATGAATAAAAAGATAACCTTGCTTTTTCAATTGCAATTGTCATCATTATACTTTTAGGTGCACTCTGGATTCTCATGTAAATGTTGACTTAGTAACAAGTTATTTGGGCATTCTGTCTATTAGGAAAACGGCACACCTGACCTTTTTCTGGAACTTGTTTTAAATGCCAATGGATGTTTTTGCCCTACCACTATATATTTATGATTCAAGTGGCTTATTCTTGCATTTCTTTTAGTAACACCTTTTTGTTGTTGTTTATATATAAACTTTTTATCATGTTGAATTCACCTTCTCTGGTTTAAATTTTTCTTGATAATGATGTTTCGTTTTTGTATAATCACAGTTCTTATTTTCTCATTATATTTTCAGTCCCGAAGGAAAGAAGTTTCGATCAAGACCACAGATTGCTCAGTATTTTGGAGACACTCTTGACCTAACAAAGTTTGACTTCAGAACCGGGAGAATTGATCCAAATATGAAGCCAAAGAAGCGACTCAGAGGCATCGAAGTAAACTATGCAAAGGACTTTGGCAGGCCTACATTGATATCTCCGAGGAGACTTACAAAACGCAGCATAGAGAAGAGAAAGATCAAGCTTATAAGCGATACTCAAGATGAAGCAGAACCTAAGGAATTGATACCAGAAGTTGGTGAAGACAAAGGAACTGTTCGTTTAACAAGAGCACAAGAGCGGGCTGAAGCAGAAATAGAATTGAAGAAAAGGCGTGTTAGAGAAGCATCTTCTAGTCGTGAGCTGAGCAAGCCAAAGCAGTTGTTTTGGCAGAGACGTCTACAGGGACTGCGTTCTGTTGATCCGGATACAAACAAGCCTTCAAAGCCTATCAAATTGCAAGCTGATCTGAAAAGTTTAACGCCAGGGGGAGATCACGAGACACTTGTGCACAGCATAGTATCATACCTTCATAATAACGTCAAAGTTGTAGGACAAAACATGTCGTTAAATGCCTTGAAGAAAAATCCAGGTATTTGGTGCAATCCGGAACAACCTTTCTGTCCGCCTTTTTTCGTATCGCCAGAAATGATCCGTGAGCAAGAAAAAAGAGTCGAGTTAGCAAGAAAGAACCTTGCAGAGTCTATAGAAACTCTAAAATGCATGGAAGAAGATGATTACGAATCTGAGTAAGGTTCTAGTGCTAAAACATTTGTAAGAACAATGTACCTATTTACTATATGAAGTAATGAACTTTTTGGTCATTTCTCCCGAATTCGCCAATTCACACCTTCAGAATGTTTGCCCGGAATCCGGTCTTTGCTCGGTTTCTTTTTTAAGCTCTCTTATTATTGTAGCGCTATCAAATACCAAGGAAATATTTGGAAATATGGAAATATTTGCCATTTCTCTTATACTTGGGCATATCAATATGAGCCAATGCCTAAAGCTTGTAGGGACATAATTTTATGTTGTTTTCCGTCGTTTTGATATCATGGCTAAATTAACCCTTCTATTAAATACTGAATTGGAACAAACTGCTCTTGTCTTGTCTTATATTTTTACTTTTATCCCTAAAGTGTTTGTCAAGCCTTGTTTTCGTCGACTTTCTCCCTGAGTTTCTTTCAAAAAACGTGCTTCTGACCCATCTGTACATTTTGTTCATAGAACAAAACTTGCTATTGAATGTAAACGTTTAGCTGTATTTATCTAGTGTTTTTATCTTGTATTTGCGTTGTGTTTCATAGACTAAATCATTTTATGGTCGTGTAAAGTGTCCAGTTAGTAAGAATTACTTTGAATTTTCTTGTTGTCCTTCTTCCTAGATAATGTGATATCACTAGAATGTATTTAGTTGCAGGGGCCAGTTTAGAAATTATTTCACTTTTAAAAAATTCAGTCTTGTGCGTGTTTAAACAAGGTTTCAAGGCTTGGTTTACTATCAGGCTCGTTGAGTGAAGCCCCTGAAATGCTGTGAATTAAAAGATACAATAGAAAGAAGTTGGACGAAAGTTGAACACGTCCAATTTTTTTGAAGAAACTTTCAATTTGCCGAAACAGCAATTAAGAGATCTAGTCTTAACGTTACGAGTAGAGGTTTACGTTTCCCATTTTTTGGTGATTTAGTTGATTGAATTCAATTAAATGCATAGTGTATTTCAGTCCTAAAGATCAACTTGCTTAAATTTTTTTATCAAACATTTCGCGCCAGTTTTTGAAAATGCCTCGTTTGCATATGTGGCCTAATTCTCAATCTTGATGGTCTCAAAACAACAATGGCAGCTTTGGACATGCTTCTAAAGATTCTCGACCAGGCTGTGTCACAAGACCCTCAAGTGGTCAAATTTGCCGAAGGAAAGCTTAAAGAATGGGAAGACAAGCCAGAATTTTACAAGACTCTTTTGGTGAGTAACGATAAGCTAAATGCTATCCAGTGTTCGTCTTATCAAACATTGACGTATATGTCATCATGTCAAACCTTAACGTTTTAAAAGAAGCTTTGTGTTTCAAGTGTGTTGTTTGAAGTTAGATTTCGATAAACTGTATAAGTAATTGAAGGAACTGTACTACTTTGATCAGTCTAACTTTCTATGAAGTTTTTCTTTAAAAGTTTGTTTACTTAGAAGCACCGGTGAATGGATTTGTCTTGAGAATGTTTTGAAACTCATCATGAAGAAGAGCATGTGAACTTCTGCAGTAGGCTGGAAAGGCTCCTGTATTTTTACATAGTGATTCTTATATTGAAGGTGTCTAGTTACCAAATGTCTGCTAGAGAATCATTACCTGCGTAGTGACATGCAGGTGCTTAAAGTTGTTGTTTTTGGAAGTTTACTAGCTATTGTAGAGAAGTCTTTTCAAAACACCAATCTGCTGACTTCACAACCAGCCTGGTTGACACAAAGTGTTGTCAAAGTAGCATACACACTTGCACAAAACAGTAACCTTTGGTCTAAAAATGGAAACACCTCAAATCAATTTTTGAGTGGCTTTGGAAGCAATTTCATAAATAGCTTTGTTTTGCAATTTATAGGGTTCCTTTGTAACAGCCTGGCCACATCTAAAGAATTTCACAAAGCTGTGGCATTTTAATTAAAAGAAAATTTCAATATCTTGGTGATTGTGACAATTTTATAAGATTTAAAGTACATTATAATTCATAAATATAAAATTTATAGAAGGGAATTATTTATCTGATACATTTTAGAGTAGAAGCATTTTTTGTGATATCTTACCATAAATCTCCTTGTAAAAATTTTGCATGTTTGATTACTGCAATGCATTTATTTTGTGTGTTTAGGTTTTCTAATGCATTTAAGAAATGATGGTGATGTTTCTTGGAGATTTTTTATGAGATATTCTGTTGGTTTTTCAGGATATATGCTTCAATCAAGCCCTACCCTCTCACATCAGATGGATTGGGATTCTTTCTTTTAAAAATGGAATAGAAAAATATTGGAGAAGGGCTATCAATAGGTCAGTTTTTAGAAAATAGGTCTTTGATGAAATGAAAAGATTTTGGAACCAGTGACCAGTTGGTTAACTCATTAATTGCAACTTTGACTTTGTTACAGAAGCATTTCCACTGATGTAATCAAACACTTCATTTATTAAGCGAGGAAGTGTAGATGATTCATTACTATAATTTCCCCTTTGATGATTGACAATCGAGCATTTGCACATGTTTGTTTTATTAATTGTTCAAACATAGAAACTGTATATAAATTTCTTTATTTCTAGGATTTTTACTGAAGAAGACAAGAATTATTTAAAATCTTTGCTAATAAGTTCATTCACAGAGCAAGTGAATCAGGTTGTTTTTTCTTGCGTATGTTTTTCATTGCAATGTTGCAGTATGTAATTTTATCATTATAAGGTAAGATAAATTTTTTTTTCTAAAATAAAAGCTACTAAACATGTATCATAATTTGAAAAAATATACAATTATCCACATGAAACAAGTGCTATGTTATTGGTGCTGGCAGATGTCTTGGTGTGATATTATTCATCAAATAAAAGCTGGTTTAATTGTTGATGCTTCTTGTATAAAAGGGAAGAAAGTGAAGAAACTTCAGATTCTAGGTTCATCCCAAGTTCTAGGACCCCTAAGGCTTCAATCAACTTCAGAATTAGCTTAGAGAGAATTGTTTGTTGAATTGAAATGCTTTGTCAAAGTTTCGGGTTTAAATGGAGATAATTCCACAAAATTACAGAGTTTCACTAGGATGACAAAAATACACAAACATATTTCCTGTTTTTCTGCTCAAATATCCTTAATGGTCTTAAAAGAGTTATAACTGTAACAGTTTACAAATAAATTTGAAGGTTTGTGTTTATGAGCTTATTCTCAGATTGACCCAGCAGGGATTATATACCCAAAAAATCAACATGAATTGTCTTAACCCTGTCTCGTGGAACTTTTATTGATTTGATATCTAGCATGATATCACTGGAAATTTGTTACACTGTAGGATATAAAACATAAGTGTTAGAAAGATAGCTATTGCATTTTGTGAGTTTGCTTTTGTATACAGAATTAAATCCTAATCAAGAAGTGATGATGTTTACTAGAAAGTCGGACTGAAAAAATAGTTTAAGAGAATGTTTTGATTGATTTAATTTTAGATATCTCTCCAAATAGCAGTTGTCATTGGACGGATAGCAAGAACAGATTTGAAAACATGGCCAGATCTCGTCCCAAAATTATTACAAGTAAGATCCATTCCAAGTTTTATTGCAAGTTTTAATTTCAATTTTTTCTCATATTCCATTGAAAAGGTATGGCATCATACAGAAAAGATTTAGATACATAGTAAAGGGTTTTGGAATGTATAGTATCAAGTTATTGTAAAGTGAGATGACATTGTAAAAAAGTGAGATATCAAAAAAGTGTTGTGCATTTATCTATTTAATGAAAATTATATTTTAAACTAAAATTTAAAGTTAGATAAAGTAACTAAATTAATGTCACAGTTCACTGTCAAAGCTCTCAATCGATCATGATGAGTTCTGTGTCATAATGCCAATTTTCATTACAACAGGAAGTAAGAAGTCAAGACAGTATTGTTCAGTACAATGCACTTTTAACTCTAAATCACGTCATCAAAGGCCTCGTTTCGAAACGTTTAGCAAGTGATAGGAAAACATTTAAAGAGGTGAGATTACCATTATTCCAGTCTTTCAGACCAACACTTTCTCAAATCTTTTTAACAAGTAACAGTTTTGCTCTTCCTTCTCCAACTATCACATAATTACATGTTTTCAACGTTTCACCAGTTTTCTGTTGTACTGGCTTAATTTTCCCTTTATTTTCCCTTAAGGCTGCAAAAATTCTGCATGTTAGAATATTTAATTATCTACGCAAATTGAAAATTCTTGTTGCACACTACATACAGCAATGGACAATATTTAAGTGTGGAATTTTTGTTGATTTGAACCTTTTGAGAAAACGCTCTGTTTTTAGCCGAAAAGAAATTTCTCTGCCTGATAGTTCTTGTCTAATTTTCAACAGCTTTATGCTTTATATTTTCTTTATCAAAATTAGCAGAAAATGTCCTTTATTTGAAAAATTATCCATAAATAGGATCAGAGCTGGCAAACGTAACTAGATACTTGTTCTGGACCAGCCAATTTCTGGCTCTGATTGAAGAACAGTTGTCAAAACTTTGCCTCTTCACAAGCGATTTTTGATTTGCTCTTTTACCAAAACATGCTATGGTCTCATTTACTCGCAATTCTTTATGTTACCTTTAAATGCAAAGTATTTGGTCTTGATCTATGGTGATATTCATTTTTAGGTCTGTTCTGGTTTATTAGGATTCGTGTTAGAGTTATGGATTCATCATTCGAACAACTTTATATCACATTTATCGTCAAATCAGGTTTGTGAAATTGTCATTGAGGGTGGATAAGAAAAGTAATGGAGTATCTCATTGTAGCACTAAACATCTTTTGTTTTTTGGCGGTGATTATATAACCTGTATTACATTTGTAACTTTGCAAAAATATCAATTTGATAAATTCCTGTTTACCCGCAACGCTCTGAAAAGAAAGGAAAGACTATATATATAAAAAGGACAGACTACCCAATGTTCAAAGCATGTGATAGCGGCAACGTGTAATGAAATCAAAGTCTATATGATCCCAATAATACAGTCTGGGACTACAAAGACTTTCAAAGATACAGATAAAACCATACCCTAGATTCACTGAATCTTTTTGCTGGTCTAGAATATTCTCTCTTTTTAAACGGCAGATGATACTGTACTTGTAGTTTTTTGGCAAGTTACATGCAAATTACATAACACATTGCTAAAGAGATTTTTTTGTTAAAGGACTAACGTATTTTGCATGATGATGAAACCATGCTTTTTCATTGAAGGTTCAGTCTGCAGAGCAAAGTTTAAAAATGAGTGTTCTTACTCTTAAAGGTAACTTATTTCAATTTTTTCCTGCTGCTTTTTCATTCTTAAAACGGGCATAGAATAATCAACCCCAGTGCCTTTCCTCTCTTTCAAATAAAGTTTTACTAGAATCAATTTAGTATAGTGTCGAAAGGCTAGCTATTTATATAGTAAGAAACTAACCGTAAGAAGCTACTCGAGGCCGCCCTAGAATTCATTCTTGCAAAATTCTTGCTGCCAACACCTTTTTTTGTAATTAACTGTCTTAAGTTTAGTTGCTTTTCCTTTTGTAATTCTGCCGTTGCCTGTCTTTATATATTGGCTTTGGGGATAGTCATTGTCTTTCGCTTCCCATGGTATTCCTTCTGTATTGTTGTATAGTAATTTTAGAAAAGTATAGTCTAATGTATTAGACTATAAAAATAATGTCTTAAGTATAGAAAAGTAAAGTTTATTGGAACATTATTCTTTTAAACGTATATCACTGTCCCATTTCAGTTTTACGGAAACTAGTAGTTGAAGGAACCTGTGATGACGTACTGGATTCCTCATTAATGGTATGCCTTGAAATGATTTTATTGCACCTTTACAATTGGTTACTCTAAATTCATATCAATGGTACACATTTTATCGTTGGCTTGTTTTCAGCCACATTAACGAAATACTTTCCTTTATTCGTTTTGATGGTTTGATTTAAAACCTGCTGATGTCTTAGGTTCTTGAATTTACATGTCCTAACGATCTTCGTAAATTTTCTCTGGTCCCTCTTTAAGCAGTACTATATGTTAAATCAAAACCTGTCTTTGGTTGTTTGTGATGAGAAATCTCTTGAAGAATAAATCTTAAAAATGACTGAATTCTCGATGATAGTCTTGTTTTTGCTGCACACCTCTCAGTATTTAAAATTTGATGTTCTCTATGCTATCATTTTAGCTGCTTAAACTTTTGGTTGAAAGAATTCCTGCTTTACTGACATTGCGTATGTATTTGCTTAAATGTAAAGTCGAATTTCTTTTTCCGTTTGATATTACCTCTTATATGGTAATTTTTTGTAATCCCAGCTTTAGAGAACATGACTGCTGAGTACATAAATTGTTAGGTACTGAATTCTAAGTATTCTGTGTATAAAAATGAATCGATGGAGCTGGTTTCTCGTGTGTATCGTAATTCTGCTACTTCAATCAATATGTTTCTGCTAATCCAGCTTATTATACAATATTCTACTTGTACGTTATATTTTATTGTTCGTATCGTTTTTTTCAAGCTCTTCTTAAGATAACTGCACAAATATCAGTTTCTCCTTTTGGCAATGATGATTTTGATTTCATTAATTGTTTTTTAGGATCGCAGTTTTTATCTGTTAACATTATTGGCGAAAAATTGGAGAAGCTAATTTTGATTGGCATGAAAACAGTTAGTCTTTTTAGCATTTTAGTCTTACTGACGTGTTAAAGTAATGAATATGTCTCATTTTCGTGCGTATATCTTTTCGTATATCTTTGTTGTCTCTAACATTCATCTCTTATTTCTTCCATTTGTTTTGGTTATATGTCGAATTGTCTTTGGTTTTTTATTTGCTCTCTACCTATATCAACCCTTAAATCTGGCGATAGGCTTTCTTACCGATTAGTGGGTGGATGAAAAAATGTTGGGCCATACATGCATGCTAGCCGATTTGTTTTTGCTTATTGGTCTCAACAGTTGTGTCTAGGATTGAAGGTTCAACTTTTTATTTGTCCATGTCCATGATTGTATAAAATTTTTATTGCTGTTGTTGTCAACTAAAAGCACTGTTGCTTCTGCCTTTGTGATTAATGTCGTTAAACCAAGGTATTTTCTTACCGGGTCTGGCTTCTTTCTAGCTTTTAGACACGTTAGACCGTCAACCTCTGCCATTCGTCGATGTGCTGGAAGGCTCTCTGAATATGGCCATTAAATTCTCATTTGTCTGTACAGAAAAAGGTTTGTATCTATTTGCAACTACTCTCAAAGCAAGGGGCTAGACAAATTTAATTGAGTATGCTAACAATTGTTCTTTTTGGATCAGTTCCGTGTGTCACCCCCTGTTATCTCTAACAGTGTTATTCATGGTTGATAACTTGAAATATAGACTAATGAACAAGCGTTACGCAACTCCATTTTCATCAAATGAGCTTTGATGGGTTAGACGTTCTATGATACAATGAATTTTCTCATCAGTAACTGTGTTTTGCTTGAAACCTTGAAAAATCAATTCTGGGCATCTGATTCGTCAATGATATTTTGTAAGCAAATCCGCTGATTGGTCTAGAGCAACACGTGGTTCTGTTCTTCCCGGCTTAGATTTTTATCGCGTTAAATATTCAAATTCTCGTGAAATTGCACAAGCTTTTCTTGAAGTTTTTTCATCTACTAACAAGATTGAATATTTCTAACATTTTACGTAAAAAGATTTATCAGCTTTTAAGACACTACATCCCGTCACGTTGAAGTCATCTTTTTTCCCTGCTGCATTTTTCATTCTTTTTTAAAATTTCTTCTTTTATATATTTTGGTTAATAGCTTATATGTTGTAAACATTGCTTGTTGTACAGAAAATTGTTTTCCTTTATCTGAATAATGAAGAATTATGTGACCAATTTTGTTTTATGTTTCAAACTGGACTAGATTTTGTTATCAATGTTTCACTCTGTGACTAAATTCTTCCTTTAATATTTCACTCCGTGACTTAACCTTTTTTTCATTATTTCACTTTCTTTTTATGTGGCTGAATTTTTTTTCATATTTCTCTGGTAGATATTCTTTTTGAAATGTTCATCGTACACTGTATCAATCTCATCAGAAAAGCAATCAAATGCAAGGATTACAAGCTTCAAAAGGATTCGCATTCAGGTAAGGATTCAGTAAAGATTACATTTGTTTTCACAGGCTAGTTTATGGTATCTTTTAAACCATAATTAAGAATGATTGTTTAAAGTTTGTACGTAGATACGTTGTATGTCTGTAAACTGCCGTCGTAGTTCTTTGTAATTGTTTTGTAATATTTTTAAAGAAGATAGCAAGGTCCTTAACAATAACAGTTCATCCAAAATGTGGTAATAGAATGCGTTTGCTAGAACGGATATCTTCAGTTATAGGTTTTATACCTTTTATCTCCTTTAACGGAGTTAGCTACAGGCCTAGGAATTTTTTAATTGCGTTTCTTAATTGCGCCAGTTATGGTCACGTGGCCTTTTTCAAGGCTACCACAATAATCTCTACCCAAAACCTCTGCCCTTGTAAGGTAATGAATACTGCTATCAAATTAACAGTAAATTTCTTCATGTCCTTAGCTGAATGTACAAATGTGAAGATACAAAAAGCACAAGAGGTAGGCTGGCTTTTTTTTAGCAAATGCACAGTCGTTGCTTTTCTCCATGTGTTTTAACTTGCAGCCTTTCTGTACAATTTTGACTTTAAACGCTTATTACCGATTAGTTTTTAGTCACTTGATTGCTCATTTCAATCTTTGATTTACTTTGGTACGTAGAATGGAGCTGTTGTTTCATGCTTTGATTTAGACTATCAGGCAACTGTTCTGCTTCTCTATGCGACCATCAGGCAACTGTTCTGCTTCTCTATGCGACCATCAGGCAACTGTTCTGCTTCTCTATGCGACCATCAGTCAACTGTTCTGCTTCTCTATGAGACCATCAGGCAACTGTTCTGCTTCTCTATGCGACCATCAGGCAACTGTTCTGCTTCTCTATGCGACCATCAGGCAACTGTTCTGCTTCTCTATTCGACCATCAGGCAACTGTTCTGCTTCTCTATGCGACCATCAGGCAACTGTTCTGCTTCTCTATGCGACCATCAGGCAACTGTTCTGTTTCTCTATGCAGCCATCAGACAACTGTTCTGCTTCTCTATGCGACCATCAGGCAACTGTTCTGCTTCTCTATGCGACCATCAGGCAACGGTTCTGCTTCTCTATGCGACCATCAGGCAACTGTTCTGCTCTCTATCAGCCATCAGGCAACTGTTCTGCTTCTCTATGCGACTATCAGGCAACTGTTCTGCTTCTCTTTACGACCATCATGCAACTGTTCTGCTTCTCTATGCGACCATCAGTCAACTGTTCTGCTTCTCTATGCGACCATCAGGCAACTGCTCTGCTTCTCTATGCGACCATCAGGCAACTGTTCTGCTTCTCTATGCGACCATCAGGCAACTGTTCTGCTTCTCTATGCGACCATCAAGCAACTGTTCTGCTTCTCTATATGACCATCAAGTAACTGTTCTGCTTCTCTATGCAGCCATCAGGTAACTGTTTTGCTTCTCTATGCAGCCATCAGGCAACTGTTCTGCTTCTCTATGCAACTATCAGGCAACTGTTCTGCTTCTCTATGCGACCATCAGGCAACTGTTCTGCTTCTCTATGCGACCATCAGACAACTGTTCTGCTTCTCTATATGATCATCAGGTAACTGTTCTGCTTCTCTATGCAGCCATCAGGTAACTGTTTTGCTTCTCTATGCAGCCATCAGGCAACTGTTCTGCTTCTCTATGCGACCATCAGGCAACTGTTCTGCTTCTTCATGCGACCATCAGGCAACTGTTCTGCTTCTCTATGTGACCATCAGGCAACTGTTCTGCTTCTCTATGCGACCATTAGTCAACTGTTCTGCTTCTCTATGCGACCATCAGGCAACTGTTCTGCTTCTCTATGCGACCATCAGACAACTGTTCTGCTTCTCTATATGATCATCAGGTAACTGTTCTGCTTCTCTATGCAGCCATCAGGTAACTGTTTTGCTTCTCTATGCAGCCATCAGGCAACTGTTCTGCTTCTCTATGCGACCATCAGGCAACTGTTCTGCTTCTTCATGCGACCATCAGGCAACTGTTCTGCTTCTCTCATCAGGCAACTGTTCTGCTTCTCTATGCGACCATCAGGCAACTGTTCTGCTTCTCTATGCGACCATTAGTCAACTGTTCTGCTTCTCTATGCGACCATCAGGCAACTGTTCTGCTTCTCTATGCGACCATCAGGCAACTGTTCTGCTTCTCTATGCGACCATCAAGCAACTGTTCTGCTTCTCTATGCGACCATCAGGCAACTGTTCTGCTTCTCTATGAGACCATCAGGCAACTGTTCTGCTTCTCTATGCGACCATCAGTCAACTGTTCTGCTTCTCTATGCGACCATCAGTCAACTGTTCTGCTTCTCTATGCGACCATCAGGCAACTGTTCTGCTTCTCTATGCGACCATCAGGCAACTGTTCTGCTTCTCTATGCGACCATCAGGCAACTGTTCTGCTTCTCTATGCGACCATCAGGCAACTGTTCTGCTTCTCTATGCGACCATCAGGCAACTGTTCTGCTTCTCTATGCGACCATCAGACAACTGTTCTGCTTCTCTATATGACCATCAGGTAACTGTTCTGCCTCTCTATGCAGCCATCAGGTAACTGTTTTGCTTCTCTATGCAGCCATCAGACAACTATTCTGCTTCTCTATGCGACCATCAGGCAACTGTTCTGCTTCTCTATATGACCATCAGGCAACTGTTCTGCTTCTCTATGCGACCATCAGGCAACTGCTCTGCTTCTCTATGCGACCATCAGGCAACTGTTCTGCTTCTCTATGCGACCATCAGGCAACTGTTCTGCTTCTCTATGCGACCATCAGGCAACTGTTCTGCTTCTCTATGCGACCATCAGTCAACTGTTCTGCTTCTCTATGCGACCATCAGGCAACTGTTCTGCTTCTCTATGCGACCATCAGGCAACTGTTCTGCTTCTCTATGCGACCATCAGGCAACTGTTCTGCTTCTCTATGCGACCATCAGTGCAACTGTTCTGCATCCACCACTTTATAACAAGCTTCAATTATTAAATTATTGTCGTCATTATTTTATTTATCGTATATTTCACATTTCCTTGAATATAGAACTGCTCAGTGTTTCTAGGTAGCTTTTAACGTTATTACGAGTTGCGACATTTATTGTATAGATTGTGCCAAATTTAAGCTTGGCAATGTTTTGGAGAAAACTCACTTTTTGATTGTTTTATCCATTCTTTAAATTTCATGATCATGCATTTTGTACTGACGCCTAATTGTTTGAAAGTTTTACCTTTTATATGTTATATAATATATGATATGTCTAACTGATATAAGATATGCCATCTGTGACTATTTAAAAAGCTGTGTTATTTGCTGTTTCTAGATCAAGCAAAACATTTTCACCAAAGATCTTCTTGTGGAATTATGCCACCAACTTGTGTTTAAGTACTTCCCGCTAACTTCTCAGGTATTTTTTTATAAATGGTATATAAGTTACTAATAACTTGAAACTTTGCTTTTGTTAAGTGAACTATCCAATTAAAAACTTGCCAAAATTTATGAAAGTCGTTGTTCCTAACAGCTTAGTTTTTTAAAACAATTTCTCAAAAAACCCAATATCGCCAGGCTTTATTTCCAGTGAACAAGAAGGAACATGCATCTTAGAATATCGAGCCCTCATTTTATATCCAATACACATATTAAATGCGCACAATGAGCTTTTTTCTGATAGTCTGAAATTTCACTTATCACAAACTACTTCAAAATGTTACTCTTTTCACTCATTTTTCTTCTTTTTCATCTAAATTTTGATATTTGTCCAATTTAAGGAGGTAAATGAATGGCAAAACGACCCAGAAAGTTATTGTAAGTTCCCTTATTCTCACATTTGTATCAACATTTTTTAGCGAAAACTCTAAACTTACCTCAAGCATCCGATCAAGAACATCTCCAACTGTAATCACCCGTTTCACTAATGGTGTGTTCCCTGTTTTATCCATAAAATAAAGTGCTCTTGAAGTTAACAAAATCAAAGATTATCGCTTTTTATCAAGTTTACTAAGGTTCTCACGTTTCATTTGATTGGGAATCCTTGCTAATTCGCTGAGGAACTTGTTTTACTTCCTTAAAAAAAGAAGACTTACTGTAGACTTGATAAAAACGATTTCTACTATTGATGACTTAAATTGCTATAGTATTTTCATTTTCAATTAATCTCTCCTGAACTGTCACTTACTTAAAGAGTAAAGGAAGCTGGTTCTCTCAGGCCTCTCCGTTTAAGGCGCGCGATCACGCGCGCGCGCCTTGGCACGCTCCCGTCGTTGCCGAGACGCGCAATAAATCACGCGCCTGGTTTATAAGAACCCTTTAAATCGCGCTCCTTGTGTTTTGATTTTGAATAGTTATTATACAAAGATCCTCTTTCGAGGAAATTGTTATTGCCAAGTTAAAGCAAAAACCTCTTGAATATATTTCCGGTCAATAACCAATAAACTGTCATTGTGATTCCTGATTGTTATAATTGGATTTAAACACAGTCACGCAACTTTACTAATTCATTCTTTCATACATGTGCATGGAGACAGACTTGTGCTTCTGTTCGCTCCTTTTTCACGACAGAAGTTTTTAAATGACCAGTAATTCAAAGGGTCAAGCCATAGAGCTATCTACTTTTCGCAAGTATCGCAAGGACGAAGTTATCGGATCAAAGACCGAAAAATGGAATGGGAAGACAATGATAATTTCGATTTGGTGTAAAGTTTGCTCAAAACACAAAAGCGTTATTTTATCAAATCCTCTTTGTAAAGGAAGTGCCAGGAAAGCAATTGAATCATACGTCAATGGAACGAATTTTGATTCTTCCACTTCTTCTGACTCCGATTTTTCATCGGAATTTGAGCTGGACATTGTCGAACTGCAACAATAATGTGTTTTTTTTGCTTTTAGTGCTCTATTAAGTAGTTTGTTTAGATATTTCTAGATACAAAGCATTTACATGCGAAAACGTGCCGTTTTTGCCTACTTTAACGTAAATATATTTTTTGATAAAGCGCGCGCCTTAGCAAGGCGAAGCGCGCGTTTGAGCACGCGCCCGCTAAAATGCTCACGGAGAGGCCTGTTCTCTCTCTTTTTTATACGCAAATAAAGTTATTCTAAAAACATGCCCATCAATAATAGAGTTGCATAAATGATGTTTTCTCTAGCCTAGACACATTCGTTAATTAACCAATTTGATTACGTTAAGTATAAATTTCAAGCATTTGCGTTTCTTTTCAGTAACTGACGAGGCAGGAGATTCAGCTGAGTATTTGATCAGGGTATGCCCCTTATGTATTTACTTCAAATTTGTATTCTTAAACTATTGTTTGTCTAGCAAGGCAGTTTGATATGCAAGGTGATAATACTCCTTTAGTATCTATTGCTAATTTTGTAAAAAAATCCATTAGGTATATAACAGGAAACCATCAACAAATGCTTTGGTGCAACTTCAAGGGCTTGGATATTCATTATGAATAGCGTTAAATCAAGTTTGATTAAGACAATTCCATCGATGATTTTGCATTTCCTGTGTAAATAAGTTTAGTATTTTGATTTACTTGGATTATACGAATTTGATAGGTTAAACAGTACTGTTATCTTCGCTACGATCATAGTGTAGAAATGTCTATTTTGAAGGAGTCTGCTACTTAGCCAATTCTTGTGACATTGTAAAATTAGCCTATAGATTCTTCTTTTTAGGTTTGGCATTTTACCTTTGCCATTCACAGCCTTTGTATTAAGTTAAATGCCTAGTAAGGCAGCATTTCATTACTTCTAATATTTAATTTTGTTTTAGCCTTGTACCGAAAACCTGTTTCTATGTCTTTACTACGAGCATCGGCCAATATTTACTGATGTTTTAGCAGACATGGTAAATCAGCTAAGTGGTAAGCAATAAATTTTGTTTTTCCAGTAAATTTCTGTTCCAAATTGACATTTGTGATCTTTTTGTTGTATGAGTATCGATACTTTAGCAATCAAGGCATACTTAAGTGTCTTTAGCCATCTGTCCGCCCGTATTGACCAATCAATAAGCCTTATATTTACCAGATGCTTCTTGATTGGCCAAATTTGTATTGACAGATGGCGTACCCACTTCTGTCGATTTTCAGCTCTTTACATTTTGCTGTATTTTAAGTCAATAGATTGTATTTTTTACAAATATTATTCATCAAAAGTATAAGGTGCAAGCTTTTGCTGAATATATGAACGAATAATTTTATGAAAATTATAGCTCTTTTATCTTATAATGCTATAAGTTTGACACTGATAACAATTTACTAGCAATTTATATGGTTTGAGAAAGCTTCAGAACGTCACAGTTATTTTAGAACATCACTTTTGAACTTTCAAAGTTGCCTTGTAAACCTTGTTATGTTTTTTGTATCTTAACTATCAATAGACTATAATAAGATGTGCTAAAGTATTCCAGTCTGTCTCAAAACTCTTTGTTTGTATCATCATTTCATATAAAAATTGGGAAAAAATTTAGATTAAATGGCGTTGTATTATCAGACTTAAGAATGTAATGGCAAATTTATTTTGACTCAAGAATATTCTGGTAAATTTATTTGACTCAAGAATACAATGTTTTCTCTTTTCTTTTAAGACTGCTTTTGTAAAATTTCTTTGAAAGTTGTTTGTTTCGTTTTCTTAATGATGATTTCCTCTCTCTAGCTTCTTACAATAGAGAAGACCTTGAAAGTCTAAGGATGAGGGAAGCAGGTTCTTATACTTTTATTTATTTTCACAAGAGAACCTTTATTGTCTGATATAGAGTGAAAGATATGTTTGAGTTTTGCCTCTTTGCTCGTTTGCTTTTCTGCCCTCTTGCCATATTTTCTATCGAGGCTTGTCTTTTTAGTCATAATATGTGCTTTGGTGCACAGATCAGTACACTTCTAACTTGCAACTCCAAGTTTCAAGCTTATTACAATTATCATGCAATTGGGCCTTCTAGCGTTTGCTTCTTGCCCTTCAAAGTGAATATGATGAAGGAATTAAAGAATTTGCATGAAATGTTCTATTACTCAAACGTCAAAAGAAAGAATAATTTGAATGAAGTGGAGCATAGGCCTATATCTTCAGATTTTTCTAAGGTTATTAGGCGAGTTAAAGTAGGTTTAAGCCAAACTGCTATTTTTCTACTGCTTCAGGCTAATTGAAGTATGTTAGGAGCATTAATCAACGTCTCTAAGTAGAGATTTTTAATTTTTTGCGTGTATCTTTTACAGTTTACTTTGCTCTTGGACTGGCATCTTATGAACTGTTCGGTGATTTCAACTTTGACAAATACTTTCAAGAAACCCTGATAATCGAGCTTGAGGATTCTTCTGCGAGGTGAAGCAAACATTATTGCTAATCGTAATTCATTTCACTCCTCGGATTTTTTCCTATTTTTCTGGTTCTCAGATTTTGTTAGATAGAACCATTATCAAATTACTCTTTTAACTTTATAAAGCTTTCCATCGATAACTCATCAGTTATTTCCATGTATGTTAATACAGAGCGTATGTATCAAATAGTGAAATACAAACAATGATTTTGTTAATGGCTTTGCAAAAAGCAAACATTTCACAACATACCACTGAAAATTTTTTCGTCTGATACTCCTCAGAGTATAAAACGTCAGGATAAGGGTCCGAAAGAACACGATGGAAAATATACACCCAGTTGTGGATCGAAACTATCGTGTATATACCCAGTTGTAAGTCTAGGAGATGTCGTCTTTTCCGTTTCATAATCAATGTCTTTGATTTCCAGCATGAAAATAATCCATCGCAGAATATTGTGGCTTATAGGAAGATGGATTGATGTCTCATTTAGCAAAGAGAGTAGAATCATTCTGTATAGAGTTCTAGTAAAAATGCTTGATCGCAAAGAAGATTTAGTGGTATGTAACATTCTACTTAGCAGTTGCCTTGATGTTATTGATCGTTTGTCGTTTGCTTTGCAGTATCCTTTCTCTGCATTGGCATGTCTTTGTGTTGGCTTCACTTTGCAGTAACCTCCCTTTACATAACCTCCCTTTACATAATCTTTCTTGGCAATAACCTCTCTTTGCATAACCACTCGTTACAATAACCTCTCTTTACATAACCACTCTTTACAATGACCTCAGTTGGCCGTAACTTCCTTTGACAATAACCTCCCTTTACAGCTGCTTCTCATAATAATAATATTAATAATAATCGAATGTTTTAACAGGATAACCTATCAGTACAATATATACTGTTATCATTAGGGTTCTGATACTTAATAAATTAATGGTAAAAGATCTAAAAACTGATTACAAGAGTTCGATACAGACCAATCTAAAGATAAAATAATTTTACATCAAATAAAATTAGTTTCTAAAAATCGTTTAAAAATAGTTCTAGACTCTCTTGCACTTAGTGGCAAGTCATTAAATTCCTTTCCTCCCTGATAGTAAAAACCTTTGCGTCCAAATTCTGTTTTCACTTGAGGCAACTTGACTAGATGTTTGTCGTTTCTAGTATTTTTCCTATGAGCATTTATACATTTCTTCATAATAACTAGATGCGATTCTTCACTGCACGCTAGAAAAAATGCAAAAATCCAAAGGAATAATGAGCGCTGTTGATATCCAAGTCCGTTTGTGTGTCCGTTTTAACATTTTCATACTATATGCTACCACTCTTGTATCAGTCAAAATTGAAAATCAATGCACCCTGAACGGTAACTACTGGCTCAACCCAAAATCAAAGTGATACCTCAATTAATCGAATAATCTTGTGCCGGATATGTTAGAAACAAAATTATTGATTCACACGTTAAAAAACTTTTTTGCTTTTTAGGTACGAGTCACGGCATCCAAAACCTTGAAGGATGGTATCCTTTTCTGATGTCCATAGTGTACTAGATATAGCCTCAGTGTACAACCCTTCGACGCATGTGTTAACTCTACTGCCATGCCCTGCTGCATCATTGAGTGTTAAACTTTGAGGAATTATAGAGCATAGTCTACAAAATCAGTGCTGTTTTCTAATATCTCACCTTGTTTTTTCAGTTTTAAACGAAATTCCAAGAATTATTATTCTAAAAATACCCTTTATTCTACGTTTTTCATCTTACAAATATTGTTTTGGTTTTGAATTCTGAATCTGAATTCCACGGAAAACCAATCCTTGAATTTAATACAGCTATCGATGATTACCAGTTTGAAAACAAAGACATTTTACCGGTAAGAAAATATTTACTTTATCAACGTTTTTGTATTTTGAATTTTGATATTTCAGTTACACAAGAAAGCTGAATCCTGTCAGGTGAGGTTGAAACCAAGGCATACAAGTCTTGCATTGAAGTTTTTAAGAAGGAATGTCAAAACCATGAGATGATTGGTCATAGTTTCAATACTGCGGGGTTATAGATCTGACCTATAAGTTAATGTTTGCGATGCTTTATGTTTTCTCTTATCTAAATTATGAACCCAGTGCACTTGATATGGTAGGCATGAAAGGACAAATAGTAGCGTATCAATGCTTCTTGATATGATAATATAAAAATGACATTGAGCAGTATAATAGAAAATACATTGTTATTATTAGTGTTAAAGGTATTTTCAAAAAGACTAGACACCACCCGTGCATTTTTACACATCGAGCAACAGCAACCTCCATCAATGTCGGTCCCGGGCTTCCTCTTGAGCATTCTCCTATGACACGTCCAGATCCCTCAAATCACTCTCCAACGCTCTTCTCCAGGTGTTTCAGGGTCGTCCAATTTTCAAAAAGAAGATATATATTGTAAATAAAATTTGTAGAAGAACACGGAACATTGCCCTGCACTTTACATCTCACTTTATATGGAATACTCTTTGAGTAATAGTCTGATTGGTATCAGTAAGGTATCTGTAGGTGTTAGGTATCTGTGAAGTATTATTTCTGAGCCCATAGATTTCTTACTGAAAATTAGAGAATCATAAATCCTGGACGATGTTGTAAATTTAAGTGCCTTATCCTCCCAGATTTACAGCTATAACACAGGAGATTTCAAGTGCCGAATTAAGTTCGAATCGGGTCGATGCTGCAAAACAAAAGAATCTATTATTGGGCCTTTTCAATTTCAGAAAAATTCTCTGGGCCTATTCAACTTCAGAAAAATTCTCGTCAGTTTTTTTTGCCAGATCCAGCAATGAGCCTAATGCTGCTACACCAACAGCACCGACTTCAATTCATCCCCGCAGATACCAACATTGAAATGAAGGAACAATTTTTTATGAAATCTAGACTGTCTGTCCAGGATTGTAGTCTTGGTTTTTATTCAAATTTCTGCAGCATTCCCCAACATTGATATCTAGCTTACGAGAGTGTAATTCTCTGAAGCTTTTTCTAGTATTTGAAAGACCTTTGGGAAAGACTGTTTTGTCTGCTTATCGATGTCCAGGAATGCGATACAAAGGTACCTTCGGAATACTTTATTATGTTAATATTGTGTTAAGAAAACAAGTAAGTTTAATGTTTATGTCTTTGCAAACTTCTATTCTACTATCTGAAACTAAAATTGTGTATTACTTGCGAGTTTTTGACAGCAACGTGGCTCGCTTAGAATTTCTTAACTCGTCTGCTGAAATAGCATTACTTTTTTGTTAGATATTTTTGATAAAAGATTGAGCGAATTATTGAAATGTTTCCTATCAATTTTAAAAAGTAACTTGATTACTTGAAAAGGACTAGAAGTAACTTAGCTATAGAGTTACACGACAAGCTATTTTCCTGCGAATTAAACAGGTCGGATAACCCGTAACTTTTCTTTGCGGACAACAGGCGATCGAATTAGGTTTTAAGGTGTTAAGTATTGTGTTAGAGTGCTTTCTTTCTGAGAAGTGTACTTTCTAGTTGTGTTTTTCTATTCTAGATCTCCGTCAGTTTGATTTTCTTAACAATTTTATGAAGTTCCCTTATCTTAACGAAGCCAAACAATAGTATTCTGTGATTCAACTGTGTTTCCTTTTGGTTGATTCCTCTTTTATCTTGCTAGATGGGGGTACTGAATGTGATTTCCATTCTAATTGAACGTGCCGGTAGAGAGGTATGAAGTATTCAAAATATTCTTTCAAGACATGTTTCATTTTTAGTTGATTTCCATGTTTTGTGTGATAGGAGAAACAAATCTTAAAGAACTTTTGATGGAACAAGTTTCATATTTTTGACTTTACCTGAATTGATAAAACCCGTTTCTACCAGACTGTCACGATAAGCACTTGAGTAACAGTGAGGCCATGTTATTTATGGTAAAAGCCATTTTCGCACAAACTACAGATGAAATATTTGAACTTCTACTTAGTTAATAGCTGAAGAATTCCTGATAAGTTTCAATTAAGTTTTCAAAACATTGTTGGTAGGAATAGTTTCCAATTCATTTTAAGTGATTTTCACGAGTATTTGCCAGATGATCACAATAAGCATGAAACACAGGTTTGCAACTTAGACCGTCGCGTTTTAACACCAAAACGTATACAGCTCTGGCTTTACGGTATTAAACACTGTATGGCAGACAGGTAAAACGGTTATTTTTAAAGTGAAATAGAAACAACTTGTTTCGATACAAAAGTCACAATTGCTTGAACGTTTTATGTTATTGTAGGCGGCCACTAATGGCTTTTTGTATAAATGAAATAAATTTTGGTACAGTAGAATAATTCTTTTCATGGCTGACGGACTCTTAATTCTTTGCAAAATTAGTTTCATATTTATTATCTTCAATTCTCAATTTTTATAAAATGTAATCTAAAGAAAATTTCATCACATTCTTCGCAATATTTTTCCTGGAGAGACAATCCACTTTAATATTTCATAACAGACAGAAGAGTGAGTGCAGAACAGGATTCGAGAAAATTTAAGTTCTGCCATGGTTGTATCACTTGCGCACATTTTCTCTTAGTAGATAAAAGAGTATTGGATTAAAGATGTTTAAAAAACATAGCTGTTCAACTTCACTTAGATAAACCTTTAGAAAAGTTATCCTTTTGGTAATAAAATTACAGTTAAAAAATTTCAGCTTTTCCGGGGCTATTTTTACTGTTTTGATTCCATGCAAAAAAAGTTTCTACGTTTTCTGTTAAAAGAAATTCAGCCGTCTAGTACACTCTAGTAGGTCAATCCAGGTTTGACGATTCTTTTGTTTTTTTTTGTAAACAGATGAAGCCCTATGCAACAGCTTTGTGTCAGTATCTTCCTCATTTATGGGCAGACTCAGCAGAACATAACATGTTGCGATGTGTCGTTGTATCCACCCTAAGACATATAGTCGAAGTAAGTTTCATCTTTATGATCTTTCTTAATTGAGCTCTTAAAGCTTTTCTTGCTATACGGGGGATTGCTGGACTTATTTTTTTGTCTTTCCAAAGCTACGTGTCCTCGAAATGTTTTGGCACACTAAAGTAAAGTTTAGCGAATTTCCAACAGCATCGTCCTCTTCAAAAGCTTCAATACTTTATATATATTTTACAGGCATTGGGAAGCGAATCGGTAGTATTGCACCCGCTGCTGTTGTCAGTGATTCATCTCAGTACAGACCATACTCAGGTGAATTCAAAGACCTTTTCAATAGGTTTATTTTATCTTTACATAACCGTTATTTTTCTTAGAAAATTTGTCTATAGAACAGGACGGTTAAAAATCGAAACTCCACATTGCACACTTGATTTAGATCGTTAAGTAACTATGTGTAGTGTAATTCTTTTCTTATCTTAATGGTATCAATGTTAGTTAGATGTGAATGATATGATGAAGACGCTTTAGTGAATAGAACTTGCCGGTTTGAAGCTGCAACTCCGAGTTTCACGCTTAATTTGATAATCAAGCAACTCTTGAATATGATGAAAATATTCTAAAGAAATTATTTGCATGTTAGTTGAAGTATTTACGTAAAACCCCTAAGATTTTTTTTACTCTGTCCTGTTTTTCATTGTGAAAAAAACCTTTGAAATCCTCACCATTTTGTAAATTTTGAGATGTTCTGTTTTTGAGCACAAGAATATGAATTAGAGTTTCCTTGTTCATGTTCACAGCCTTCCCATGTTTATCTGATTGACGATGGCTTAGAGTTGTGGTAAGATTTTTATCAACCCTTTATGAAGTGCACTTTTATTTTATGTTATGTATTTTTCTAAACCCAACTTTGTCCTTAAATTAAGCTTTTTTGGTAACTTTGGTAACGTAAAATATTTCGATGACTTTGAACTTTGCGAAACCACTTAAATTCCGTTTATTCATTTTACTGCATTATGCAAAATCACTCTTTTCAAATGTTTATCATTTTACTTCAAACATTTGCAAGATTATAAAACGATTACCTAGATCTATATGGTTATCAAGTGTTCGGTTCAAGATGTCAAGGGAGATATTTATCCCAGTAAGCCTTCTTCGGTTCCACGGAATGTTTTTCTACATTTCCATGTTATCTTCGCAGGTATATTTATCTATATGAACATTTTTTATTGCTGTATTTAACTACTTTTCATACGAATCTAATATATAGTTTTTGAAGATCACTTGCCATTTTCAGGTTTGCTGTGATGCAAAACTCCCCCGTGATGACGGAAGATTTTCTCGCAGCGTTCGCTGTTTTGCCAGCAATTTTAGGTATTTTTTCAACTTTATAAGCCATTTAAAGAACTCGTGATTCGTCTAATAGGAGTATTAAATTTTGAATTTAGAGATAAGTATAAGCAAGTAACAGACCTGATAATGTGAGGTAGTGGCTAGCAAAGTTTTTCAGGCTCTCTTGTCACATTCCTAAGAGATTTTTGTTCACTTCGACTGGCAAGAAACATATCACAGCTTATACATAATTAAAAAAAATTGGTGAACATACGGTTTTGCCCAAAAGTACGGCTTCAGCATTGTACTGCACGTCTTGTTATTAACAAACATTTAAAGCCATTAAGGTTTCAAAATGTCAGCTAGCAAATATATTTAAATAAAGCGCTAAAACATGTTAACATGTTTTGTAACAAGTTGGATTTGTGTCACGGAAAAAATTTGGAGTATCATGACAATCTGCGTTCTGGTCGCATAAAACTTCTTGTTAGCAAATATTAGGATTTTCATTCTAGTTAGAGATTCTTTAACTTTATATATTCCATTTTGATTTTGAACCAAAACCTTACAACAATTTATATTTTTCACGAACAATCATTATGTTGTATTTCCTAGAGCAAACTTCCGAGAATTTCAAGACTTGTGTTTCCATCATTGAATCATACATACTGCTGGATGCTCTCAACGTCTTGAAAGTAAGATATGTGGCAATGCAAGTAAATAGATACCACCACACTGACTATAGACGTGGAAAATGTTCATATCAGATTTTAACCACGTTTTTTAATAAGCTGTTCTATTTTCTCTGTTTAGTATCCCCAAGATATTTAGCATCCTAAGTGATATCGATACATTGGCCTAGTTTTTAAGACGGGGGTTGCTTTTTCATGGACTGATTGCTGAGATGGGGAATGTTGATTTTGCTCGAAGGCTTACTCTTTGTAATAAATTAATAAATGGAGTATCATGTTCCAAAGGAAAAAATATTTCAAAGATAGCTTGCAAAGACGGAGAAATAGCACATTGAAGACGAGTTGTACTGGTTTTAGAAATGTAGTTTCACACACGCCTAACAAATATATGGCTTTGCTTCAATTTAGGCCACTTTCGTAATTGAGGCACCGTAAGGCATGCAGGAAAAAAAACAAGTTAGATATCACTACCTATCTAGTTGTTATCAACACTGATAATATTATCATCTGTTTGTAGATCCATTCCTCTTCGTTGGTTGGAATAATCGACACTCTTCTGGGACAGATGAAAGATGAGGGAAACATCCTTCTATCAGAGGTATACACTTCACAAGTTTACTCCATTTTCTTTCCAAGTTAAGATAAGATAAATACATATAGTCAGGTGCAATTAGACTGCTCAAAATACCTGTGAAGTGACCTTATTGCTTATGTAGCTCTTTTGAAAGCTCGGTATTCAATAATCACTGTTTGGTGTTGTGGAAATATGGAAAAATTGTCTGGTGGAGTAAAACTATTGTATTAAAACTGAAAAAAACATTTGTAATTTTTATTTTCTATCTTAGTATTAAAAATACGTAACAATTTTTTGATTAGCCTTCAAATAGTGGAGACAAACCTTCCGTGCCTATATGTTGAGGTTTCTTTGTGGAAAAACATAAGCAAAACGGCTATCGTTGTAAAACTATTGTACGCAAGGACAGAATTTATTGGAGGGGGGCATTTTTTACAGATATAATATGATAGAAGCTGTTTGTTTTTCATCAAAGGAGCTCCGAACACCCTGGTTCTCCATGTTTCATTGTTTATACTCTAAATGTCGAAACTTGTGAATGAATTCAATAATTTGAGCCACTTGCCTGTATGGGAGATGTCTATTTCTATCACCACTAGGTGCTTCAAAGTATCACTAATAGTGCTATTTGTAGTCATCTCCGCTTTTCTATTCAATGTTAAATCGGTTCTATGACTTGCTTTTCAGCTAATACAAAAATTGCTTATATTGCTGCCAAATGAAACTTCAATTCTGTTTGAAACTGTATTGAGCAAAATTCTGAAAATTATTCTAGAAGATAAGGTAAGCGTTTTTCTCGATTAGATTTCTTCAATATTCTTTTGGTATAGCCAATAGTATGTGGTCTTTGTCTGTTGCAAGTCTGGACTACAAGTAATAGCTTAATATTTTGCAAAGAAATTGGTACTTATCGTTGAATGACTTGTCAGCAATTTTTCGTTGGTCTGTTTTGAAATCCTTTGGATTTTTGTTTTTCTCATTTGTATGATATTTTTCAACTGTTTCAGGAGTACCCTCGAGTCATGACATCATATCTAACCATTTTTGGATATGTTCTTCTTCACAACTCAACTATTTTCTTCAATATGCTACAAAAGTATTGTTTCGATGTAAACGAAAAGGTGATTTTCAAGTTTATTCATTTGTTGTCCTGAATTTAGAGTCAAATACATTTCACTCAATTCACAATATTCTTCATTTAATTTAATTTCTTTTTTTTAATCAAAACCTTTTTTCTTTCATATTTTGTATCCTCAGGACTACCCTACCTTAATATTTCTCCAGACTGACTTTATGTTGATTTTAGCCTGACCTTTCATTGAGATTTTTAACAATTTTCTTCCAAATTCTAGCCAGAAAGGGCAGCTGCTCGGTTTATTGATGTATGGTTAGAAAAGGTACAATATTTGGATTTCAAACGATTTTTTGGTATAATTTTGACACGAGGAGACATCACCTTGTCTGTTGCTAAAACTCATAATGCTTCATTGTATCGTCTTATCGCAAGGCCTCGTTGTATTTTCTTATTGCAAGGTCTCTTTGTATTATCTTTTTGCAAGGCCTCGTTGCAAAGATGGAGCAAGAAACGAAAAATGTAGAAAATTCCTGCTTTGTAAAGTGACTTAGAGGGACGTTTCTTAACATACCTTTGCAACATAATTTTGCCTATAAGAGCAAGTGTGCTGAGGTCCTTTTTATTAAGTATTAAGTAAAATCATTGCCATAGTTTCTGATCATTCATTCTTCTTTTTTCTCTAGGTTGATTTCATGTCCAATGACAAGTCAAGACAAATTACTGCAATGGCTTTGATTTCGTTGCTGCCTCTTAATGCAGAGTATGTTTGATGCAATTTGTTCTCCATGCCTAAATTCTGGTGGTTATTGTCTTACTATTTTATAAATTCGATTAATCTATTTTCTTTAAAAAATCAACAGCATTTCAAAATTTATCTCAAATTTGAGCCCTCTTCCTAGGGGCAAAGCACTGCATTAAAATTTCGTATACCTTTGATGGTAATCCTATTGCTTTATCTGGATATTCCTGGAAATCCTTTTGTTTTCGCGGAATTCTAGCAGGCTGTTTACAAGTATAAGTCGCTTCTCATCCTCTTCTATGAGTATGCAGTCTTTTTGGCTGAAATCTGGTGAATCAAATTTTCTTTCTCTTTCTATTTCCTTAAGCACTTCTCGGATAATACTGCTGATTATAACAAACTTTGATACAGTTTCTGCGTTTTTGTATTGATATATTTTATCTACATATCGTGTATCTGTATATATATAATTTGTTGAATCCCTATTAAACTTCCTGCTGTTTGAATGTTGTTTTAGACAATTATCTTCTGGCAAAAAAGACATTTAACGCTTGTTAATTTTGCTGGAACCCACTGATATATTGAGAATGTAGTTTTAGACTTGCTGTTTGCATACCATTATGGGAAGGCCTTTGAAACATTTTTGAAATGGATGAATGCTATCCTTATTTGCAACTAGAAAAACGTCAGTTTTAAGGTTTATATCTATAATATTCTGACAGAGCTACGGTAACTGACATCAAGCCACCAAAATTCATATAGGCCAACAATTATTGAAGTATTGAATACAACATTTAATATAAATTAAGTCCAGTGCTATCATTGTCCCGGGTCATGGTACCAATGTGTCAACTCCGATGAATACCTTTTGACTTTCCTTACAGGTTTGTCAACGAGCGATTTGCACTGATTTTGGACGCGGTCGTAAATGTTTTGCATGGCGTCTCCGCTGAAAATTCAGACGAACAAAGTTCAGCCTTAATGTAAGTAATTTAGACGAGCAAAGTTCAGCCTTTAATGACCAACCACTGACAACGACACCGTCCTTGGCCTAGCAGGAATCCACTATGTGAAGGTTTTCGCTGTATTTGAAAGCAAGATGTTATGCTTCTAAAGTAATTTAAAGCAATTCAAAGCTTCTTAATAATAATAATTAAGACCAGCTCTGTTCTTGCATCTCTAGGAACCCTTCAGATTCCTGTAATGATCAGAACTTTGAGAAGGAACAAAATTGTGGCGATCAAAGAAAGAAACAGGTGCGTCTTGTATCTCTTCTGTTTTTAAGGAGAATTTGTGTGGCATTCTAGCTCAGTTAGATAATAAACATTGACAATTTCTTTTGCATGCTACAATTCTTTAGTTATATGAAATTTTTAGTTTATTAATGTTTTCAATGCCCGTCATAGTCATTATTGATTATTGAACCGCAACAGCTATAAGAAGAGCAATACCATGAACAATGCCGGCAGAAAACAACAACAGCAACTACAACAAAGCCATGCTCCCAATACTTACATTATGGCTGTTCAAACTGATCATCTTTATTTAATTTCAGATGATGGCTAAAGATATTATATCTTCCGTATCACTATTGGATTTTGTTAAATTGAAAATCACGGAAACTAGAAATACACTTGGCGACGAGCAATTTCAATTTCATATGGATACTCTGGATTCAATGGTTTCAAAACAGCTTATTTCGTTACTCGGATAATGGAACAAGGTCTGTTTATTTTTCTTTTCTTAGGCGACATTGTATATTTGTTAATACGTCTAATGGAAAGGCAAGTTTTCATTGAAGGAAGGCAAGTTTTCGTTGAAGGAAGGCAAGTTTTCGTTGTAGGCAAGTTTTCGTTGAAGGCAAGTTTTCGTTAAATTTCACTTCGACTTAAAACAGCCCTTTTTTGTTGCTGCTCTTCACGATGTTAACAATCGCACTTCAGTTAACTGTGACATCCAGTTGAGTGTAGCAACGCACGAATTTGTGGTCGCACTGTGTCTCTCAAATTTTTTTTGTGTGAGGGTAACTGCAACATGGGCTTGACTGCCACCCCAGATTTGAAATACTTTGTCATTGAAGCGAATGGTGTGGTGCATCTTTTTATTTCCTTAAAGGTATCTTGAATCGACGAACGTTATGATTGGCACAGAGCGTCGTGCCAACTACCCTGGGTGCCAGTGTCTCCATGAATGAGTCTCAGAAACATAGTTCGAATATTTTTAAAAAAGGCCTATTCCATCCACCGTACGCCACTGCTTCGGTCTACAGTACCGTATCTCATGTTTCTTAAAGCTCTGGTACCATGGGTGCGTACCAACCTACCATCTTTAGTATCTAGAACCGGACCTATGGTCGGCACTGCAACTAAGCATGCAGGAACGAACACAGATACAGACCTTAATTAAATTTCTCTCTTTCTTCGGTATATCAGTACTTAACTTGATGAGGGCTTCTGCAACCTAACCTATCCATCTCTCTGCTTCATCTCATTCTTCTTGAATAACAACAACAATACCTCTCGTTCCAGTCCCTCATAACTCACAACCACACAGCAACAAGCTTGAGACAAAATATAGGTTATCTGAAATTTGAAATGCCGGTCTCTTTTAAACTACAGAGTATGTGCTTACATCCATATAGATATCACAAACTTAAAGGGGCCTATGCAACCAGCAGCCTTTGCGCGCTCGCATTTGTTTTGTTTTTCTAACTGTGTTCTTCTATGCAAGACGAAAATGGCGAGAAGAATTCGATGGGAAATTTCTGGTATTAATGTAGCGCTCTGGACGGCCTCTATTTGGTTTCATTTTGCGCGCAGCTTGTGCTAGCAGCTTTCCACCATTTTCATGGACGACGAAAATGGCCGCCTTCCCAGTTTACGCCCGCAAAGGCTACTGGTTGCCCACGCCCCTTTAAAGGGGTTCTCGAGGACCTTTCTGCTAGAGTTCAAGGGACGATTCAACCTCTTTCATTGTTGCTAACATTAGAGTGGGTGGGTATGAGGCTTGGTTGTCCTGTCGAAAAACAGAGACCAGCCACATTCCAGTTACAGCTGACCTATTGACGATCAAGCAGGACAAATAAAGAACAGCATGCATCTGCATGCAAATGCTCTTATTAATTTAACATGAATGGTATGTTTACGTAAGACTGATGCGTCAAATATGAAGACCTTTTCGGTTTGGAATATTTTTTAATTGGTTTGGTTATAGTGATCCTGATCTCATTAGCCGTAGCTTAGCGTAATGGAAACAGGAAAGGAAAGTAAAAAGACCGGGTTTTAAATCTGCCCCTAATTGGTTTAGCTCACTAGATTTGCAATGTCTACCTAAATGGTAGTCCATGAACAAGTCCATTTAGATCATAATGGCTAAATGGATATGGGTGATTTTGTAAGTGGGCCGTCAAACATACATTGCCATTCTGGTCTGGTCTACTTAACCCCGACCGACGAACATTGACGCCACAGAAGATGTCATTCAAGTGTTGCTAGGAAATGTCTGTGTCAAATAAGTGGCCTGTTGTATAAATACCGCGCGGCAAATATACTACCATTGGATGGGCTAATGCTTTTCAACAAGTCGCGTCGTTCAGCTTCGTGGCAACGTCTAACCAAATTTGTTGGTGCCGCCCTACTTTGGTTTTCTTTTTGTTAGAAATCAGAGAAAAAGCTTGGCTAAAAAGATTTATAATTGCACCTGCATGTTTAGATATAATTGCACATTCTGACAAATGACAGAGACTCAAAGGCCCATTTGCCTGTGTTTGGAGGTTCTCTTCAAAACCTTTTCTACTCCAACTCTTCTAAACATAGAGGTGGAAAGGCTTTGAAAAAGCGTTTCTCAGGAATTTTGATGGGAATGCAAAAAGTGCGTTTCTTCATATATCTCCCGCATTTCTACCATAGAAATGTTTTTATAATTTCAAGTAAGCCTTCCCTGCTTTGGGAGTCCCTCGGTCCAGCTTCTAACAATCACGACAGAAGATCGTTAAGCCTACTTTAAGCCTACTTTCCACTGAGCGAATCGCGCGACAAGATTTTGTCGAAAAAGTTGTATTTTGAGCGTGCGCTGTTAATGCGGCTGTTGTCACAGGTTTGCCCGGCTATGTCGCAGAAAAGTTGAGATACGTTCAACTTTTTAATCGTTCGCGCAACAACAGGCATGCAAAGCAAGATGCAATCCACTTCCCAGCCCACAGTTTTGGGGTTGTATCTAGCCAGTTTTATTCGGGGGATGGCCCAAAATAGTAAAGTGGCACAAGAAGCGCAAGCATTTGCCACAAATTTCTTGAAAGCAATTTTAAAAGCAATCTTCGATTAATTGCAGCTATTTGAATCCTTTGAAATTTGGCGGGAATGATTGTCGAGCGACAAATTTCTGCTGCAGCGGAAAGCATAGACGATTGTCGCACGAAACCTCCACAGGTTTCGCAGAAGATCAACACGGATTGAAATTCCTACGATATGAAATTATAGACAATAAACCAATTGGTTTGATTTGATTTCATTTGTCCAATTGGAATATAATGGCTGCATAATTGAATGAAGACATTGAGTTTTGCACCACAATGCCCAGTCTCCTGAACAATGTGTATTTCTTTGGCAAATCCGCACAACTTGTCTCGTTTATCAGATTTGCTAGTCTGTTAATTAGAAGGCTATGGCCAACCCAGACACAGACTGGAGACATACTAAATACATTACTTTCATATCTCACAGCAACGCTTGTTTATTACTTTTTCCCTCCATTTCAATCTTAAGAAAGGTTGTTGCGATCTTGTTTACTATAAATACAACCGTCGTTTCTAAAAGACTGAATATAAACAACGGTTTGCGCAGTGGACACGTTACGTTTGCGCTTTCATTCGGTTATGCTAATCAAAGCGCGCCATCCGTGCTACAGTTACAGTAACCGGCTCCTTTCTACCAGGAAGCCTTTGAGCCCTGTGAATGTCTTTCTTTGCTCGACGCTTGAATCTTGAATTCTACACCCAACATCCCACTTTTTGCATGGCATCTTTTTCTTCTTGTTAGCTTATTCCACATTGTAAATAGAAAAATATCCTCTGTTCTGTTCTTTTTACTTACAGAAGCAACAGTCTACTTTGTCATAAAAAAATAAACAAAGTTCTCTGCTTTAATACTTGAACTCATAGGAAAGAACTGTGTCAAAATTATGTTTTTATTGAATTCATGACATCGCATTGATTTTTCCTTTCTGATGCGTGTTGTGTGCTATAAAATAAACTGTTACACCATCTTAGTTTGGGGAATAAACGCCAGTGGATGTACAGAATGTATATCTTGCCTTCACTGCACATGACAAAAACTTCATGTATAACTGTCTCACTTCTCTCAGCATCGAGCTACTTTTAAGCTATTATTATGGCAAGAAACAATTACGGGGTAAATTTATGTAGAGATACTAAATATAGGTTGAAAATATTGAATAGCTAGATTTCCCCTGTTTGGACCCAATCGAAACCCGAGAAAACTTTGTGAAATCAGATAGGTCGTGTGGAAGCAACCCAAAACAATGATATCATCAAAATATTAATCCATAGAATACTGCAGAAAGATTAATCCAAACAATAAGATTGATCCCAAATTTGTGTAATTGCCATTTTAAGAAGAAGGATTTCGTTTGATCCTAGACAGGATCTTTTCTGGTTGCTGTCTGTTCGCATAATCCGTGCTTGGCTGCCATGAAAGTCTATCGTAATACCGCAAAGGCCATTTATCCAGGTCATTAAGCACATCGATTTAAAAAGGCCTCTATTTTCACTTTGTTTGCTACCGTAATAAATATGGAGTCAATCTGTAACAAGTTTTTTTGTAGTCACAGACGCTTATTTGGGGTAGCTTCAAGTGAAACAAAGTCGGCGCTTATTTCAGAAAGCGACGAGACTTTTCGAAATTACAAACTCTCTTTCAAGTTCATGTTTGTTTGCAGTTTGCCTAAACGAACCTGCATATAAGATATTTCTTCCCCATAATTATTTAAGTATAAGATTAGTATCAAGTATCATAGAACAGGTGCTGACATTCTTTTCATATCTTCTGTCTGCCAAGATTTATATTCTTTGCTTTATCATGTCTGCGTCCCCTTTCACAGCATTAAAAATAAGGCAAGAGGGGGTGAGCCTCCCTTCCCCAGTCTTCTGAAACATTTCCTCATAATGCGTCCTCTGGACCAACGAACTATTTAGATTTCGGACCCTAGGCGCTAAATATGATTAGGCCTATGTTTTCTAGTGCCAAAATACCCTTATATGGTTTGCAAGCCTTTCCCCCAGATAGGCCCGAAATTAATATATCCTAATTTTTCATACGCTTATCTTCTTCCGAATAAAATCAATTGATCAGGAATGGGATCAATTTTTTAAGGTGTTATTACAACCAAATTCCATTCCGCCCCATTAAGGGGACAGTTTGCACTATTCTTTCACTCGAACTCGTTCTAATTTCCTCATTATTTGTAATGTCGTTGGTGAAAATGGATGCACAAACTCTGCATCGATTTGTTCCCCTCCCCAAAATGCGATTCATCCGCTACATATTTATTTTGACCGTCGATTGAATCGGTTGCAGGGGCGGATCCAGGCAATTTTCTGACCGTTGCTCAGTTTTAGAGACCACGCCCAAAAAGTTTGCCACGCCCCTTTTTTCTTTGGTGATGTTAAGTAAACAAGATGGGTTATATAAGCAAGAAAAGTATTGTACAAAATAAAGGAATGTTTTTTCATAAAATTCAGCAAATGCTCTACGTAATTTGTTTCACTGGTTGAAATGTATCTTTCATGCACCATAGAAGGAAGCATCGAATTAGTAGAAATCTTTAGCTGTCTTTATCGGAAACACGCACAGAAACAGGGGCAAGAAAGAGTACTTTGAAAATCTGACCGGTGCTCAAGCACCTTTTGCACCCCCTGGATCCGCCACTGGGTTCTATTTTCATAAATCAACTGCCACGAGGATGCTTCTTTTTAAAGAAATTAAACCGTGTAATACTGGACGTGTCGAATGAACGATTTTATCAATAAGAAAGCCCCATTAAGATCGTTTTATCCTGCACATTTAAAAAATTTACTCGTGCCCAAAAGATTTCTTTGACCCAAACCGCAAGCAGACAGCCAAATTCTAGTGATTTTAGAAAGACAAGATCGTGTTCCAGCCTCCGAAACTTATCTAATAAGTCAAATGAACGAGAATCATTCTTAACTAAGAAGGAAACTGGATTTTCATAAGTTCAATATTTGTTTCAGTAGATTGAGGCTTGTTATAGCGGAGGTTGATTTGTTCCTCTGCTTCACCACAAGACCAGTGTCGATCAGATAACTTTTAATTGGTGTATCCTCAAACGTTCAATTTACAGTTAAGTCAAATTGCGGCCTTTCCCAGACTGTATTTCTTTTAAGGCCGTAATTAAGCTAAGAACCACCGCGGAACAGGGCAGCCAAGTCACGCAGCTCCCTTACTTGAACCAGCTGAAGTCACGCAGCTCCCTTACTTGAACCAGCTGAAGTCACGCAGCTCTCTTACTTGAACCAGCTTAAGTCTATGTCTGCTGTGCATTCGTATTTGTTAATCAGCCAACAAGCTGTTCTCCTACCTACCAAAGACTGTTTCTTCCAGCATATTCTTTTCCCAATCTTAATTGGCTAGGAGATTCAAATTCTCCATAACATATTAACTAATCAGAGTTCATCAATTTCACAACGGAAAAGTATCGTATTGTAAATTGTGTTGAAAGCTGTTTGGTCATCTTATAATAAAAACTGTAATTGTACTAAATTAAATTTTCCGCAACCGTTAGCTACGAAGGCTTGAAATTGGCCGTTCATAACCTTAATAATTATGTAAAGGGGAGTATATAAAACTCACACATTCGCCATGACAAATGAATATTAGGTTCTTTAATGTTTGCTTGAATGCTTGTGTGACCGACGTTGAAATCATGATTTAATGATCTTGTTGTACCGATTTTATCTCACGAAGCATGTCCTACTGATCATGTCCCTGATCACATGCTACTGATCATGTCCCATTAATTATGTCCTACTGATCATGTGCTACTGATCATGTCCCATTAATCACTTCCTAGTAATCATGTCCGACTGGTCATATGCTACTAATCATGTGCTACTGATCATATGCTACTGAATAAGGCCTTCAAATCATGTCCCATTGATCAAATGCTACTGATCACATGCTACTGATCATATGCTACTGATCATATGCTACTAATCATGTATTCTGATCATATTTTACTGATAATGTGCTACTGATTGTGTTTTCTTGATTATGTTCTAAAGATCTTGACCTATTGATTATTAACTACAGTAATTTTGAGAATGCTTTGCACCAAATGTTTCTGCCCCCAATTTAATAGGCTTTAAACTCCGTTCCTTTCTGCCCTCTAAAAGGGAATTGACATATACTAAAGTGGCTTGAGCCATCTATCAATCAAAATTGGCCAATCAGAAGCGTGATACCGCTCACTCGTCTATTGATTGGCCAACTGTTGATTGACAGAAGACTGAAGCAACTTCTGTATCTGTCAATGTCCTTTAAGAAGCAAGTAGTCAATCTTGAGAGAGCAAAATGAGCGACTTCCTGTGAATGCCAAAGGAGCCATTTTTCAAGACATCAGGAGGTGGTTGCTTCTCGTTAAAGTTCGCTCTCTCTTCCTAATTCACCGGATAGCATCAATTCTGCAACACCTAAGAAGCCAAGCATTCGATCTCACGCGCAATCGACGTGAAAATTAATGAATTTTAGATTTTTCGCTACGAAATGCGGCGCCTTTATGCTTAACATAATCAATACCTTTGAGTCGAGGTAATCGGTGAAGGTCTCCTTTATATCTACATATTCATTCTTCTGATTCGTCATCTAATCCTTATTTGATAGAAGCTCTTTTTGACGTTTGTATTTCTTTTCATGTTTGTACGCTACGCCGAAACTTCCCAAAGTTCTATGAATTATTCTAGCCCCTTAATTACAATGGTCTACGGGCTAATTCAGCCTTAAGAATGCCTTAAAACCAAAGGCTCCTTTTGGCGTCCTTTCTTATCATGCTCATTTCTATAGTTACTCGTTGATCATACTCTCTGACTCCTTGATTAGGAGTCTTCCTCTGACGCCTGTTTGACCGTAAGCGTTTGTAATCATAAGCAGCCTTTCCAATTCTCGATACAGACACAGCTCGCCCGCCAAGCTAGCCTCTGATGTTTTAACCAAACTTCCGCATTAACGGCTTCCCTCCTTCGCAGACGACATTAAGATAAAAAGAGGCTGAGAGGAACACGTCTATAGATAAACTTTGCTTCCATCGTCTATTTTGTTTTATGAACTTTTTTACTGTCATCAGAGCTCTCCTTTGTTGATTCCTATCAAAGCTCGTGGGCTTGCCTCCTTTGCAGACGAAGATAAGATAAAGCGAGACTAAAGGAACATTTCTTAAGATAAACTGTGCTTTTTTCATGCTCTCTTTATCATCTGAACTCTTAATTGCCATCATAGTCCTCTTTTGTTGATTCATATCATAATTGTAGATGTTGTTTTCTTTTTATGTGTCCATTCATTAACGTAGACCAAAAGGAATACTCTGTCTGACGATGATAACATTTTGCTTTCATGCTTATATTTTTCATTTAAACACTTGATTGCTATCAGACTTCTTCATATTTATCAAATTACTGGCGCTTTAAATGTCTCTTTCTTTGGTCCTAACTTTGCCAAGATGTCCTTGTAGTTTTTGCAGTGGTTCGCTTTCTGTCAATGAGCTCCCTGTACTCTGCACCAGTGCCAAGTCATGATGACAGTTTCGAGGCTAGGATCATAATCGAGGCCGTTTGCAAATAAAAAAGCTAACAACTCTTGTATAAATTCCTTTATTGACAAAGTATTACTCAGTATCAAGCTGATCAGCCAGCGAAAATGAAACGCCTGTAAGCTTGATAACAACTTTGTCAGCTGCTTCTATCTATTTTTCTGCCACTACTGCCTTCTTGAGACATTCAAGACATCAAAACTTTTATTGCTGGAAAGTTTTAGTTTTATTTCCCCATTTTTTAAGTCAGTTTACGTAAAACTTTCAGGTTTTCTTCAGCAAGTGTTACCAAACAACAATGTTGTTTATTTTTATCATGGATTGTAGATGTATTAAGCGAGTTTTGTCATTGAAAAAGTCTAGTGAATCAAATTATAGATTGGCCATTACTGAACGAAATCTTCTTATCCTCTAAAGACTGGGATATGGAAGCACGTCTAAATTGGAGAGAGAGATGGAGCCATCCATTCCCAGATCTACTTAGTCTATTTGCCATTGCTTACTTGGTAATACAAAAACCATGCCACTTAAGAAAACTAACGTGAATTTAAGAGCTAATGGTTCACTAATCATAGTTAATACTTTAGTGTTTATCTCTTGAATTTGTCAGCGGCTGTCTAGCAGCAATAGCAGTGAGCTCGACTATCAAAATCCCATCGCTCATACCTTTTACCTAAGCTGCAACTCTTTATACTAATTCAAACAAACAGAGAGGGTTTTGGGTATTGTCTCTAAAGGTCTTAAATGGCTAAGACCTTTGATTGAAAATCGACAAACCTAGATAGGAGCTAAGTGCCAATAGGCGTCTCCAAATCACGGCACAAAACCTTCATGGAGGAATTAGAGAGACGGTGAAACACGGTTTATCGTCCAACCTGTTGTCCTATTATTTCATCAAATAAATCATTGGCGCCAGGACCTTGTTCCAGTGCTCCAATCTCTGTTATGACGCTATTGAATTGAAAACCTACAGAGACGAGATGTGTGTGTCGGGGGATAGCAAAGCCAGAGGCTTTCGAAGATCAGCATTGGTGACGCGCGTTAAGTCGGTTCGGTCGATAGCCGTGTTGTAAATAGCTCACAATGAGGGCGTTATTATTAAGCTGATCCCTGGTTAATACGTCATAATCGGATTGGACTATCGACTGCGTCTGTCTTTTAAAGTAACGCAAGTTGGAATTTCACTACGCATATTACTTTTTCGTTGCAAGAGCAAGCAATCAGTTTGTGTCGTGCATTCACAGAGACCTTTTGAAGGGGACGTGATCCGTTGACTTTCATTCGTGGACCTCATATCATACAAGGCATCATTAGAAATGGAGTTTGCTCTTACAGCACTGTGCACTGTATTGCTTCTTTGGACCGTTGACTGTCAAGCTTGTCGCTGCGTGCAGAAACCACTACATGAAGCATTTTGTGATGCAGACTTTGGTGAGTGAAATAGCATTTTCAACTTGTTTTTGTTCTTTGTAAACCAACTTAACAATGCATTTTTCCGTCAAACCAACATATCAATGCGGGCTAAAATCAAGGTCGTACAGTTTTATCGTACAGTTTAAGCAATTTTATGGCTCCGAAATTATAAAGGAGGATTTGACAAGAAGATTGTCTGTTCGGTATCACTTTTAGTTAAATCAACAAGAACTTTAAAAATGTCTTAGAAAAGACAATTTTGTTTTTGGCCCAATTGAGTGAAGCAGAAAATTACTTTTATTTGTAGATGGGGCCAATCTTATTTTGTATTTTATATTACCTTCAACCAAACTCTGTACTTGTGTCTGAAATCTCATTCTTATACAAGAAACATTGAATGCCCCCATTTCAAAGAGTCGTGAATATTTTTAGATAATCTTAAAGCCTAGAACTCTTTGGAAACATCGCGCTAAGGAGCACGAATTTGATTTATTGGAGTCAAATCCATTATCGCATTAAAATTTTTGCACCTCTTGGTAAAGTAGTATTTAATACCTAGGATATTTCAAGATGCTTAGCTCAAATAACTCGTTCGTGGGCTCTTTATATCAAGATGGATTTACTTATACATATGGCTTTCGTGGTGCATCCATTGTATTTTTTAAAGGAATTGGCTCTATAGCTTATTCGAAGTTTTCTAGAGTTTAGATGCAATCGACATATGATTGGTACAGCTCTTGGTTCTTGTATACTACGCTACGTAAAATGTCTAGTCTTTCACAAAAAATAAGAGCAATTTTTTCTGATGAGAAAATTTCCTGAATTTAAGTATTTAGTATGGTGGTTTTCAGGATTGGTAGTATTAGTTATAGATATAGAATATTGGAAATACAGAACAGTTTCTTTAATTTTTTGTTGATCTTCCAACCCGTCTTGAAGACTTTTAATTTTTGATATTATGCTACAAACTTTCTCTTGTTCTCTCATATGAGATATCAGTTTTTAGTTACTACAGTCATTAGTTTATATTTGGCTTTATTGTTTTTTAATCAATTAACTTTCCTAAAAATATGCTTTCTGGAGGCTTCTCAATTTGCGCAACAAAGTGTCCTGTGAGTCTATTTGCGAAAATGATCGACGAGTTAATGCCTTCTCCCCGCAACTCTTATTCGTCTGTCATTCATCCACCACAGACCTTATGCCAGAGAAATTAGAGCATTATGTGGGTTTTCTAGGGTTTCTATAAAGCTTCTATTCAGTCTTAACGGATCGGGCGTTCTTGGGTGAAGGAGTCTTAACATTTTATATCAGCGCTAAAATTGAAAACTAGGAGTTCAGCGTTTAAATTGGAAAAAGGCGCAAAGAATGTTAAATTTAGATTTATATAAGTAGAAAAGTGAGCTGAACCAGTTGAAAAATTCCCAACGTATCAATAATGACATTGTGTATTTGAAATGATCTCGCCTTTAAATGATTAAAAATGAAGCAATAAAAAGATCCATATTGTGGTATTGGTCACTTGCCAAGCCTTACTTCCCTTTTACTTGACTTCTAGATCTTAAGATTAAGGTTCATCAATTATGGTATAATATTTTTGTTCCTAGTCAAGACTAGTAAGGCGTTTTTCATGAATAAAGCAAAGACTCCGTCCCTAATTTCCACGTCTAAAGACCTCTTACAACTCTTTAAGCATCAGCGGAAATTCAGTCTTAATGGAGATAATCTGACAGCAGCCATGTTTTATCATTTATGATTGCTGTATACGCATGCCCAAGTCTCGAAATCAGGCTCCGCCCCTGGATCAATATTCTTTACATTTAGTTCTAATTCAGATTGTTACGGAACTTTGTTAGTGAGACTGTGCTCGTTACAGTGTTTGTCTGATATAACAGGTATTCCAAACACACAGAATCACCTTTCAAAGACAGAACCACAAGGCAATTGGGACTGGAAACTTTTTGCTGGCTTTGTCGCTCTCATCAAAACGGTCTTCAATTGCATGGTTACTCCGTTACTCTTTAAGAGGTCACTGGGTTTAATCAATCTGCGATCATTCAATCACTTTGATAATTATTTTCTTATCATTCTATCACTGAATTATTATTTAGTGATTATGTTTATGTTTTTAAGTCAAACGTCCTATACCCTCCCATACTAATATTGAATATGGCAGTATGATGCTACATCTTTAAACCAAATTCACTGTTTCATGACTATCACCATGTTGAACCAGCCATAGTGCCCTTCAAATCCCTGAAAATCTTGTATTCTTGGGCACTACTTTTCTTAGTGAGCAATCCCTTGTGTCTCTGACCCTTCCTGAAAACAACTAAACACTCCAATTGGTCTAAGCCTTTAGCCTGAGCTGTGTCATTTGTGGATAATTTGACCCAAACTTTGCTCTTACTTGCACGTGGGATTCAGCAGTTCAACGCGAAATTAAAAGTCATCGAGACACTGACCTATTAATAGCTGCAACCGCGATATCACAGCAAATTGCTGTGCACTAACCCGTAGTAGGATTGTCTATCGTTGCATTTTCATGTGACATTTGTGTCTGCATCAGATAACCGGCCGCAGCAGCAACAATCCTCAAACTTATTATTGGTTTTTCTTTGATGTCTATTTGAAACCTAGTTTTGACAAAGCTTTTCCTATTGGCACATTCCACATGCACCATTCGATAATCCTACTAGTGACATTAAAGGATTTATTCAATTGCCGCTTTTCCAACATGTGAAGCCAGGTGGACCTTGCCTTTGAAGACTTCCTTGGAAGTGCCTGGCGAAGCAGTATCCAAATAGCTGCCAAACAATTGGCTGTTCGATTCACTTCAATCTTGCTTTACCCTCTAGCAATCTGCCTCTTGCTTCGTCTTTCTACCGGAGTTTTTGTCTCAGAAACAATGTTTTTCACAATCTTTGGCAGAGAAAAAACTGGTTACATTTTGTTTCTCGAAGAGGGAAGTTTGTGTTTGTTTGCCAAAAGATGCAACAGTATATACCTTTCAGTGAGCTTTGTAATTGACGAAAGGTTTCTCAAGCCAGCTCGATTCGTTTGTTGGAACTTCGGCCTTTTGCTTGGCAATTATAACACTGTGTGTAAATTTAGCAGATTTCCAGGAACTACCATTTTATAAATTCAGCTGTTTTCCCAGGAGCCTACCTCCCCCTTTTAAAAAGCCCTTTTCTGTTTATTGAATAATAATCCTAAAAGGAGTAAATCTTGGTATGTAATCTTTTGCTAGGTAAAAGGTCTTTTTAATCAAATTTTTCAGACATATTTAGCGTCTTATGAAGTCAGTTGTTCTTCTCGAAGCATCCATCCTAGGCTTGGGTGTCTCTTTGCATGCGTTTAAAATAGAGGGGAAATAACGACAAGATCTCAAAATATTTCCCATAAAACCCTGTGATCTATGCTAAGATGGATGTTAACAATATCATTCCTAAACGGAATAGAGGCTATACAAACATTGATGCAGGTAACAGGACGCTATCTCTCTAAAAGAAGTCATGAAAGACTGATACTGCATTCGTATTATTTGGTAACAACCTTACGATAATCTCTCTAACAGAACATTTACCTGTTCAGTATAGCGTTTTTTTGATAATGAATTTAAATTTAAGCTTTGTCCGTTGGCTTTTTATAGCTCACTATAGCTCACTAAATATAGCTCACTGCATCGAATGCCCTTGTTCTCTAAAAGCATGCGCGTATTTGTCCTAACTGAAGGAACAATTAAAGCAAAAATGGCAGCGGTATTGGAAGATGATGCCAGATTCCGCAAATAGCTGAGGGCCAGAATCTAAGAATTTGATAAACCTAGCGCAGTATCAAACACATTAACGTATCTTGTCAAACAGTTTCTGTGTCACCCACAAATTTATTCTCAACATCATCAAAGCTTTTTCAAGATTATAGACCTTACCCAACAAAATTCCCGGCTGCTTCCTCATATGCTGTCAATGATGTCAAGAGTTTTTCAGATCGGAAGTTTAATCGATTAGTGACCATATACCATTCTTTGATAAAAATGTCATTATTATTTATAATCCTGATTTTCTTGTTTGCACATTGCAGGTCACTTGTGCCTGGCTCTTTCTCATTTATCACTGCTTTGAAAGTTTTTTATTCCAGTTTAAGTTTTTGCTAAATTGATAAATGATTGAATCAGTAAATAAATAGATAATAAATTGTTTGGTACCCCCGCCTTTTCATTTTTGGCCTTCCACAAAGGGAATTTCAATTGCAATTTCGCAATTGTTGGTGCTTAGCACAGAATTTTGTGAGTTTTGTGATTTTCGTGATACTTACTTGTATTTTTTCGAAAGACCACGCCAGACTATGATATTAACACTGACTGTTTTTTGACCTCAAACCCGAATTATGCGCGCGGAACACGCGAGATTTCTGCGATTAGATAACATGGAGTTTACTTTAGCACATAAAAGTTTTTATTGTACTTCACTGGTGGCCTTAACTCAGTTTCTAAAGAGATAACCAATGCAATCTGGACTTTAAAGGACCCTAATAACATTTTGGCAATCCACAAATAGCATTAAACATATCAAGTCACATAATTACTAAAGCAAATCAACTTGTTACCGTTCGGCCTTTTGAGAATATTTGTCTGCCTAGTGACATTCTTTTTTTGTCATTAATTTGACGATTTCTGGTAATTATTCAATTGCTTGCTTGTAAAATTTGTTTTTTTAATTAGATCACCAATTCATATGTCTTAAAAAGTATCCAAATTTTATCAACTCCATCCTTTAATTGCTTTTTATGGCTTGCTCTATATCCACTATCGCTCGATATCAACACAATCAACGCATTTATGCTCAGACTATTAAGTACAGAGGAAGGTACGATGTAGCTGAAAGCTATGATTGCTATATAGTCTTAAAAAATCTTTATTTGCTCCTAAATACTGGAGGAAATCAGGCGCATAAATGTGTCTCTGTAGTTGCACACGGTTGTTAAAAATTGTGAGGCTATGGCCTAACAATTAGATTTTATGGACTACCCTAACGTGTAGTATGATGATCTTTCTCTGCTTTTTTTGGTAAACTTCTTTCAATAATTCTTTTCCTTTTTTACTTTAGCCATAGTTGCAAGAGTTACAACATTGAAGAGAATACTTGAGTACCAGCCACTCCTATACAACTTTGGAATAATGCCACTCCGTATATTCAGACAAGAAAAACCAGTTTTCGTCAAAGGGGTTTCGTCAGTTGTATTTACACCACGATCAGCAGATTTGTGCCATGCCAAAGTGAAGCGTGGCGAGGTCTATCTTCTTGGTGGTCGCGTGAAAGGTAGGCGAGTGTTCCTCACCAGCTGTGGATTGGTGAGAAAGTGGCAGTCTTTACAGCACATTGTTCGCAAATCCATTCGACAAGGGAAATTGTCTTGCAACTGCACCGTGCAGGGCTGTGAAGGACAACAATGTATGTTGCGTAGATCGAAGTTTAAACAGCCAGTCTCGCATTCATGTGAAGCGGTGTCTTTGAAAAGAAAGATGTGCTACTCAAAGTTCGGCGTTTGTATCTTTAAGAACAATAGATGTAAATGGGCAAAACGCTCTCAAAAACTCATAAATAACTGCGTTACAGACAGTCACTTTAACTTTATTCCAACCAGAAAGGTTACCTAGAAGAGAGACAGCTCAAATCACAGTTGAGGCAACCAAAATTTATGGCATGCCAAAAGAGTGACGAGGCTTCACTAGGCTGTTGCTGGCGACTCTTACTTGCACAATGTGAATGGCTTGGGTGTCAACGAGAGAACCCCAAAAGAGTATCAGAGATTAAGAGAATGGGTTTCTAACTCATAAGTGAACTATCGCTGTTTCAGAAAGCTGAACTGGAGTTTCAGATACTGAGGGTTTTAAAACGGGCATTAACCGTGAAGAACTGTAGCCTTTGCTAATCTAACTGAGTTTGCCGTACTGTTTCAGAGTTCAGAATAAGATTTTTTATCACTCTTCTGTGAACCTTCTTCACAATTCCATCAAAAAGTATCTCCAAAGGTTATTCAAATTATTACTAATGTTTGCAAAGCATAATACTTTTAAGCTAATGCATAGAATTTAAGAAACGGAAGAGATGTTTTGCAAGAGCCCCTGTTACTACTCCAGGTAACTCTGTCGAAGCTAGCGAGGCCTACATTCAACTTTGCAAACCCCCTTGTTTTCGTTTTGACGCGAGTCACCTTATACTATGTATAGATGTATATTTATCATTTCGCGAGATATCCCTGCTTTATTTGCTATTTCCTATACCTTCGCATCTTTATCTGCATCTCAAGCTGTATAATTTGATGCTTATCAGATTCTCCTGTTCAAGGCATGAACCTAGGTTAATATTCTGATGCCTGTAAAAATGCAGTTTATTGTAGTGAAGGTCAATGGACTACTGTACAGTTAAAAGATAGAATTGCGCTGAATATTTGTGTCTTGTTTTCTAGCATATGTCTTTGAATTTTTATGCATCCATCAAATGCTTTTGATGCAAGGAACGCGAAGCATATTACGGATTGAGGGAGCTAACAAGTTTCTTTTTGGGGGGTATACATGTAGATTTCCTGTATGGTTTTTAGTTCATTGCGGAAGGGGTTAAGCCCCCCTGCGACTGCGGTTCCTGGTTAAGGCCGGTTTCCACTTTATTCGCTCTGGTCGCGCGACTTGGCGAAATCGAATCAACAAGTCAGCGAATCGGCGAACGCGAACAGTCACTCAGCGAATGGTCGCGCATTCGCAGCGAAGGAAGCTCAATTTGCGCATGCCCCATTTTGCATTCGCTCAGTCGCGCGACCAGAGCGAATAAAGTGGAAACCTGCCTTTAGAAGTGGCGATTCGTTCGTTCCGTTAACATGGCCTTGCTTAATTCCTTTCAATGAAATGAAGTTAACAAGTAGAATTATATTCATATTATTTATGTAAACTAATGAATTTGGTCTTTATCAGCAAGAATTGCGGAACCAAATGCCAACGAAAAAAGTTTGTGATTACTTAGAAAGCAAAGAACTAAGCAAGTTAAGGTAAAGAAACAAATTTTTTTTCTTTATCAAACAATCCTTCAGTTTCATTATAACTAAACCCTATATATTATATTAAATAAAACTAAACCCTAAAAAGACTGATTTGCCGTGAAAATAATCAATCACACGAAATCGTAGAGAAATAGCTATCATGTATTATAAGGGTAGAAGGAGCTTTAATGGGCAAAGATATTGAGCCTAACTGTGAATTGGTACATCTGCATTTGCAATTGTCGATTATTAGCGATGTTTTCCTTTGCATTATTGTGCCTGCTGCATTGCTCTTTCTGTCGATTGCAGTTAAGTCAGATGCTTTTTGCAGCAGCAATAATGAATAACCAACTCATAACAGGTATAACATTCTTGTAACTGATCTAGGTGAAATTTCAATCGCCACCTTACACACTCTTTTGTCATGTCATTTACACCTAGCAACCATTTCACGGTCACCCACGTGTCATACCGCGCATAAATTTATGCATTTAAACACTTACGACTTATATTCTCTCGTCTCTCGTTTCCAACTTCCTGCACCCAGCAATATTTTGATCACGAGCAAAGCGACGTTTTCCTTCACCAGTGAACACAGAATATTTCTTTCTTACTTCTCCCTCTATATCAATATAATAAACAAATAATATCCTGTTCTAGCCCTTGAGCTATTCTCCTTCCAGTGCGTCTTCCTAAACAGCTTGCCAAAATAGAGTCAGAGTCACAGAAGAAGCAATCTTTAACATGCCCTTTGTTTGAATTTGTGGAAATTTATAACTGATCTGCAAAAGTAATTGTTTCCAAATGCAATACTTGTGCAGGTCTTGATCCTTTCGTTTGGTAATAAACTTCAATACTAGAGATACAAAATATTTCACGTTGATCAAAATTATTTAGCAGCAAGCTGCCACTTTCATAAATCTTTTTTTTTCTTTAAATATTCAATTCTGAAGGCCTAAGGACCACTAAAAAATTGCTGACTGGCCGGACATGGCCGGCGATCGGTAGGTTGCCCACTTGATCCAACTGACGAAATTCTTCTTTCTGCAGTTTCGTTTGATAATTTTGTAGCCACGAAGACGTACCAGTTTAGTAGGATGTATCAAGGCCATGAAAGAAGGAAATTTTTTCAAGGATACTTATTTTATGAAATCGCGAAAAGGAGCGTGTGGTCCACCGAACTGGATGAATAACATCTTTATCGGTTTGTCAGAACAAAGCCAGTCGCTTTAATAAATTTGAGAAATATTAATCTTTGAAGATCATTTCTTTAAGACGGCTGCTCGACATTCACAGACAGCTATTGCCTGTGAAACACAACCGGTGTTTCTCATGAGAAACCCTCTGTAAACAAATAAGAATTATTTTTGACGGTCGTTCGCAGCTTATATGGAAACTAACATAATCCGGTAAAATTAACACATCCTTCTAGCATATAATGACTGTTTGATTGATCACGTATGATTGGAAAGCCCCTATATTCCCACATCTCAACAGTACCTTCAATCAGATTTGCTTATTATCGATTCATCTAGAACAGGAATTTTTAAGGCAGTGGCAGCTGCATCTTTTAGCAATCGATTAATAATATTTATCGCTGTAATCAATGTTATACTATTCACATCCTTCACTTATGTTGTTCACACTACCTTCCACCGTGCTGCTTTTAATTGAGACATTAAGCAGATTTTCTTCATAATGTGCTTTCCTGCAACACTCGACTATAAATGTGGTTGGTTGGTACCCAGTTACTAAACACATCTAACTGCTGCATATGTTGTTGAGGCAGAGCCTAAGCACATTTTTCTGGCAAGTGACATTGAACATTACAAAGCAGAACACATAAGGTGATTCTATATATCAAGGAAATTTTTGGTTCTATCAATCTGTTTCCACCAAGAACTCTGGGTCTAAGCTGATATAATCTCATTTTGCTTGTTCCGAAGTAGTTGTGCAGTTTTCGACCATGGATCTCAACAATACTACGTTAGATGGCTGCTTGCTTGTACGTCAGTTGCAACATCCAGACAAAAAAATGTTGTTAGTTGGTCTATATGTGACAGCAGCAGTCAATCTTATCCCTGCTTTGCTCACAGTTATCGTCAATGGTGGGCTGCTGGCACTTTTTATCAAGACACGGTCCTTGCACAATCCCCCAACTGTTTTTCTAGGTGCACTTTGTCTCAGCGATTTATTGGTTGGTGTCATTTCGCAGCCTCTGTATCTTTGCATAATATTTACAGTTGTATCTTCTATCAACCCGAGCTTCAGTCTAGGACTTGCCTTTTTTCTATCAATGATCATATTCGCTGGAATGTCCTACATATTGGTTTTCTATATAACCCTAGATGTTTATTTTGCTGTCTGTTATCCATTCAAATATGAGCGATTTTGCACCTGCAAGAGGTTTTTGCTACTAGTCGCTGGAACATGGGTGTATAAAGTGCTACCCCCATTTGGAGGCTCGTTGTTTTATATTTGGTATTATGCAATATTTACTGTGATCACTCTAAGCATCATGATTGCTTGTTACAAGAGAATATATCTTGCCATTCGTGAAAAGAATCGCGCTGTTGTTACTGTTGGCACATATAGCATGGAAGAAAAGCAAGCAAGAAGAAGAGACAAAGAGGACAGAAAGAAGACATACACCATCATTCTACTGCTTTCTGCATTTATCACGTGCTACTTCCCTACGCTGGTTGTATCTGTGACGTGGTTTCCAACGATTTCTAGTTTGCGATTATGCAGATTCTCTCCTGAAGCATTCTTCTGGTTTATACTGGCCATGTTCTTTTTGCAATTTAACAGCATAATCAACCCGATTGTCTACTGCATTCGTCTTACCCCTATAAGGAGAGCGATATTGAAACTGCTTAATCGTAGAGTGCAAGTTCTTTGAATGAGACAAGAATACGTGTAAAAACCTCAAATGGTTGTGTATGCGATATATCCCAGAACATCATCATTTAAGGCAGTTGAATGAACGACTTTAGTTTTGGGCATGTTTGTCAGTGAATGTTAGTATGTCAATAATAACTGTATATAAAGAGTTGAATTCAAACTTTTGCGTGATTGCTTTGACATTATTTTCTAGAATTTGTGTATAGATAAAGACATTGGAACTTACTTTAATAACACTTAAAAAAAGGCCTGTTGAGGGAAGCCTTGGACAGCCCAGACACCACGGGTTCTTCATTGCCTCCTCTCCGCATCGAGACTCGCTGTGGATGCACAGCTCATTACGTTCTGACTAGAGATGTATTTCTATTGGCTATTCTCGATGCTACGAAAAGGCTCGAAGAACTCAAATCGGAGTTCGCCGAGTCTCCTCCAATTAGGATTTCTTGAGCAGCTAAAGCACCACAGACTGTCTCACAGAGAACTCCTTCAGTTCAGATTCCAGTTAGGCGAAGACTGTAGTTTGTTAAGTAAGAAATAGACAAAACCTAGACTAGTATATGGACAATTTTGTACTACACAAGCGTTTCAAATTCGGTTTTAAACGACGTGAGAGCACTTTTTCACATCTATTACTTTCCTCTCAGTGGGCCTATATGCAAGGAGTTTTTGGATAACTTACGGTGAAGATCTGCGATAACTTTTATCATTATTGCTTTAATAACTTTGCAGGTTGAGTGGACACTGCATTTTAACGTTCAATATATACATGTCATTAGCTTTGAGATTCTAAATAGAACAAACTTCCATTTCATTATTGGTTAAATGTACAGCATTAAAGTTTCTCTTAGAATTGATTTTCCTCTTTGTTTTCATTTGTACCATACTTGGCAGAGTGCCTTTATTGTCCTGCACCTCAAGTGTTGATGACAGACGTTATATAGAACATAAAAGTCGAACTGATGAAAACTCACATGTATTTAACGATAATCACTATCACGTTTTTAGCATTAGAGAGACGGTTCATGTTAGTGATCTCCTTTTTATTGAAGTGTCTTCCAGAAACTCATAATGGTCAAGCATAAAAATACTAATGTATGTATTGTGTACGTGCATTAGTCATTGCATGCTTCAGTCATTTCTATGTTTAACGAAGGTTCATTTTATTTTGTAAAATCTTTCAGCATTTTCTCTAGCAGAATGGAGGTCATTTGAAAAAGTAGTGCTAACGACGTGTCAAAAACATTAGCAATAAAGAACAATACATAATACGTCTTGACCTTTTTCCTGGAGTTTTTCATCCCCTTTTGTTTGCTATTTAAAGTAAAGCAAGAGCGATTCTGTGAGGCTGACACCTACCCCTGGTCAAATCAAAAATTGAATGAAATATCAAGCAACAATATATTTTTTCTGTTTATTCAATTTATCAACTTTCAATCGGCCAATATTCTGCAATTTTAATTTTTTTTCTCGGAAACTAAAGCAACATTTTTCCTACAGACCTGGCCAAACACGAAGAGCTACAAATTTATTGCTACAGAATGGAAGTCGATGGACACCGAAATGATCATGAATCGCAGAACTTTGCTTAAATGGACAATATCAGGAAATGTTGACAATTTTGCTGTCGAAAAATTTCCCTAATAGAGTCTATTATATTAGGATTATTAGTAAAATCAATTTTCATTCAACATTGTTATTGATTTTTCTCGAACTTCTGGCAAGCCAGTACTTTTCTAGGGAGGCTGTTGAGTGGGGGGGGGGATGTTTCTCTAGACCCAAAAACAAGCGTCCCTACATTATTTCTATACATTTCTAAGTTTTAACGCAATTCTTTTTGCAAAATGCTATCAGATCTTATAATGTGGTTGTTAAGACATAAGATTTATCAAACTTGGAATATTGTCGTAGCTTGTAGGCCCAGTAGTTTCCCAAGATAAACTCATGTTGTTTAATCCTTTGAGCTTAGAGAAAGACAAGTAAATTTAGTTTACTTTACAAAGAGAATTCCTCTACCCCCAAACAATTCAGCCGTTGAGGGTACCCGGACCCGCTTTTTAATTTCAGGCTTTTAATTTTTAAATGAAACATTTGATACTATGGATATCACTCTTAGATTCACATTTCGTTTTTGCATACTGATCTGCTTATCTGGTCACTCAGATAAAAATGGACGTAATGTAAAGGATTTTGACTGAGTTGTATGCTTCACGTTGTCAAGTTTAACAGCAGAAGGGCAAATACCGCTACTCTCTGTTTAATACTGCAGGTAATTTCCCCTAGTCCTTTTCTCACTCTTTGCTATGAAACAGAGCTTTTGGATATCTCTAATTTATAAATGCTAATTTCGCCAAGTTTATTACTCCCTAACTCATTCTATTGATAACTAAAACCCCTGGCCGACCTCCCCTTTGCAAACCTTAGTATAGAAACTACTTGCAGCCTTTCAAATCATCTATTGAATTTTGTTTTGTTCTATGTGTGAAATGGTGCCTTTTACAAAGAAGGCCTTTTCATTCTAATTGAATGGCCAGTGTTTCAGCTAGAAGTTGCATTATTGGCGAAACCATATACAGTATCAAATTTTAGTTTCGACCATTGGATGCCGAAGATTGCGCCCATCCTTGTGGTATTTCGTTTCCCGAATAGGACCACTTTTTGCAAAGTTATTCGACTTTTTCCTGGCTGAGAGCAAGGGGGATTCAGGTTTACATAAAGGCGTTCAGAAAAAACAATAGGCTTGTGATTCCCCGGGTTTCTAAAGACTTGGGTTTTTCACGATTTACTCAAAAAGTATCACAGTTACAAGTTTTTGAGTACATTCATGAGATGGGCCGTTTGATGCTCGATTTTTTGAGCCGTTTCCCGTATTTTTAGGACCTGTTTTTGCCGAGTTATTGAGGATTTAGTGATTAAAACACGCAAAAAACGGTTTTTTCCAGTTTAAAAATCGAAAACAGCCAATAAAAATTCTGCGACACTTTCAAAAAATCGCTGATTTTTCGCTCGATTTTTTGAGCTATTGCTTGTTTTGTTTGAAGCTCGCGTTACTGAATAAACTCAATTTTTCCGAAAAGTGCACTTTTCAAATTTTCTCAAATTTGCATCGCAGCGACCGATCAAGCTCAAACCGGTACTGCGGCGGCGGCCAAAACTTTTCCTTGAAAAACGGTGTTTAATTGGTTTTTTAAAGGCAGGAAAAGTTTGTTAACGGGTAAATAAGCGTCCTAGATTCGATTTAAATGCATTTAAGTGGAAATTCATTAATTTTGAACATTTCGACGGAATTGCCCCCTTGCTGCTAGCCGCCCGTCGTCTAATCGGCTTGTTCGGTGAAACAAGTATGGAAAAAATAGTTCCTTTCCACAATTCCTCTATAAGTATCGCTATATCATATTTGCTCTTGCAAATAAGAGAAGAATAAATTGTTTGCGATATTGATATCTTCGATTGCTCAATTTCAGTCTACGGGAAACGTCCTTCAAATTTGGAAAACCCTGAAGCGAACGGTAAAAAGGTCGGGGAAACTTCAGAAAGGAAGTCTGCCATTTTTGTTGATTATGGTGATGAAACTAAGTTATTTGCCCTAAAACTCCATTAAAATGCCGTCTCTCTTACTTGGGCTGAGCAGCTTGGCGACGGGGGAAGTGAGACATTTACAACATTGAGGGACTAGGCCTATGCTGCAGATTCTGAGGCGTTCTTCAAATATAACATTTTTACTTGATTTTAGTAATGAATAAACCTTTTTGTTGCTCGTTTGTAGAGAAACCTATTTTTAATCTGTATTTATAATCAGAATAAATTTATTGAGCATTGACGAGTCATTTATGGGAAAGTGTCAAGCCACTTCAATTTATTTCTTTGTAATCTCTTAACTTAAAGGCCTACCTTGTTTTTTGCATCCAAACTGAGCCTTTAACTACAGAAACTGAGTTTTTAACTGTAGGCCATAAAATCTGGCCATTTTATTACTTTGCGGGGGCCAATGCACTCTGATTTTGCTAAAGCTACCAACTGCACTTTTAAAACAAGCAAATTTGAGCGTTTCAGTTCATCCTTCTGCAAAAAGGTAGCAAAAAGTACAACATTGACTGTGTTTAGTTTCTTAATTCATTTTTACATGGTATTATCTTCAACATTTCACATTGCGCAATAATACTTCTATTTTCTGTATTTAAGGTCTTCAAATAGCACACTGTTAGCTCCGGGCTTTGTTCAAATAGCAATTTTTTGCATGCACCGTAAAAAGCAGATGTACTTGATACTTTAAAGTAATTTAAAACTAGAAAAAGAGTAACAAATTCCTTTATTTTAGTTAATACATATATCATTAGAGATCAAAATAAAAAAGAAACAACTAAAAATTCATTCAATAATATGAATAAAATATTTTGACATAATTTTTAATATTTTTGATACAATATGCTGTTCGCTTAAAGCTTTCTAAAATATCAATTTTAAAATACATTTTCTGGTGTATTAAATGAAGATATCTAAATCTTATAATTTCACAGAATAAATATGAAGATTTTAGCAAGATGATCGAGAGACAGGCTAGACACAAACATGGCTTTGAAGAAACAGATAGTTTTTAAGATTCTAAAATTACTAGATAATGAATATGGAAAGATAAAACTCAAAATGGCAAAGGCTAGGATCAAAATCGCAAAAAGACGAAGGTTTAAGCTATTAAAAAATCAGATATTTTTCGTAAAAAAATAATCAATTTCTTTGTAAAAAAAGATTGGACGATACAATTATCTGGAGAAAATTTTATTACTAGCCAAGTTCTTAATTACTAGCCAAGCAATCAATGCTGCCCCACAGCACCCCCCCCCCCTCCAAATTCTGCAGTCCCTAACTCTCTTTTGCACTTCTGAACCTTTGTTGTTCAGGGGGTACAATCTCACATCTCCAAGTAATTAAAGTGCCTATCAAATTGAGACGTTTTTTGATAGGGAAATTTTATGGGGGGTAGTAAAAATCAAATGAGGGTTGCCACGAAAAAGCTCGTTTTCAATGCTTTTTTACTTTTTTCCAGATCACCTAATTTGCCAGTTTACTTTATCTAAAAAATGGTAAAAATACCTCGTTTATCTTAGCTTGTCATTTACTGCTGCATATGTGACTTATCATGGACTAATATCATGATACTGATCAAAAGGCAACAATTGGCAACTTATTCAAAGGTGAGGATTTCTTAGCAATTTCTTACTTCCATGGTAGGGGCAAATCGACGCAGGACTATACCATATTAAAATTTAGCAACATTGAAATGACAAAAGATACAACATTTTTATTGTAATGGAAACAAATACAAAGGATAAGCAGTGCAAGTCAAAGTAAATTGAGATTGAATGAAGAAACCTCTTAAAAACGGATAAGTCCCTAAGAAATCTGTTTTTGGACTGAGTTCCACAAAGCAATATCTTTTGAATATCGTATGCCCTTATTTGCTCATACACAGAAAAGGCTGAGCCCCCTGCCCCATTCTTTGGTTGAATCATTTGAAAATGAATGCTAAAAACCTTTTCATTTTCCCGTGCAATTCAAACAATAGACCAGAGAGGCATCAATGCCTGAGAGAAATGCCCTCGAAGACCCTCTTACAGCAAACAACTCTAGTCACGGTCAATAAAGGAGCGCGAAAATGCTGGAAATTGCTGAGAGAACAAATTAAATAATTGTCAGGTAAGTTTATACGTCGAATACTACGTATGTTGTTGGCTTTTAGCAACTATTATGGGATGCAACTTATTAGCTACAATAATAGCAGATTATACCTAAACGAAAGCCATTCAATGCTAAGGCGTGACTCAGGGTCCTGTAATCTTCAACCTCTCAGAACTTTGCCTTCGAATTACTTTATCCAAGCAATCTCATTTTTGACACTCGAATATCGATACATGTATCACAAATAATGTTTTCTTTTCAAAGAAGCAATCCCACAATCTTCACAGACATCAAAAGGCATCAGGTCTTTGGAATACTGGCACCATGGTCGTCGAGCACGTCAATTCGCACCTACAGAAAAGAAAGGTTTTTGATTATTTTTATAATTAACTTTGCAATGAATTTCATTCACGTAATCACGTTTGGCCCCTGAAAAAACCTTGAAATATTAAACTGTTTTAGTTTCCCACTACATTTTTGCTGCTTACAAGTATATCTACAAGGGCCTTCGGAGCAGTTTGATGAAGTGCTTGGGGGGGTGTAAATAGTCTGCAAGATCAGTTATTACCTGTTTAAAAAGGTTTTACCCTGTATAAATATTTCTATTATTATTATTATTATTATTATCATTATTTATTCAAGACTTTGCCAAGGACATAATACAAGCCAAATTCAGCCTTCTAATTCAGAAAATTAATCTGAAGGAGCCAGAAGGGGGAAAGATGTCAGCTTTTTGTATATTTCATGCAAGCTTATCGTTTGAAAAACTTTGAAATGGCGCGTACAAGTGGAACCTATAATAAAATACAACTTTTTGTATCATACTCTGTAAAGTGTAGAACATTAGATAATAACAAAATAGGGAACAGAAAGTTAAAGTAATAATTGAAAATTTGCTCAATGTCTTGCAACTGACAATTGACAGAGTTCGTTTTAATGATTCATCATAAGTTCATTTGAATTCAACGTCTACAAAATCTGAAGAATAGCTTTAAAAATTAGTTTTTTGTAAATTCCTGCTGTGTGGAATATTGTTGACAAGATATACTCATGCTATACCTGAAAGTAAATTATCCATTGAACAGGTTTCAGATTTCCAGTTTTACTAGGCTCTACTGGGGGGGGGGAAATGGGTAGGTTTGGGGTAAGATGGGTAGTGCGAAAAAATCTGGATATATTTTTTTCAAAAGTCTTGTTGACAGTTTTTCTAATCAAAAGGACCCGCACTATCCTCCTTGATTTGTTAAGACTGTACTATTCTCTAGCACCCCCCAGCCTACAAATTTTACCCCTGCAGGTCCTGATTACTTCTTCGGACTGATATGAAAGTAACGGTATCATCAATATTAATAAGAATAAATAGTGAAGCATGTCAGACCGGAATCGAACGCTTATCAAACATCTCATATTAACACTGCTTTTAACCCAAAAGCATTTCCAAGCAGATACCCTTGATCATCATAAACATAAAGTTCACTTGATGCATTCACCATCACGATATTAAAACATAACACCTTCGTGTGAAGGGAAAGTAACGAAGAAATACAGTGCCGAAATATTGACAAAATTACATCAGATTTACTTTTCTTATAAAAACTATAACTCCTAAAAAAATGCCTGCCAATTACATCAGATTGCCTCATTTCAATACCTTACGTATACCAGATGTACTTACTTGAGAATACCTAGGCCAAAATAGGCAAATCTTAAGAAAATACGACCTACCTCTTTTTATAAAATTTTAGAAGAAATACGTGAAACACGTTTTGACAAGAGTGGGTAGGGAGAATTATCACAGCCACATCACCCCTTGGCGCCGCTGCTGAGTGGAACTAATCCTATGGGATGAGGGATAGCCCCCACTCTTGTTCCCCCTCCTCAATAAGAGGCGAAGAATGTTTGCAAATAAGCAAAAAGAACGCCAAAATATCGAACAAGATGGATTGTTAACTATATCGAATAAGCAAGGATTTTTAGAGAGTTAAAAGAAGAAATGAGGAAAACAGAGTACCGTTCAAAAGAAGAGGCCCTTCTGAAGAGCAAAACAAGGAGGCTATTCACTCTTGCAAATCGCATACGAAGCAAGGAAATCGAATTTCTACCAAAACTAAAGGATATAAAGGAATTTTCAGATAAAACAGTAGGATTTCCATCAAAGGTATACAAAATTGCTGCTGAATGATTTGCTTCTAGAACGCAAGTCTTAGAGTGTTATTTTAAGTAGAACATTTCGACTCATTGAAAGATGCCCTCGACCCTCTCCGTAAGCTTACAGCAAATGCAGCTGTCCTTAAGGTTGGGCAGTAAAACAAGACTGCGTAATCTTGCTTTGGTTCCTCCCATTTTCTACGGATTTACTCCATCGACCGCCCCTTTTTTCCAAAGTAATAAAAGGTGCTTGTAGCTTAAGTCGCGGCGAAAAAAATCCTTTTTCTAGCATCTATTTTCCAACTCATATCATCATACGCTACACTAAATTTTGCTGCCAAAATTGAATATCTTGTAAGCTTTTATCAGTCATTTTAGATCCGTGGTACTGTTTAAATTTGAAATTTTGATGTTAAAGAATAAATCTGCTCTTTCGGTAATGGGACTACAAAGATAATAACAAAAACTATTTAAACAGCAAGATAGAATGTAAACTTGAATCTAACTGTGGCCTTGATAGAGAGATAAATTAGACCGATGTTATCATTTGTTAAAAAAGAGATGTACCTTAAAAACCTTGCATATTTTTGACTCGTCGAGCGAGGAAATTCCAATAGCCTTAAAATTTCAACTCGCTTGATTTTCAAGTCCAAATAATTAGACCTCTGATAATGCAGACTTTTCCAGTATTTCTTATTTTTATTTTCCAGAATCTTTAGTTTTTTCTCTGTATATCAGTCTGCCAAATATGTAAAACTTTCTAGCATGGTCAACAATTCTTTCTATTCTCTTGTTCCAAATTTCAGGGTTGTAAATTTTCACATCAGCTCTATCTGACTGTGATTTTACCTCTTATTTGTTCGGGAGACGCAACCCTCAGTCCTTTGTTTCGAAACAATACCGTCTTGAACCAATCAGTGTTGCAGGGCCATAGCACATGGGCATCAATAACAGCATTCGCACATCTGTTCTTTAGGCCGGTTTCCACTTGATTCGCTCTGGTCGCGCGACTTAGCGAAATCGAATCAACAAGTCAGCGAATCGGCGAACGCGACCAGTCGCCTAGTAGTTCAACTGAGTCGAACTACTCAGCGAATGTTCGCGCATTCACAGCGAATGAGGTACTTCAATTTGCGTATGCCCCAATGTGCATTCGCTCAGTTGCGCGACCAGAGCGAATAAAGTGGAAACCCGCCTTTTCTGGGACCACACAACTCTTGAACTTCCCGCCAGGGCTTCGAGTGATAATGCGCATGTGCAATGACCCTGAAACGGGGGCTAGTGCGTGTCTGGAAGTCGGGCATGATTCATCTCTCGAACAGTTACAATCGAGCATTAGCTTAATACATCAATTCAACTTACAGCCTCCTTTTGAAAAATACTTCAAACTTTTTGGAACTGAATTTTTTACTTCAGCCTCGGAGTCAAGAACCAAAATGTTAGTTTTGTGATATGGGTTTTATAACGTGATGAAATTAAATCTATTATAAGAGATTCGGCCGTAATCAGCGACTAAAGGTGAAATAGGTTTTTAAACTGAATATCTTCATTGAATCTGAAATACAAACACAATCAAAATGAAAAATTGTATCCAAAAAAAGAATTGTGGGGAGGGGGGATCCTATACTGAATTACCAAAATTAATACAAAAAAGTTTGAAGTGTTTTAGAAAAAGAAGCCGTAAGGGGAGAAGGTGTATTAAATTGGGCTACTTTTAAACAAAAATTGTTATTATCATTAGGCTCTTCTCAATGTTCAAGTAAATTTAAGGCCATAAAAACTGATCCATGACATCCCCATCCAATGACCGCGCATGAGATGAGTGACATCTTCTTGCATGCTTCTAAGGGCCTGTTTATATGAGCAAATTTATCCCACCTTCCAGCATATGTGCTGGCAAGTAGGATAAAATCACCGCAAATTTCATTCCACCTTCCAGCACATTTCTTCTTTTTTATCCCAACTCCAAGCTGTCCTTCAGGCATAGGAATGAGAATATCCTTGGCAAGAAAAAAAAATTTTACCTTCATAAATTGAAGGCAAGAAAACTAAAGAGATTAAAGCGATAGAAAGGACGGTTTGTGTCAAGCCTGGGCGTACCGATCAATGAGCAGGCAACGGAAGAGTTATGGAAGAAAAATTTCAGGGTTCCAAGAATGAATTTCATGATCCTTGGTACGCGAGCTTGGACTTGTATTCATTCAAGCAATTTAACAAATGGCGGATCATTGTTCCAACGAAAAGACTTCACACTCATGGACTTAACTCCTTCGTTTGTCGCCTTTTTCTTGAAAGAAGTGAATTTGCGCTTTCGCACAAGTACTAATTTCATCCCACCTTCCAGCCAGTTGAGCGTTTATATGGGAAAAATTTGATGCCAACAGGTGAGATCCGGCAGGCTGAGAGCAGGATCTCACTTGCCCCGGATAAATTGTTTCCCATGTCGAAATTACAAAGCTTTGTATAGGAAGGTTGGATCTCACCTCCCAGCCCATAGGCTGGAAGGTGGGATAATTTTGCTCATATAAACAGGCCCTAAAATACTTTGATTCTTTTAAGTTTTGGTCAGTTTTCTTTTTCTAAAGCAGGGAGCAATTCTTTTCTTTGTCTTTAAGAAGTATTATTTCACAACAACTGCCGACATTCAGTATTAGGCTACAGACCTTTAAGGAAGGGTAAAGTTATGAAGAGGGGCGAAATTTAGCGACTAATATTAAAACAACTGGAATAGAAGAACCTCAAATTTTTGTCAATCGCGTTGGATGTTCTGCCTTCTCTAGATGTAGAATATCCTGTTTTTTCATGATGCAGTGGCGCATCCAAGTGGAGCTAAACATCAGGATTTATAAACGGCAAATTCTAAATTAACAATGAGTTTTAGCAAAGAATTTTATATGAAATGCAAGAACTCAGCAAATTGCAGTAGAAATAAATTCTATTGAGTTCAAAAAAGGGCGTTTCCAATTTAAATGACTGTTTGGTGGGCGTGTGAACAAAATATTGGCTTGGAACCACTACGAGCACAATTATTAGTTTGGCACTGTGAGCTCAGTCTCAAATAATTGTGATAAAATGATATACTTACATTAAATGGCTATTTGACTTTCGAGCCCTAGTCTTAAGTCATTGATAACTTCTAAACGTATATAAACATAACTATGGACGTTTCTCTACACCTCCACCATTCTTTAATGTAAAACGGA